ATTTCCATTGGTGTATGACTTTTAGACATATGGTATAAAACAATCAGTTTCTTTCCTTTCCTCACAGATTGGTGCAGTTAGCTCTCTGATCACCTCCAATTCACAATAAGCACATTGTTAAAGAATATTATCTTCAAGGCTTTGAAAAAATTTCGAAAATTTTTACTACCAAAAGAAAAAACATAAAAACCAAAAAAACTGCAACTTGAATGAAGATTTTTTAATATTCCACACTCATTGTAATCTAAATTTTCCTTGGAGGACCTTCAACTTCAAGTAACTCTTATTATATGAGTTATTTCCAACTTTTTTTAAGAGAGCTTACAGTAATTTCATAACAAAAGAAAAGAGGAAGTTGCTGCAAGAATTTTCCAATATCAATTCCCCTTTACAATATTGATGCTAATCTTCTTGCCATTCTTATATACTTTGTCCTATTTGAAACCCAAGGCGCATTCCATGATTAGTCGTAAACATTTCAAAAATATCAATCTTTTTTGTGTCACTTTATTTGTAGAGGTACACCTCAATATCAGCAGCTTCTGTGATTTTAAAAGCAGTGTCAAGGAATAAGTAGCTTCTCTTTTATTACACAGAAACTGTAGTTCTTTCTTTTCAAACAGAATCGGTTTTAATAACCAAAAGACAAGGCACTTTCATAATGGTCAGAGAATTCAAGCAGGGTGCCAAATGGGCTTTATTGTAAAGAGATCAGCTTGTGAATAGATGTGTGAAAATTTGCACACCACAGTTATTGGTTCAGAAACAGAAACAGAAACACTCTGAAGCACCTATCTGTAGCACAGTTTTTGCCTGTTGGTCCTTTGTTAGTGGAAATTTTTTTTAGCTCTTCAAAGTCTTTTCTCTGGCAGAGTTTGGTTTCAGTCAAATGCACTTTGGAGCTTTGTAAAGTACTTCTAGAATTTGCCATGATCTGCAGGAAAATTGAAGAAAAAAATCAATAATAAAATTGCTACCACCCAATTGAGGATTGTCAGTGTGAAGAAAACCCTTCTGGTGCAAGACTGAAGGTATAATTTAAATAATGGTAAGCGTATGCCCTTTCAAATTTGAAGAATTTTTAGTGATGTATTTGTATTTGAAAACAATAAATTCCCTAGTTTGCATGCTTAAACTTTCAAGTAGTGTTGGACTACAGTGAATACAAATCTCAAGTCATTTTGGATCTTCTGGTTTGCTAAGTAATTTGAATGTGGATAGTTTCAGATCATACTTATCAGAAGTTCAAATGCAATAAACAGTTTGCGTTAAATATTGTAAGAGGTGTGTTGCTTGACTGTTCATCTTATATAACAATATTGCAAAATGGATGCCAGTCAAACACATGGAAGCCAACTTGAACTTGTTTTGCAGAGTTTCCATTTTTTGTACAGGAAGGTACTCTATTAGGAGAAAGTTCCTCTTACCAAAGAAGTATTTAAATCACAATATTTGCTTTAAAGCTCAGGAAGTAGTTGTAGGCAGCTGTAATATGCCTAAAGTTTATCATGGGACATCTACCGTAAGTGTCAGGCAGTACAGACAACTCAAACAATATCGAGGGCTCAATGAACACAGTCTTTATTCCCGAGCTTGACCACGAGCACTTCGTGTTACAACAACAACAATAATTGGGGAGCCCGGATGTAGTTTCCCTCAGGGAGGGTCTAGGTACAAGTGACGGGCCAACATAAGCAGCTTCAAAGAGTGTTGATATTTTTTCAGCTTATGTGATGGTTCCAATAATTGACATTTTCAAACAGAAATATACATTTTGTAGAACTGAAAACTCACAATCAACGTCTACTAACTCAAGCTTAATTGACAGAAAATTGTTGAAAACTGGGACTCTGTTTCCTCCTCCTGAATAGCAGAACTTAATTTAAATCATGAACCAAGCAGTTTAACTGGTAATGCATTTGATGAACTCTCTACTGGAGTGGCCAACACATATGTAACACGTAGTAGAATTGGTTCAGTTACCAGCAAACTTTAATGAAAGGGTTAGTTCCTGACAGAATAAAACAAGCATGCTCTAGTATACCTTTTTGGTAATGATATGTATTGCTGGCTTGATTCTACTGGACTGGTTATGTCTAATGATGAACGTAGATCGGTATTGAGAGTTTTGCCATGTAAAAATTAATTAGGACTCTCAAATTTTAAAATTTCAATGTGTTCAATGAAAACTTATATGTATGTGTATTGATATTTTCTTAAATAGTATTTGTAAAATACACTTTCATACAACTGATAAGTATGTTAGCTTTTAAAATTTATTTACTAAGAAAACAGGCATGCAAGCACACATGTGAATAATGCAACCTGAATGCACTTGATTCTGTGTGCCACCAAAGACATAAGAAAAATAGAAAATCATCTTTACTACTCGTGCATTAAATTCATAACTTATATAAACTTACAAGAAACACTCCGATATCAATGACTTTGTCTCAGCAGATCCTACTCACTGTTGAGCAATTCTCCATCAATTCATTGGTGGTAGCCTGTCAAGAAGTTTGACTAGCCAGGGCTATTGGAAAGTACTTTTGTCGCACCCTGATTTTAGGCATTGTATACTTTGTGATTTAGGGTATAGTTTTGATTAGTTAAAGTTTCAAGGAAAAACATGAATCTACCACTAAGACAATTCAGTTTAGTTTTAATTACATTTTATAAGAAATTTTATTGTCAAATTGACATCTTTAAAACTGGAAACAACACATCAATATATGTACACGTGTGCAAAGCTGCATGGTTAGATGGTTATTTTCTTCAGCAGTTTTCAGTGTCAACATAGTGTTATGATTATTGACTACAATGACAATCGATTAAATTGAGTATTTTTTACATTATAATGGCAGTGCAACCTACCATTCAATGCCCAAAGATAGAGAGAGTCATAGAAGATGAAGAAGCCATTATCTCATGCAATGTCACTGGTGACCCAACCCCAAACATCACATGGATCGAGGAGTCTCATCCTGGGAAGATAATTTCTCACAATTCAACTTTGGTGATTGACCATGTGCGCATTTCTGATGGTAAAAAGTACAAAATCACAGCCAACAATGGAAGGAGTACAAGTGATGTGGTGAAGTTGGAAATTCTGTGTAAGTATTACTTGCTGTTACATTGTACTTATTAAACACAGTGCCACATGTCAGTTCATACATTTCAGTTATTCCATGTAAACTTTGAAATTATTGCATGGAGTTGTCTTTAGTTGATATGCCTAACAGTACACAAGTCCATTGAGGGTGAATCTTTTCATGAATATCTCTAGTATAATAGTCAAACACTTAAAAATGGCCATCATCAGGAGAGTAAACAATATAACCAATTGTTACAATAAAGGATCTGTATTCCTCTGATATCAATTACTCAGTATTCATATCCCTCAGTGGTCATCACCATAGACATCACCCCTAATGCTTGCACCGTTTTCTAGCTAGTAATTTTATCCTCAGCTGATACTGTGAGCATTGTTGGTAATTCAGTTAGTTGTAAATACAATTGTCTGGCTAGTTGTGACAAAATACTGTAAAGTTGATGTGTATTAATTGTTTTAAGTCACTAGGGTAAGTACACACTCATTTCAACACATTGTTGTCTTGCATTTTGTCTGAATACAACAACATCTGCTTGACTATATGGTGCTTGTATTGTTTTACTGGGATCAACATGGAGTAGAGAGGATTTTGTTTTCATGTTTTGTACCGTCACAGTCACATCATGGCATTCGGTTGTTCATTCGACACTCCGGTCTTCTATATTTTGTGACGAGTTTACTTCTTCTATGCTGCGGAATGGCAAATGATCTGGGTCAATCCCAAATGTTTCTGTGTTTAGCTGGTGATTTTGTCGTGGTTTATGACATAATTCTGCAGTTTTAACAAACCTAAACTCTATCACTGCATCTTGGGCGAGGCGCCAGATTGTTTCACCAATCCTCCGTAAAGGTTTTTCTTTGCAGAGAATCAGTTATTATCCTAACTCTGTTGAAAGTTATCAAATTATTCTCCTCCAGTTGAGTGGTGACATAAACCCAAATCCTGGTCCAAATGGCATCAAACAGCACAATTCTACTAAGCAGCAAAGGTCCACTAGTCTTTTAACATTTTATGCAAATGCAGGAAGCATTGTCAACAAGTCAAGTAAACTGGATTTAACCATCGCCACCCTGGGCTATGATATAATTGTTTTGACTGAAACTCATCTGGACAGCTCAATTCCAGATAGCGAAACCTTTCCTAGCAACTATTCAGTTTTTAGATGAGACCGAAAGCTCAATGGATGCCATGGAGGCAGGGTATTGATTGCTACACGAGACCATATCAAAGTGGTTCTCCATGACACTCCACAAAATGAATCTGAATTCATCTTCATCGATCTTCTGTTCTCCTACAACCGTAAAATCACTTAGGGAGTTTTTTTATCATCCACCCAGTAATGATCCTAAGCCTTTAGAAGACTTGCAAACTGTCCTACAAGAACTTTCTCTGAACAAGCTGATTCTTCTTGGAGATTTTAATCTTCCAGAGATTGATTGGTTGAATAACAAAGTTTTGTGGCAATCTGACATTTACACACTAATAATGGTGGCAAAGAATTCAGTCTGCAGTGTGGCTAAAAAAGAGGGAAAAAAAGATTTCAAACAAATGAAACAAAAAAAGGAACAAGGAAGAAGAATTTCCAAGAAGAAAAAAATGAAAATTAGCTTGTAACAAAAAGGGTGTAAAATTTGATCTTAAGTACATACACAAAAAGCTCAGCATGAATCTGCAACTGAGAGGTGAGAATGGAAAAATATCCTGAAGTAGTGACCACAACTGTAAGAGGAATAAAAGCAATTGTCTGTCACTGATCACTGGATTAAGAAGCTCAAAAGTTAGTCTTACATTCAAATTTTAAGACACATAGAGCACATAAAATTTTGTTTGTTAACCTGGTTGCTAATATGAAGTCTTCCTGTTTTTAATCTTATAGTTGCCCCACAAATGACAAATCTTACCATTGAGAGCAATCCAAAGAACACCACAGTACTTTTGAACAGCACCTTGACACTTCTCTGTGTCACAAATGCCAACCCTCCTGCTTTGTATCACCTGTATTTCAATGAGAGTTATATTGGTAACAGCAGCTCTGGAAAGTTTAATTTTACTGTTGAAGGCGATGGAGTTTACACTTGTGTTCCAATAAACACAGTGGGCACAGGAAACAATGACACTCTAAATATTACCTCTGTTGGTGAGTTACCATGTATCTTTTTATACTACTGTTGCTAAGGTGAGTCATGGTGGTTGGTGTGACTCATAATTATAATGAATTATGTGAGGAAATTAGAACATGATGCTTTCTTGGTGCTTATTGTCTTTGGTTTAAACTGTTTTGTGTTGAGTCTGTCTTGATTTTGAAAGCATTGTTTTACAAATCATTGCATGGATGTGTTATAAAAATGTACTAGTTGAGCTTTTTAGAAAAAAGAAGACAAAAAAGTGTCACCGTCAGGCTTTAATAATTCATGAAAGGCCACAAGTTGTAAATTACATTTCCCTAGGAGTTATTTCATGGTTTACATGTAAGTATTTTTAATACATGTGTGATTGTATAAAAGATATTGCACAATAACAAGAAGATATGAATTTGAAGTTCTTGTATGTACATTTTCCTGAAAGGAGTGATATAGAGTTCTTTCTACACCCAAAGTTTGTTTTGTCTAATTGCTTACAGCTGTATAAATTATGTAATTTTCCTCTTTTTATCTGGACAAAGAAAACCACAGTTCATGTAATTATTTAGTGTTGCACAATTTAATTAAAATACTGCAAAGCTAGGATACCACACCACAATTTGAAAAAGTTAATGCCTAGTTTTAAACAAAATCACAAAAAGTCTTGTTGCCAGATTACTCCACAAAAACAAGAGATAGGTTTAACTTTGTCAGACAGAACACAGGCTAAAACGTAGGGTTTTAAGTTAGGGGTTTTTCATTCACAGACCACACAGACTTTAATTTGGTTGTTTCACGTCGTTTGTTTTGCAGAGGATGGCTGAGAAATGTGCAAAGTTTTAAAAGTCATGTGCTGAGCTATTCTTCTACTCATTAAATCTTTGCAAAACACAAGCCTTTTATGAACGCATTGGATGAACACTAAGTTTTAAGTATAAAATTGATTTCCTCCCACAGAAAACCTATTGGTAGAAAAAGAAGTAGTGAGCTTTGTCAAAGCAAAAAAATATTACATTGCGACATAAATTGCAAACTGAAATTTTAATGCCAATGATGATGGAAATTTTGATGTTTATGAACTGTAGTCACCTACTTAATGACATCAAACTACAGATACTAATCAAGTTAAGAAATCTCCACATACCACTGCCTTTATTCAAAACATACACTCCATCGACCGTTCATTTAGAGACTTTAAACAGGTTATGTAGCTCTGGAAGAAAAGAAACACTGACTTTGGAAACATTAGGAAAAGCTGAACATAACCAGCTGTAATAAAACTGATCAGTTTCATAAAACCAATGTCTGAGGATTTCAACTTAATTCCATGACTACAAAATATTGCTGGCCTGCTACTCTAACCTTGTGTCAGAGAATTTCAGGTTTCAGAAGCATGTAGACAATTGATAGGTTGAATAACTTAAACCTGCTTTATTCAAGCCCTCAATCAGAGAGTTTATTCCTGTGAAATTGCACTACAGTTAGTGACATGTTTTACAGATGACCTTCAACAGATCAAAATCATTTTCAATTTTATTCCTATAAATATGTGAATGAACAAATCACAGATATCCATGTTATTTGCATTTTATCATTGACTTTTATTCAGCTGTAAAACTTACCAAACAAGATTTAGTCTTCTTACGAAATAAACAGTTCACTAGTTCAGGAACACATTGCTTAAAATCACAAAACAAACATCCTCCAGCAGAATTAAGCATGATTGTATTGTAAACCAACAATATATGGATCAGGTGAACAAGTGTAGGATTGACACATGATTTGAAACAGCATCACAGATACAGGATTTCCCCAAAAAAAAAAAAAAAAAAAAAATAGTGCAGGAGAAATTGATACAAGGAAGAGCAGAACATACCCAGAGGTAGAAACCCAATTTTTGTGATGTCTATTTGAAATCATGCACCTATTAACTATGCGTTCATCTATTGCATTTGGCTTACAGGAGGGTCTTGCTTCAGCTTGGGGATTTGTTTTTTTATTACATCTAAAATCAACACTTCTTGTATTTTTGGATTCTTTAACTTGACAAGAAAGATAAACCCCATTTAGTAAGTTTTACAGGTGTATAAAAGTCAGCCTTTTAAAGCTATTGCATGAACTATTTCAGCTTCATAAGTATCAGCAATTTGAACTCAGTCTAATAAGTAAAAGGGTAGCTGACTTCATTAGCATTAAAATTTCAGTGCATGATTTATGTCAAAATACAATTTTTGCCTTGTCTTTCCATTGAGAGGTTTTGTGAGGGAAGAGATCAAGTTTATGTTTAAAACTAAGTATTTAATATATATTTATCCAGGTGCCATTGAAAGCCTGCTCACATGCTTCTTTGAAATAGTATGCTCAGGTTTTTTCCATTACTCTATGCCATCCTTTTATTTTGTATTAAGTGGTTCAATTTGTGTCTCAGTTCCTTCATCAGTAGAAATATCAAACAAAACAGCCATTGCAGTGGAGGGACACAGATTGAATTTTACTTGTACTGCATCTGGCAAACCAAAGCCCAAGATAGCATGGACTAAAGTTGGCAGTGCTATAGTGATAACAGACACACCATCAGTTTCAGTTATTGTGGACAGACCAAGGACAGCAGACAACACGATCCAGTATCAATGTACAGCCAGTAATGGAGTGGAGACACCTGTTACAGCCACAGTCAATGTCACTGTTTACTGTAAGTATCAGTATTCATTTTTCAGACTTTTGTATTTGGCAATTGTAGAATCTCTGGAGCAGGTTAATTAGAAGATTACTGTAATTCTGAAGTAAATGGGTAATTTATCCTAAGGAACAAAACTGCATAAAGACAGAGTTGGTCCCTACTTAGACTCCTACAAGGGACAGATGGTCCTTAAAACGTTTTCAGAGGTCACAGATACAGATCATATGTAGCCCTTATAACATTTTCAGGGAGCACAATAAGTCCTGTTCTCAAGCTAAGGGAATGCATAGTTCCCTCCAACCTCACAGGCCATTTACAGTCCTCATTAGATCAATGAGCACAGAGCTGGTCAACTAGAAGTGCAAATTCAGTGTAGGGTATGAATGCTCTATCCTAAGTGATAACTGATGAGTGATGGACACAGATGGTTCCTTCTCAAGTCACAGGTTGCAGTTATGTATGTTACTGAATAGATTTTGGGTTACTGAAGTTTCCAAACTTGTCATGATGTTGATAAAAAATTCAGTCTGCAGTGTGTCGAAAAAAAGATGAAAAAAAGGATCTCAACAAAATGAAACTAATAAGAATTTCCAAAAACAAAACAAAATTAAAATTACCATGTAACAAAAAGGGTATAAAATGTAATCTTAAGTATATACACAAAAGGCTTAGTATGAACCTGCAGTTGAGAAGTAAAATATTCTGAAGCAATCAGAAAGAGGAAGAATACAGCCTGAAAATTCTGTTTAATACTAATACCAAATGCGTGATTATATGTGTACCTTCAACTGATTGTGGCACAAATCATTTTGTTTTGAGTTTACTGTTACACCAATGAAGTTGTGGCTCAAAGCTTCTTAAATAATTATATTCTTGTAAAATTTGGATATGCTTGATTAAAGCCTTAAAATCTTATTCCCTGGTTGAAATATGTTGAACACTCCAGTAAGTACAAAGCAACTGTTTGCCACTTGTCACTGTGTTATTTTCTTGTTAACCTGGTTGTAATATGAAGTTTTCCTGTTTTTGATTTTATAGTTGCTCCAGAGATGACAAATCTTACCATTGAGAGCAATCCAAAGAACACCACAGTACTTTTAAACAGCACCTTGACACTTCTCTGTGTCACAAATGCCAACCCTCCTGCTTTGTATCACCTGTATTTCAATGAGAGTTATATCGGTAACAGCAGCTCTGGAAAGTTTAACATTACTGTTGAAGGCGATGGAGTTTACACTTGTGTTCCAATAAACACAGTGGGCACAGGAAACAATGACACTCTTATTATTACTACTGTTGGTGAGTTACCATGTATCTTGTATACTACTGTAACTAAGGTGAGTCATGGTGGTTGGTGTGACTCATAATTATAATGAATTATGTGAGGAAATTAAAACATGATGCTTTCTTTGCTTTGATTTTCTCTGGTTTAAACCATTTTGTATTACTTAGCCCTTTGTTCTTTGTTTTAGGCAGGCACCTTGAGCTTTTTTGGCATGGATGTGTCAAAAAAAAGAAAACAAAAACATACAAACAATTGAAAGCATCACTGTCAGGCCTTTATAATTCATGGAAAGGCCACAAGTTGTTTCTTTTTCTTAGGAGTTGTTCCATATTTTCCGTGTAGGTAATTTTAATACTTGTGTGGTTGTATAAGAGATATTACATGATAACAAGAAGATACGAATTTTAAGTTCTTGTACATTTACTTGAAAGGAGTGGTACAGAGTTCTTTCTAATCACAACAAAATATTGTTTCACCCTGCTACTCTAAACTTGTGTCAGAGAATGTTGGGTTTCAGGATCGTATACTAGACAATTGATAGGTTGAATATTTTAAACATGCTTTATTCAAGCCCTCAATCAGAGAGTTTTATTCCTGTGAGATTGCTCTACATCAAGTGACATGTTTTACAGATGACCTTCAACAGATCAAAATAATTTTCAACTTTTTTCCTATATATATGTGTGTGAACAAATCACAAACATTTGCATTTTAACATTGACTCGTTTTCAACTGTAAAACTTACCAAACAAGATTTTGTCTTCTTGCAAAATCAAACAGTCCACTAATTCAGGAACACATTGATTATAATCACAAAACAAACATCCTCCAGCAGAATTAAGCATGATTGTATTGTAAACCAACAATGAATGCATGGGGTGAAAAAGTAGTTAATATTGACATGTGATTTGAAACAGGTATCACAGAGACAGGAATCCCCCAAAAAAAAAAAAAAAAATACAGTGTGGGAGAAATTAATACAAGGAAAACCAGAACATACCCAGAAGTAGAAACTAGATAAGATAAGCAATCAAGCTACCAAGCATTACTGGACAATAGTGATCTAATGATGCTTTAGAACAGAAGACTGCAAGGTATTGCTATCTTTATGTGTAAGGTGAAACACAAACTATGCCCCACCATAATGAGCAAGCTATTTCATACGCATTGTTCGCCCTTAAACTTAAGGGTGGCGTAGTTTGCCATCCCCAGATTTAGGACCAAGAAATATGGTGAACGTTCGCTTACCTTAACTGGGGACCAAAGTTGTGGAATAAGCTACCAAGCAAAATTAGAACCCTCCCATGATTATTTAGTTTAAAAAATTGTATCCGTAAGTTTCATTTGATGGTAATGGTAGAATGATATTTGTTCCAATGACATTCTTTGTAATTCTTTAACTTTTTTTTTTTATAATAATTTATCCCATTTATTGATAGTTAAGTGCCACTCTCGCTAGGAGCGGCCCTCTCGACTTCCCGTCGGAAAAAAGTTTTCTTTTATTTTTTGCCCATGAAAAGGGTTTAGGACACATGTTTCAAAAATAGTTTAGTTGTTCTCCTATTCTCTTTTTTGCGTCGCCACAAGCCAAAAACGATTTTTGGCCAAACCGCCCCTGTGGACAGCGATCGAAAGTGTAAATTTCAAAGATTTTGTCCAGCGCGCAGCGACTGCAACAATGTAGCTCACGGAATTCTATCTTGCTGCAAGTTACAAGGTGTTTGAGTTAGTTCACAGACAAAATATGGAAACTTCAGCTGAAATATTTTTCATATCAGCGTGATCAGAGGAGACCCTTCTCCTCGACCTTAATTTGCATATCAAAAATTCACTACTTTGTAAGAAAGAATTACCAAAATGCAGGCGTTAATCGGGCTGAAAAAGCATATCAGTGCATAGTTTATGCACTAATGAGGTCACGGATTGCCTCAAACCCGCGGGTATATCTCTAGCTTCTATCCACCAACTTCTTGAAAACAACGCAAATCCACGTGTTTGCTCAATTGCGCTCGTGTCAAAGATCATTTTCATGATTCTTAGAATTGATCAAGATCTCCCTTTGACCGTTCAAACTTCGTTCGTTTATCTTCTACGTTGAGGATTTTAGGTTTTCTCGGCAATTGAATGGAGATTAGATGCCGAGTTGTCCTAAAATGTTGCGTAAACGTGATCGGTCGTAACGCTTACGCGCTTGCGTGACTTACAAAGTAGACAAAGGTGAGGTGTCTACAAAACGAAGACCGAAGACCAAAGACCGAAGACCGAAGACCGAAGACCGAAGACCGAAGACCGAAGACCGAAGACCGAAGACCGAAGACCGAAGACCGAAGACCGAAGACCGAAGACCGAAGACCGAAGACCGAAGACCGAAGACCGAAGACCGAAGACCGAAGACCGAAGACCGAAGACCGAAGACCGAAGACCGAAGACCGAAGACCGAAGACCGAAGACCGAAGACCGAAGACCGAAGACCGAAGACCGAAGACCGAAGACCGAAGACCGAAGACCGAAGACCGAAGACCGAAGACCGAAGACCGAAGACCGAAGACCGAAGACCGAAGACCGAAGACCGAAGACCGAAGACCGAAGACCGAAAAACGAAGACCCTAATTTTTTTGCCCGAATAAGGCACAGACAGTTAAGAAACCAAGCCAAAGCGTTCCTCAGCGCAAACAGATGTGAAAATAACGGGGATCTTCGTTTTGTAGAAAAGACCCCCTGAATCTACAAAACGAAGACCCTTACTAAAACGCTTTGTTTGACCCCAATTGACGCGAAATTAAGGGGGTCTTCGTTTTGTAGAAAAGACCCCCTGAATCTACAAAACGAAGACCCTTACTAAAACTCTTTGTTTGACCCCAATTGACGCGAAATCAAGGGGGTCTTCGTTTTGTAGAAAAAACCCCTGAGTCTTTACAACGAAGACCCTTGCTAAAACGCCTTGTCAGACTCCAAATGACACGAAATCATTAGGGTCTTCGTTTTGTAGAATTCGAAATGACTGTGTGAATATACAAAACGAATACCCTCGATTGGATAGTTCCCTTTGGCAATGAAAGTTAGACACAAAAAGAATAAAATATTGTTTTATTTGTGGTTATGCAATTCTGGAATTATAGAAACTGTACACAGGGAAAATGTCTTCGATTCCTGATAAAATTAACAAAATTTTAAATACTCATTCCCATTTAAAAAAACATTAACAGAAACTAAAGTAAACAACGATGTGCTAATTATCAAACTACAGTGAAATTGAAATCTCCTGTATCACATTTGCAGTGATGTATAAGTATGTATAAAGTATGTATACAGGCATGCGTGTTCTCCCTACTATTGACATAAGCTAGAATATACGAGGAACTAATTCATACTAGGAAAAATGGCTGCGATCCCCATTTACAGGGTTATTATTCTAACAGCAATTACAGGGAAAAAATGGTACTCATGTTTCCTTCGAAATATCTCGTCTTAGTAGCTCGCTTTCAAAGTACACATTTTGCCAGCGGGTTGAGAGTGATGCACCAAAGCAAAGCTTTGCGAAATATAGGCACATAACCTAATGTATAAGGCCTATTCAACCAATTATGTTAGGATCAGTATTAAGTCACGCAAGAATGCACAGAACAAAACTTCCTTTACAAAATATGTGCAATTTTTATAGTGTCTTTTTATATTCAGTTATAACCTGTCAGTTTTAAGAATCCTTGTTTGAAAACGTTAAAAATTGAGGCACAGCATGCAGAAACCTCGGCATCACTGCTTCTATTTAAGAGATTCCAGGCAAGATAAGCACAGTTTCTAAACTCTTATATCTACCTTGATTTAACAAAAAGTACCTAAAAAAATTGATCATAATACTATACTTCTAACATAAAGCTCTTTGCAGAGATCATTCCGTGCGGAAAATCGTATCTCAAGGAAGCGTAAATTACTGTACTATATGTCTTTTCGGACCAACAATTGTATCAAAAGCATAGCAATGTAATCGTGAACTCTAAAATTTAATTAATATTGTTTACATAATGAAATAAAAGCATGTTTGAAAATAAACTTTAAGTGCAAGCGCGTGAGCCGATCTGAAGCTTCCTCAAGCCATGCACAATCTCAAATAAATCAAGGAAAACCGTTTTACATAGCCGATAGCTTCGTTTTCGAGGAATTCGGAAATAAAAGCTAGCACCATAGCTGACTCAGTGACAGGTTTCGCATATGGTTTATGTCAGTGGGCGACAGGATCGGAAACTCACGCCCACGAACCGAAGCTCCGTCATAAAATTGGATAGCTCGTTCTAAGTCAGGAGCTCCGAAATCATGATCCCGTCGGGCAGCACATACCCCTATAGGCAATGTATAGGAGTTCCCCCCCCCCTCTCCCGGGGTCTGACAAAGCGTTTTAGCAAGGATCTTCGTTTTATAGATTTAGGGGGCTTTTTCTACAAAACGAAGACCCCATTGATTCCGCGTCAATTGGCGTCTGACAAAGCGTTTTAGTGAGGGTTTTCGTTTTATAGATTCAGGGGGTCTTTTCTACAAAACGAAGACCCCCTTGATTTCGCGTCAATTGGCGTCTGACAAAGCGTTTTAGTGAGAGTCTTCGTTTTATAGATTCAGGGGGTCTTTTCTACAAAACGAAGACCCCCTTGATTTCGCGTCAATTGGGGTCTAACAAAGCGTTTTAGTGAGGGTCTTCGTTTTGTAGATTCAGGGAGTCTTTTCTACAAAACGAAGATCCCCGTTATTTTCACATCTGTTTGCGCTGAGGAACGCTTTGGCTTGGTTTTTTAACTCTCCGTGCCTCATTCGGGCAAAAAAATTAGGGTCTTCGGTCTTCGGTCTTCGTTTTGTAGACACCCGACAAAGGTGATCGGAAGGCGCCTTCTCGATAATTTAAGTTGAAATATCAGGTCATGAACTACGCACAGTGTGGAGAAGATTAAAATTAAAGAACAAAATTTGGCACTCTGGTCATAACAGACATATCGCGTTGCTTAAAAGGACGCAAAAACAAGTTAAAATAGGTTACAGTGTTTATATTTACGAAGAAACTACTCCTATTACAAGTCGTTCGTAAAGCCTATGATAAGTAAAAATGTTTCTATTCTGAACTATTGGAACTCTTAGCTTATTTTCAGATGCAAACCAACATTAATGTCTACGTCTTAACAAAAGTGGAGACTATTACATCGAACTCAATTTTATTTTTCAAATTTTAACGATCATTAATTAATAAATTGCTGAGGGATCCGAAATAACACCTTAACAATTACGAAGACGTCTAGAGTCTAGCGATCTGCAGACAATGCAGAGCAACTCGCATATTCAAGACAAATTAAGAAAGTTTATAATGATGATGATAGAAACCCAATTTTCGTGTTGTCTGTTAGAAATCATGCATCCATTAACTATGTATTCATTTGGTGCGTTTCTTATTGGCCTACAGCAGAGTCTTGCTTTGGCTTGGGGCTGTTTGTTTTTTGATTACATCTAAAATCAACGTTTCTTGTATTTGTGAACTGTTTAACTTGACAAGAAAGATAAATCCCATTTGGTTAGTTTTACAGGTGTATAGAAGGCAATGTACTTTAAATGCTAACAACATGGATATCAGCGTTTTTGCTCCTTCACAGATTTAAAGGGATAAATGTACAATGTTTATTATGTAAATGATCTTGATCTGTGAATAGAGGTTGTTGTATGAACTATTTCAGCTTGATAAGTATCAGCAAGTTGAACTCATATTAATAAGTAAAAAGGTAGCTGACTTCATAAGGATTAAAATTTCCGTGTGTGCTTGATTTATGCCACGTAATATTTTTTGCTTTGACAAAACTCATTTTAAATTCTCTTTCCTCTGAGAGGTTTTGTGTGGTAAGAAATCAAGTTTATGTTTAAAAGTAAGAGATTAATATGTATTTGTCCAGGTGCCATTGAAAGCCTGCTCACATGCTTCTTTGAAATAGTATGCTCAGGTTTTTTCCATTACTCTCTGCCATCCTTTTATTTTGTATTAAGTGGTTCAATTTGTATCTCAGTTCCTTCATCAGTAGAAATATCAAACAAAACAGCCATTGCAGTGGAGGGACACAGATTGAATTTTACTTGTACTGCATCTGGCAAACCAAAGCCCAAGATAGCATGGACTAAGGTTGGCAGTGCTATAGTGATAACAGACACACCATCAGTTTCAGTTATTGTGGACAGACCAAGGACAGCAGACAACACGATCCAGTATCAATGTACAGCCAGTAATGGAGTGGAGACACCTGTTACAGCCACAGTCAATGTCACTGTTTACTGTAAGTATCAGTATTCATTTTTCAGACTTTTGTATTTGGCAATTGTAGAATCTCTGGAGCAGGTTAATTAGAAGATTACTGTAATTCTGAAGTAAATGGGTGATTTATCCTAAAGAACAAAACTGCATAAAGACAGAGTTGGTCCCTACTTAGACTCCTACAAGAGACAGATGGTCCTTAAAACGTTTTCAGAGGTCACAGATACAGATCATATGTAGCCCTTATAACATTTTCAGGGAGCACAATAAGTCCTGTTCTCAAGCTAAGGGAATGCATAGTTCCCTCCAACCTCACAGGCAATTTACAGTCCTCATTAAATCAATGAGCACAGAGCTGGTCAACTAGAAGTGCAAATTCAGTGTAGGGTATGAATGCTCTATCCTTAGTGATAACTGATGAGTGATGGGCACAGATGGTTCCTTCTCAGGTCACAGGTGGCAGTTATGTATGTTACTGAACAGATTTTGGGTTACTGAAGTTTCCAAACTTGTCCTGATATGGGCAAAAAATTCAGTCCGCAGTGTGGCGAAAAATGATGAAAAAAAAGGATCTCAAGGAAATGTAACAAAAAGGGTATAAAATGTGATCTTAAGTATATACAAAAAAAGCTCAGTATGAACCTGCAATTGAGAAGTAACAATGGAAAATATTCTGAAGCAGTCAAAAAGACGAAGAGCACAGCCTGAAAATTTTGTTTAATACTAATACCAAATGCGTGATTATATGTGTACCTTAAACTGATTGTGGCACAAATCATTTTGTTTTGGATTTACTGTTGCACCAATGAAGTTGTGGCTCAAAGCTTCTTACATAATTATGGCAGAGCTCGCAGAGCGTAGCCCCATAATTATACAAAATAGTAGTAACCCATCAAGCGGATAAAATTTGGACTTACGACGGTATGACTGACCGTACAAGATGCTACTTTTAACATGCGTGGTCAATTGTGCCACGGGCACACCAACGCCACGGCTTTTTCCAGTAGTCTAGTGGTCAGTGTACTGAGCTCCGGCTCAGACAACCTGGGTTCTAGTCCTGGCTGGGGCAAGGCATTGTGCCCTTAAGACTTACGGGAAAAAAAAATGTGAGCTCTGCTTTTAGGCTTGGCTAAATCTATATATTATTCTTGTAAAATTTGGATATGCTTGATTAAAGCCTTAAAATCGTATTCCCTGGTTGAAAGATGTTGAACACTCCAGTAAGTACAAAGCAACTGTTTGCCACTTGTCACTGTATTTTTTTTTGTTAACCTAGTTGCCAATATGAAGTTTTCTTGTTTTTGATTTTATAGTTGCTCCAGAGATGACAAATCTTACCATTGAGAACAATCCAAAGAACACCACAGTACTTTTGAACAGCACCTTGACACTTCTCTGTGTCACAAATGCCAACCCTCCTGCTTTGTATCACCTGTATTTCAATGAGAGTTATATTGGTAACAGCAGCTCTGGAAAGTTTAATTTTACTGTTGAAGGCGATGGAGTTTACACTTGTGTTCCAATAAACACAGTGGGCACAGGAAACAATGACACTCTTATTATTACCACTGTTGGTGAGTTACCATGTATATTTTATAGTACTGTAGCTAAGGTGAGTCATGGTGGTTGGTGTGACTCATAATAATGAATTATGTGAGGAAATTAAAGCATGATGCTTTCTTTGCTTTGATTGTCTTTGGTTTAAACTGTTTTGTATTAATTGAGTCTATCTTGATTTGGAAAGCGTTGTTTTACAAATCAGTGTGAAGTCACCAACACTATAGTACTTGATATAATTTAATGGATATTCCCATAATTATGCTCTCTAAGGAGTACATGTGTTACATCAATAAAAATGATGTTTCCACCAATAACTTGCAAAATCTTATTATTAATCTCTACGTGAGTACATTAATTTACATGAATACAGGACATTTCGCACAAAAGACTTTTCGCACAAGTCGTTTAGCACAAGTTTTGGACCGTTCGCACAATTCTTAGAGGTCATTTCGCACAATAATTATAAGTGAAAAACATCAATATAAAAGGTATACTTATTGATACTGATAAGACATTTCACCTTCACATGTCACTTTCAATGAGATCTATCAGCGAGAACGTAGACATTTATTTACGTAATAACTTCAACCGAAACTCTTGTGAACACGATCCCTATTCTTACTTGAAGAAAGAAACAAATCTTTCTCTCTATGAAAATGTAAAGAACTCCTATTCGAAAGATTACTTTACTTTTCCTTTGTTAAACGAAAAACCTTTTAGTTTTGACTGTACATCATCCACTACAAACATGCGAACATGACGACCCGACACAAAGGATGCCATGTTGATTTCGAAACTAATTGTCACCAATCCTCCCTCCTCTGAAGTCAAAGTAAAAACCTGCAAACTGTTTCACTTTTTATTTAAAAGGGGAAAAGACCTTTTTACAAAATTTCTGTGTAAATATATAAAATTCGGATCGATAAAACATGCTATTTGAAGGCGATCGAACAAGGCCATGTTACCCGACGAATCATGTATATTTTAACTCGCTACTCGGTCAAGACTCGTAGAAATTTAGCCCTTTCCTCATTCATTTAAGCTATAGTACATCTAAATTTCTTTATTTGTTTTGATCTTAAGCTTGTATGATTACCTATCGAACGGCTAGCGTATAATCTTTGAATTATTTTGAATTCTTGAAACTTTCATTTTTGATATTTTGATATTTGAGTATCTAGTTACTACCTACACTGACACGTTCAAGTTGTCAAATCACAACACTTGCACGTGCCGACATTCGATGTGGATCACTCTCTGAATATCGAGTTATTAACGTTGAACTGTTTTTGCTGTACGTAGTACCAGTATGCCCAATTTTCATTATATAATGAAGATATAAGAAGCAAGTTTTCAATAGCTTTATTTGAAACTCTTACGGATCGATAAAACATGCTATTTGAAGGCGATCGAACAAGGAGGGAATACTGGTGACAATTACTTTCGAAATCAACATGGTGTCCTTAGCGTGGGTCATCATGTTTGCAAGGTAACTTTGTAGTGGATGATACTAAAAACTAAAGATGAGTAGCACAGTCACGCCGCCATTTTGGACTCAAGTGCCTTTGCTAACGAATATCTTCGGGAAGGTTTAACCTCTAAATCTCACACTTTCTACAATATAAGCTTAGTTATCCTACTTCATTTTGGTGTAAAGAAAACAAGGTTTGCGACAAAGTGAAAATTGTAAAAAATAAATATTTCCTGAAAATGCGTGAATTTCTGGGTGTAACGCGTAACATGAAATGTATCAGACGGAAGAAAAAAAATGAAATATCTCAATATAGAACGCACATGGGGCCACTATTTTTTGGCCGTTAGTAGTTTATGACAAAAGCAACATGCAGTATGATTTGCAACAAGAATGGTTTATTCTAACGCAAGTTATAAACGTCTGTTTTTATCACTGAACAATGTAACGCTCGCAACTATTAAAACAACCATAGTGTGCAAAACTAGCAATAATGATAATTTCGACTGTGTAAGCAACAAACTAATAACAAAAATGTAATGGGCATACATCATAATATTTACAAACCAACGCTGAAGTTGAATCGTCAAGCAGAATGTTTTCCAGATCAAAATAAAACGCGCGGAAACACATTTCGTAACGGCCATATTGAGCTTAATTCCATCACATATCCACCAGTAGATCCGTTGTCAGACGCGATTCTTGTTAAGTTGAGTAAACAAGCTCACCTCTCCTGGAATGGGCTTGTATTAAGCTAAAGTTACAGAACGTTTCAACCCATTTCGTTAGATCTAACGCTAGAAATTTACGTTTGGTCGACGCGGAAACACTTTCCGCCATTGCTGCCGTGTTCATGAACCGTAACGAAGGAAAGTGACGAAGGAATATGGCGAAAAACACCACCAAAACTTCCACGAAATCCGCTCCTTCGCAGCTTCTCTTTGAAAGCACATAGTTTGTTTACACAGACAATAACAGGGGAGTCCATACAGAGTTTGCAGGGGCAGATTATTGCATAAAAATGAAATGTATTGCGTGATTTTCAACCTCACATGCCAAGGGAGAACAGGATGCTGCAGGTTCTCACGTTAAGCAAAAAGTCAGCCAAGCTGTCCTCAGAAGAATAGCTACTATCACCAGTGCTCGAAGCATGCACGACTTCTTAGTCCAGCACTTTTCCCAGCCAGCACCATCAAGCTTCTCAGCAAGAACAAAGTCAGTTCAGCTAAAGCGCAGGATCTTCCATTTTGTACCATCTTCTGGGGAGGGATCTGTTGTCAGGAATAGAGCTGGACGCAAATTCACAGAATTAAAAGGAATCAGAAAACTGCATTGCGTGAAAACCACCCCTCAGCAGGGAAAGGTGTTTGTGAATGATGAGGAGAACTGCACTAACAAGGCATGGCTTGATGAATGGAAGCCGGTGGAGCTAACCAGAGAGGGTGATGTGGCAACCACTCGACAGGCAACTGAAGCACCAATTTTAGACCATGATACTGCTTCCTACATAGCTGACCTGGCCAGCAAGGGAAGTACAGTTGCGATAGCCGCTGAAGATGATCCTGTCTACAGCTTCTATCTCCTTCAGGTCACTTCTGATGGAGTTGAAGAACTTGACAGTAATGTCACAGATGACTATCAGTGTCATTATTACAGAGGAGACAGAGTTCTTAAGGGGCACTTTTACATAAGGGAGAACATTCATGACATACCTTCACAATTGACGAAAAACGGAAAGCGTTTGTACATGCTGCTACTGTCCGTCACATTTGCGGTGACCTACCAGTCAGAAAGAGAGGACGAAAGTCTATTTACAAACTCCCTTTAAAAGAAAATGAGGAAATCATTGCCTCAATGTGAACTAATAATTACAAAACCTCTTTTTTTCCATTTTTACATTGATTTTCTTAAGATTTTATGAAAAACCAAAAATGTGCCACGCCCACAAGGGATTGTGGGTAATACCAAAATTAGTGTTATTAATGCAAAATAATAAAAATATTTACAGATATTGATTACAATGTACATTTTGATCAAAATTAAAGTCAAAAAGTGATAAAAAGTGAAAAAATTAAAAAAGTTATTTTTGAACTATGTTACAGCAAATGGCTATGTGACTGTGCTACTCATCTAAAAGGTTTTCCGTTGAACAAAGGAAAAGTTATAGAAGTAGTCGTTCGAATAGGGAGTTCCTTACATTTTCATGGAGAGAGAATGTACCTTTCCTTTCTTCAAGGAAGAATAGTGATCGTGTTCACGAGCATTTTGATCTATTAGAAGTTATTACGTAAATAAATGTCTACGTTTTCGCCGTTAGATCTTGTGAAGGTGAAATGTCTTATCAGTATCAATCAGTATACCTTTTATATTGATGTTCCTCACTTATGATTATTGTGCGAAATGACCACTAAGAATTGTGCGAACGGTCCAAAACTTGTGCTAAAAGACTTGTGAGAAAAGTCTTTTGTGCGAAATGTCTGGTTACCATTTACATGTACACTGTATGATTATCTTTCTTAATTAAAAGTAAGCAAAAAAAGGTGGGGACATGCCCAGTGAAATTTGTATTTAGCAAACCTCACTTAAATGGACACCCTGTCCTAACTCACTTTTCCCATATTTACTTTATTTAACAAAAGGAAACCTATTGAAAAAACACAGACACAAAAACTTAGCCCTTTGTTCCTTGTTTTAGGCAGGCAGCATGAGCCTTTTTGGCATGGATGTGTCAAAAAAAGAAAACAAAAACAAACAAACAATTGAAAGTGTCACTGTCAGGCCTTAATAATTCATGGAAAGGCCACAAGTCGTTTCTTTTTCTTAGGAGTTATTCCATGTTTTACGTGTAGGTAATTTTAATACTTGTGTGGTTGTATAAGAGATATTACATGATAACAAGAAGATACGAATTTTAAGTTCTTGTACATTTACTTGAAAGGAGTGCTACAGAGTTCTTTCTAGGCCCAAAATTTGTATTGTCTAAGCTTACAGCTGTATGCATAATTTTCCTTTTTTTTATGTGGACAAGGAAAATCATAGTTCATAGTTCATGTAGGTTTGCACAATTTAATCCCAATACTGCAAAGCTAAGATACCACACCACAATTTGAAAAAACTAATGCCTAGCCTAACAAAATGACTAAAAACCCTGTTACAAGATTGCTGTACAAATACAAGAGATAGGTGTAACTTGATCAGGCAGAACACAGGCTAAAACATAGGGTTTTAGGTTATAGGGGTTTTTTCGTTCACAGATGACACAAATTTTGGTTATTCCATGTTGTTTGTTTTGCCGAGAATGGCTGAGAAATGTACAAAGTTTTAAAAGTCATTTGCTGAGCTATTGTTCTGCCCATTAAATCTTTGCATAAACACAATTAAGCCTTTTACGAACACATTGGATCAACACTAAGTTTTAAGTGTAAAATTGATTTCATCCCACAGAAACCTCTCAGTAGAAAGAGGAATAGTGAGTTTTGTTAAAGCGAAAAAGTATTACATTGCAAGATAAATTGCAAATGGAAATTTTAATGCTAATGATATCAAGTACCATTGGAAATTTAGGTGTTTATGTACTGTAGTCACCTGCGTAATGACATCAAACTACAGATACTAATCGAGTTAAGAAATGTCCACACCACTGCCTTTATTCAAAACATGCACTTTGTTAGCCCTACATTTAGAGACTTTAAACAGGTTATGTATCTCTGGAAAAAAAGAAACACTGAGTTTGAAAAATTTAGGAAAAGCTGAACATACCTGGTTGTAATTAAACTGATCAGTTTCATAAAACCAATGTCTGAAGATTTCAACTCAAATCACAACAAAATATTGTTTCACCCTGCTACTCTAAACTTGTGTCAGAGAATGTTGGGTTTCGGAATCATATACTAGACAATTGATAGGTTGAATATTTTAAACATGCTTTATTCAAGCCCTCAATCAGAGAGTTCTATTCCTGTGAGATTGATCTACATCAAGTGACATGTTTTACAGATGACCTTCAATAGATCAAAATAATATGTGAGTGAACAAATCACAAACATTTGCATTTTAACATTGACTCATTTTCAACTGTAAAACTCACCAAACAAGATTTTGTCTTTTTGCAAAATCAAACAGTCCACTAATTCAGGAACACATTGATTATAATCACAAAACAAACATCCTCCAGCAGAATTAAGCATGATTGTATTGTAAACCAACAATGAATGCATGGGGTGAAAAAGTAGTTAATATTGACATGTGATTTGAAACAGGTATCACAGAGACAGGAATCCCCCCCCTCCCCCCCAAAAAAAAAAATACAGTGTGGGAGAAATTAATACAAGGAAAACCAGAACATACCCAGAAGTAGAAACTAGATAAGATAAGCAATCAAGCTACCAAGCATTACTGGACAAGAGTGATCTAATGATGCTTTAGAACAAAAGACTGCAAGGTATTGCTATCTTTATGTGTAAGGTGAAACACAAACTATGCCCCACCATAATGTGCAAGCTATTTCATATGCGTTGTTCACCCTTCAACTTAAGGGTGACAGAGTTTGCCATCCCCAGATTTAGGACCAAGAAATATGGTAAACAATCGTGTACCTACTGGGGACCTGCAAGGTATTGCTATCTTTATGTATAGGGTGAAACACAAACTATGCCCCGCCATAATGTGCAAGCTATTTCATACGCATTGTTCACCCTACAACTTAAGGGTGGCGGAGTTTGCCATCCCCAGATTTAGGACCAAGAAATATGGTGAACATTCGCTTACCTACTGGGGACCAAAGTTGTGGAATAAGCTACCAAGCAAAATTAGAACCCTCCCATGATTATTTAGTTTAAAAATTGTATCCATAAATTTCATTTGATGGTAATGGTAGAATGATATTTGTTCCAATGACATTCTTTGTAATTCTTAATCTTTTTTTAATAATAATTTATCCCATTTATTGATAGTTAATAGGTTTTTAACTATATTATATTTTTAATTATATTGTTAGGCTTTTTTTGATAGTTCATTAGAAAATAGTAGGTTATTAACTATAAGTGTCTCCTATTAGTAGAGGGGTTTTTAACCTTATCAGATAGATATTCAAGACACATTAAGAAAGTTTATAATGATGATGATAGAAACCCAATTTTCATGTTGTCTGTTAGAAATCATGCATCCATTAATTATGTATTCATTTGGTGCTTTCCCTATTGGCCTACAGCAGAGTCTTGCTTTGGCTTGGGGCTGTTTGTTTTTTGATTACATCTAAAATCAATGCTTCTTGTATTTTTGAACTGTTTAACTTGACAAGAAAGATAAATCCCATTTGGTTAGTTTTACAGGTGTATAGAAGGCAATGTACTTTAAATGCTAACAACATGGATATCAGCGTTTTTGCTCCTTCACAGATTTAAAGGGATAAATGTACAATGTATATTATGTAAATGATCTTGATCTGTGAATAGAGGTTGTTGTATGAACTATTTCAGCTTGATAAGTATCAGCAAGTTGAACTCATATTAATAAGTAAAAAGGTAGCTGACTTCATAAGGATTAAAATTTCCGTGTGTGCGTGATTTATGCCACATAATATTTTTTGCTTTGACAAAACTCATTTTAAATTCTCTTTCCTCTGAGAGGTTTTGTGTGGGAAGAAATCAAGTTTATGTTTAAAAGTAAGAGATTAATATATATTTGTCTATGTGCTCATGAAAGCCTGCTCACATGCTTCTTTGAAATAGTATGCTCAGGTTTTTTCCATTACTCTCTGCCATCCTTTTATTTTGTATTAAGTGGTTCAATTTGTATCTCAGTTCCTTCATCAGTAGAAATATCAAACAAAACAGCCATTGCAGTGGAAGGACGCAGATTGAATTTTACTTGTACTGCATCTGGCAAACCAAAGCCCAAGATAGCATGGACTAAGGTTGGCAGTGCTATAGTGATAACAGACACACCATCAGTTTCAGTTATTGTGGACAGACCGAGGACAGCAGACAACATGATCCAGTATCAATGTACTGCCTGTAATGGAGTGGAGACACCTGCTACAGCCACAGTCAATGTCACTGTTTACTGTAAGTACCAGTATTCATTTTTCAAATGTTTGTATTTGGTAATTGTAGAATCTCAGGAGCAGTTTTAATTCAAGCATTACTGCAAAAGAAAATTTATAGGAGTAAAGGAAACATTCTCTTGAATCCCAAATCTCTTAATTATTGGAAATAAAATCAAGCATGGCAAGAAATTCCAATGGAGATGGTGAAGAAATCCTTCAAGAGCTGTGAAATTTTTAGTGAAACATAAGAATCACAGGAACTCAAAGGTGAAGAAATGGAAGATGAGTTCGAGATAGGGAGTGAAGACCACTAGACTGATGGCAAGTAAACTTAAAATTTAAAGCCCTTATTCCACACAAATGGTTCCATTAGGATTGAGCCACCAATATGTTAAAGGTTTAGTGATCAAAACTCTACAGCTTGTTTTATGATGTTCGATTTCTTATTGATGCTTGGAGGGGATAATTATTCCAAATATTTGGCTACTGGCAGAACCCTGTTTAAGGTTCCTTGGCATGTAGGGGAATAAAAACTGTAACATGGTGAAAAATTTATGCTTTGTACTGAATTTAATTAGCGAGTTAAATCAAAAGTTAAAAGGAAAGCTAAATAAGTTAGTTTCTGAAAGAAACTGTTTCTGGGATTTTTGATTTGCTTTTTCCAGAGCCATGGTAGTTAAATTGTCACAATGATGTAAGCTGGGAGCAATGGTTCATGGAATTTGAAATCCCATAATATTTTTTTTCATTTTGTCTATGAATTCAGTCATGCATCTCTGTCCCAACCAAACACTCATAGGAAAAGTTTGAAACCTGAAAGTCAGGGAGTACTGAAGCGAGAGATGTATTATAAGCAAAATTAATGAGGTAGATCTTGGAGAGTGGATTTCTGTGGGGATTTACATGTATGAGGCTTGGAGTTTGAGCAGTTAACTTATGATGTCTGCAGTCCCTTTAGCACTACAGCACCACAGCTCAAAATCTAAGTCTACTGAAATGGCACCTGAAAAGGAAAAAAAACAACAATAAAATAATGCAAGCTTATGTAATTATTGCCTCTTTTTTTATTAAATCTGAAAAAAAAAGGCAGAGTTCATGGCACAATTTTTTTACCAAATATTCTTGCATTTGAGCTTAACTTGCTTTTTCAGTGGTGCCACACTGATAATTAGATATCATTGAATCACATTTAATACATTTGGCAGATGTTGATTACAAGATCTGCTGTGTGAATCTGACATTTTTTTATACCAGAGACATGCAACTTCTCACTGCTATCTAGGTGATATACTTGCATTTACTTCTATTTTATGTTCACATGTTCAGCCTTCTAACCTACAAGATCAACCTCCCTCAAAGATTGCACTCAGATATGGAACCCATCAGTGAAAGCACATGTTTCATTTTCAAAATATGTCTGCTTCCATCAAACAAAAGGCAGAGGGTGATTTATTTCGCTTATTTCAACATGGCTAAAGACATCATTAATTTAAAGCAGCAAAAAACTGTTCTTCCCAGGTTGAGCCACTGTAAAGCTGATAGTATAGTGTACATGTGAATGCACCCATAACATCCTAGCTCTTTGCTTTTTACTACATCTTACAACTCTTTGTTTCATTTTGCAAAACACCTTTTTGCCTAACTCTATCACATGACCTGTTACCAAATATGGTCTAATGCTGAAGATGGTGAAAAAAGAATGAGCTGATTAATTCAAATGACAGTGATTTTCGAGGCGTTTGAACAGTGTATGAAGTTATTAATTCGAATTACAGTGATTTTCGAGGCGTGTGAACACTGAATGACGTTATCACTTCAAATAACTGATTTTTGGGGCAGTGTGAACAGTGCTGCTTATTGTCCTAAGAGAGACCTTTAGAGTTACAGCAGCACAAGGACTCCTCGAACAGAGAGCAACCCTCCACAGATGGAATTTACTGACGGAGGATTCCACAGGATTTGCATCCTTTTGATCCAGAAAGAATTTGATGTTTGGTTTATGATCCCTGAATGCAAACCCACACCACACAGATGAAATACTACGGTAATAGCACATTGTCCTTATGTAAAATATACACAGAACAGATTTAAAATTTTTTCTTTCAATGTTCAAATATTTTATGGAAGGAGGATGAGAGAACTACTTGACACATCACATCAGGAAGTTTCATTTGAATGGATATCCTACCTATTTAGTTAGGAGATACTTTTTCAATGGGTATTTATTTGTGAAAAAAGTAATGAGTGCCCTTACAGGTATGCCTCTTTTCACTGGAATTAAGAAACCCTTTGTTTCTTCTCAGAAGCACCATGTATAGTTATAAAACGGAATTTTACTTGTGTTTGGTATGTATGGTTTATGTATTTATACTTGATACTCTTATCAAGGAATAACTGTTACAGTACATTTTTTGTTTTTTTGTTTTGTTTTGTTTTGTTTTGTTTTTTATTTGATTCTTTTTGTCTGTTTACAGAATGTCAGGTTTTTACAAATATGATGAATACAGTTGCTTAGACAAACTTATTCGTGGTGAATCTGCCACTGTGCATCTGCTCGTTGCAGAGTTCATGAGGATCAAGTTCCATCTTGATGCTTTGGATGTAAGCTTCTCACTTTTTGTTTGATAGTGCATTTAAAAGTGCATTATTAACTTAGCTCTACAGATGTATAATTATTTATTGTCAGCCTCGGCTTAATGTTAACCTAGAAGAGCAGGTAACATTTTATTGCTAACAATAAACCATTGTTTTACTTTGCTGCACTGTCAGGTTTTATGATCCTACTTGTTACTTACCTATATGATACATTTTGAAAAGTCCAATCTACCAAGTCCACTTTTTACCAAAGCAGCCACCCATTACGTAACAAAAAGTGAAACTTTGTGTGTGTTGTCTAACAAAACAACTTTATTTAAGCGCGTCAGTTAATTTAATTTATGGATTAATTTGCTAAATTTGTTGAAATAAGCTCCGTCCAGTTAAGGTTTTGCAGTATTCCTGTAAACACAGTCACAACCAAGGGCTTCAATCAACATTGTGAAAGATACCCCCTAATGCTAAGCAAATAGGCATAGTCTCAACGATGATCATTGGATATTGAGACTTGGTATTCTTACATTCATTCTGGACAGTTATTGCACCAAAGACCCCGTCTAGTGTCTCATTTTTGTAAGGCAACACGCAGAAGGCAGGGCTGTACAGCAAGAATGAGACACAACATCTCAGTTTAAATCTGTAGAAGCATCTTGCAATGTGCGGAAACAACGTTACCAAGTAGCCAGGGTTATGGTGCAAAATTTCAAGGTTACTCACAAAAGCTTTACTTCTTTATAACCAACTTTTCATTTTTCGAATAGTACTTCATCCTCAACTATTTTCCTCTATTGTACAGCTCAGAATGTTATCAGAATACATTTTATTTCGTTGCTGACTGAAAATTTAGAAGCTAAAAGAAAATGTACTCTTTGCAACCCTCATTTTCTCATTTAGTTTGAAAAAATAACTATAAAGATTAGAAATTTAGAGGTATGATTAATAATGATATGGAGGTACTGTAGATCTTCAACATTGCAATTTGTATGTTCTGGTATGCAGAGCATCTTGACTCCTTAAGTTCAAGCAGTTTAACCTACACATCTTGGATGCCAGCTGAGAGGATGCAACTAAAAAGCAATAAATTAAGAAAGTATTTGGCTGACATAGTGCTCTCTACTCAGTTTGCTCAAGGTGTATAGTAATCGGGGGAACTGCCGAGGGAGTTTGTTTATTTGGACCTAATTAGTGTTCTAACTAAAAAGGTGGAAAGCTTTCAACTTGAACAGTTTAGCTCATGTATTATACATTTATTCACAAGGTCTGCTATTCGTTTTTTAGATAAACCAGCTGTAGTTTTAAGGACAAATGCTACAACAAATGAAACTTGTGGGACTATGTGGGTGAATTTTGCTTGTAACTCATCAAGGGCTAACCCACCAGTTCAGAGGTATCTGTTATACGGATATCATGGAGTTGAGCTGAAGGAAACAAATATAAGCACTCTTGGAAACTGGATAAGAGAGGTATCACAAAAAGGAAACTGGACTTTCTACTGTAAAGCCATTCAGATTTTGGAAGATACTGCACTCGCCCAGAGATTGGGAATTGGCACAAGTGCCAACAATGTGACACTGTCTGTTTATGGTAGGTATCGGAAAAGAGGTATAAAAGGTCAATAAGGTCAAGGTCAAGGGATCTCGGCAATTTTATATTTTATGACATATTCTATAGCTAATCTGCAAGAATTTGAATGTAAGGAATTTATTCCCATAAGACTGAAATATTTTAGTGGTATATACCACGCTCTTTCTAAGCTAATCAAAAATCTGGAACGTGATTGGCTATTACCAACCCGACCTAAGAACTATAAATAGGACAGTGTACGCGTCGTGCTTGTAATAGGACAGTATATATCGACAGCCTGTGACGCCTGTGTATCGGACGCTGTTGTCACGCATTTCACCGACTTGTAGCTGTTGTTTTATGTGAAAATTTATAAGCAATGGTTAGTTTGTTCCTCAAATTTTTTCCTAGTTTTAATTAATCACTAACAGGACTTCATGTCATCCAATTAGTCTGTAATCATACTTGTAATTAACAAATCGGATTGTAAATCACTCGAATGATTACAGAACGAATTGGAATCCATTCAGTCCCATTGCCATAACTAATTGCTTCATGTGTACAAGCAAAGTGTTTTTTCCAGAAGTGAAAATATCATCATGACATTTTGTGATTTAAGCCCTTGCACCTTTAATTTGGTTCACAAGTACATTTCATTTCACAGTACACTGAATTGTTGGCTGTGACATCTTGTTATAATACTGTTAATTCTGTTTCTTATGCTGTTGTTGTTACGATGTAGTGCAGCTTATTCTGTCCTGTAAGAGCTTCTCACCTTTTTCCTTTTAATTTTTACCATCGAATTTATGGTTGTCTGCTTTTTTCAGCTAATACGTATGTAGCACCAATTGAGGATATAAACTACACAGAGCACGAAAGTGTCAAAAGGACTTGCAACACTTCTGGAACTCAAGTATCATCTGTTTTTTGGACTAAGGTTGGCAGTAACCGTCGATGGGAGGGAAAAACATTGATCTTTTCTAGTATCACCATGCTTGATGAAGGAGAATACAGATGTGAAGCTGTTAGTGAGAAGTGTAACAATGGCAACCAAACCACTTTCATCTCAGTGCATTGTAAGGCTTCATATAGAGTTACTATGAGTTATCAATTGTGTTATCAATTTTTTTCTTCGCTCAATGAGAGTAATTGGTTTTTATAAAAAGCCATGTTTCTCTAGAAATATTGACGAACAAGTAAATTTTGATTTTCTAAAGTAACTCCCTTCATGTAACAACTATTATCTGATAGGTTAGGTTGCCAAATAGAAACAGCTTTTAAAAATTACTTCAAACAACCAAGATTTTTTTATTTCAGAATTTTTGAAATGGATTGTTCTACAAACAGTCTTTTATTCAAGGCATGTAATAATTTTAAAAAACAAACAAACCGAAAACAAAAGAAATTGCAAAAAGAATAATAAAACAACTGGAAAAAGACAATAATAATAATAATAATAATAATAATAATAATAATAAAAAGAAAACCACAAGAGCTGAAAGGTTGTAGGGAAAACGAAGACCCTCAAAAGCTTAGACTTAAGACTTAAGACTTAAGACCCGAAAACGAAGGCTCCTCTATTTTTTTAATTTAATATGATTTTTTTTTGCTTTTTGGCCGGAAATATCCAACTTCGCTTTTAATCTTTGTAACAGTGATAAAGCCGAATGCAATTAAACACCGGTTTTATGTTAAATGCATGCCAACTTTGAAGAGAGCGTGCAAGCTCTCCAGCTCCCCTGGTTTGTTCGAAATTCGCTTGTTGTAAAGATTGCTGTTAGTAAAACATCACTTTTTGCCTTGTGTGAATTCTTGGACCATATTAATTACTTCTGAATCCATTTGTGATGTGTTCTCCATGACCTATTCGCAAAGGTGTTAGTGTGTGGTCGCCAACTCGGATTTGAAATTTTCAGGATTTATCTACATAGCTCTATTAAATTCTGTGTATCAACTCCTTTGAAACTTGTATGAAAAAAGAATTGCTGCTGGTTTAAATTGCGTTTGTTAAATTCCATGTGAATGGGCAGGACTCGGATATTGAAATGAAAACTTTTCGGAGCTTTCTTTTGCACAGCCGTTTCTCTGACATGACTTTAAACTTAAATCCAACAAAATGCTACACAGGCTTTTTTATAGGCTCATTCTGAACGTAAGTGTGGAATTTTGAACAAGCACGGTTGATCTTATCTTCTAGGATTCGGACGATCGAGCACAGGCTATAATCGATGCTAGAATCCATTGAGCTTTATTTCGAGATCCGCCGTCCCAGCTACGATATCTTTTCCTCTAGATTTCGTTCGGCTTTGCTTCTGTTGGGAAAAGTCCCATAACAGAACCACACTCTAGGATGAAGGTCGTTTAAGAATCATCAAGGAAACAAGAATCCAACAGTTCTCACACGATTTTCACTGGCAGTTAGTTCGATGGGAACAAATGAACGGAATTAAGGGAACACATGTAAAACCGGTGTTTAAGTGTATGCCTTATCGCCATTAGAAAAATTAAAAACAGAGCTGGATATTTCCAGCGAGGAACTATAACAAGATCATGTTAAAGAAAATAAAGGGGTCTTCGTTTTCGGGTGCTTGTTTTCGGGTATTCGTTGTTGGGTCTTAGGTCTTAGCTTTTAAGGTCTTCGTTTTCGCCACAACCAGGGCCGGAATTCATTTGACACCAGTTGTTCAAAAGGTTACTTTTATTTAACTTGTTGGCAGTTAATAAAATTGAAATTGACAATCAAAAACAATTTGGCAAGTGGTCTGAGGCTGTACGATTTGAATTTGTCACAATCTCTTTATTGTCAGTGTGCAATTAATTTTCAGTTGAACAGGAAAGAAAGATATTTTACTTTGAACATTTGTATTCCTTTCTCAGACAAACCAAAGAATGTCACTTTGAAAATAACAAGGACCAACGTCTGTATAGAGTCTGCAGTTACCTTTAAATGTGAGGCAAGAGCCAATCCAGAAGTCGAATACTATCAGTTGTATGAAAACAGTGCCCTAATTGCTAATGAAAGCAAATATGGAATCTGGAACAAGAAGATGTCGAAAGAAGGGGAATTCAGTTACACTTGTGAGGCGAAAAATCTTATAGGAATCTGGAAAAGTAGTTCCGTCAATGTCACTGTTAGTGGTAAGTCTTGTTGATAGAATTAGTTTTTTTACATCTCACCCAAATCATACAGTCTAGTGATATCTAATTTTTGTATATACTCAGTAGAGTTGGTGTAATGCATACACGGCAATAGTTACATGTACTTTTGTTTGGAATTGATCTAACGCTTCGATGATTTTCTTTATTCTTTTGTGCAGCTCATCCTACCATATTGAGTATCAATAATCCTAGTGCCTTTGAAGGCAGTGACTCGACTCTTTTCTGTAATGTATCTGGTTTCTCCACGACCGTCAGCTGGAAAAATGTACGAAGTAAAGAGGAAAGGAGAGCCAGGAACTGGATTTTTCGAAATATTACCAGATTTGATAATGGGAACTATACATGTTATGCCAACAATACTTGTGATTCTGTTAGTAAAAGTATATATGTCAACGTCAAATGTAAGTTATGTCTCTACCACATTGATGTTGTAACTTCAGTTGTAATTTTTCATCTAAGATTCAAGTCAAAGATCATTTAACTGAAAAAAGTGTGATACACTTTTCTCCTTGTATTCAACAGATCTAGTAAAGAACATGCATCTGGTCACATACATTTTGTTGACCTCGTGACCTTTTTCACTCTCTGGAAAGTGTTCCTTGATTTTCCCGACTTCCCTTTTCTTAAACTTTTCGTCAAAGCTCCCTCCTCTAGGCAGTCATCTTAAGGGACCGTCATCCATTGTGTGATTATTCTGAAGGTCTTTTCTGCAAAGAAGATTTTTTTTTTCTGTTTTGTTTGTTTTATATTTACAACTTAGTGGTATTGGTGGTAAAGTGAAGTCGATGTAATCAGATTGTTGGTTTATTTTTGTCATTAGATTGGCTAAACAGAGAGACCTTTAACAGAACTTAAAGGAAAATTCCCATTAATTAGTAGGGCGGGTGTCTCATAGCTTTACATAGGTTAAACTATGCTGAAGGTGACAAGCGGTAGACAAGCTTCTCTATCAAAAGACAATTTACAATAAGTGATAAAATTTAACTCAACCGTAAATGACATGTTTTTCTTGAACTGTACTTGAACACTCAATAACTTTCTCAGTACAAATGATATGCTTTATGATGTGCTTTTTGGGTGCAATTTTATTCAAACTGCTGAGTTTCGGCGAGGGCTTCTGAAGTTTTATGACCAAAAACTCCAAAGTTGTTGAAGCATGGTAATTTCCCTTACATGTCCCTTGTAAATTTACTTTCTTTTCAAATAATTTTTTTGATGAACATGAAGGATCACGTGCTTAAATCATTTCTATGATCTATTGAAAGTCAAAGGGAGCTTGACGTTACTTTTTCCCACCAGCTTTCAAATAAAAACTCAACAAGTGAGTCGCACATGTTGAGCATTTTTAATTACAAGTTGAGTGAAGTCAAACTTGGAGTTTTTATCCTGGGATTTGCTGTTAACAAATACTCCAGCAACTTCAGCTTCTGACACCTAAACTGTACAATCTTTCAGTTTGCTCACAACAAAAAAGAAAGGTAAAGAGAAAAAAAAGGAGCCTTTTCGTCACTATTAGTGTAGATTAATTTTTAAAGTTAACGTACAATCTGCTGATAGATTTCCGTGCTCCACGTGTTTTAAGTTCTAAATATCAGCCGTTTGGTTTCTACAAATCAGATTTGCCCATCAAAGCCTTGATATAGTTGTGAGTAACATGAAAATGTACCCAATAGTCAACTGCAATTAACTTCTAATATATGCAGTGGGTGATAACTTGGGGAAAAGGTGGTCGGCCCTCTATATAGGTTAGTCCTAATCTTTCCGCTTTTTTGTGTCCAGACAAACCATCTGCCACAACCTCAAGCAAGACTATTGACGTGGAGGTAGGAGGAGACATATCTATTCGTTGCCTTGAGGTCATGGGAAACCCCCCAGCTGCTATCTCCTGGTACCGAGGGAATGCTACTAGTGGCGATAGCATAACAAACAACGTAGATTTGAGGGTTAAGAATGCCAATGAAAGTGACTCTGGGTGGTATACATGTTTTGCGAAAAACGTTGCAGGAAATGCCACTTTCAAGGTGTTGGTACGGGTTGGTAAGTTGAATACTTTTTAGTTTGAATATCAACAACAAAACTACTTTTTAAGCCTTGTTGCCAACCTGTTAACATGACCCTGATAGCAAAGCTGCTCTTCTATAATACACAAGAAAAGAAAGAAGTAGGGCAAAGAGGAGGTTATTAAATGTACCGAAGTTCTCTGAATTCTTAAATGCTCTACACATTGTATCATATTGTACCATAAGGGTTCTTTTTTCTTTTGTTTAAGTAACATGAAATGAGATACGATGTTTAAATGATAAATGATATACATGAAAAAATTGTGCGCTTCAGATTGGCTGAAAACGAGTTTTTTATGTAACAAAAGTGTTAGTAATAAGTAACAGCATGATTTCTCGCGCAATTTGGTTTAAATAAGCACTTGTAAATTTTTCAAAGACTGTGAAAAATTTTACTCGTGCTTATTACCACCAAATTGCACTTGAAATCATGTTATTACTTATACAAATAGAAGCAATGTCATCAACAATAGGGAAGGTACCATCAAAGGCATATTGTAATTCCACAGTCATTAATGTGACAACCACATCAATGCCTATATAATTATAGCTCCTGACTCTTTTCATATGTTACTGCGAAGAGGTACAGATCAGGTGGCTACTGATTTTGAAAGAAGACGGGGAGACCCCCTTTTGTAAATTTTAAGGCAAGAATTGTTTGTGACATCTAGGCAGATGGTTTGTGTTTTGGTGAAATGCATAAATTAATTGTGACTGAAGATTATTTTACTTTTATCCTCCGTACCACGGACAACACCAGCTCCATGTCCAAAAACGCCTTCGGGTAAGTGCTTTTATATATACTTTTCAAAACCACAGTCAAATAAATAGGAAAAAGAACGTAATTCTTTCCTATCGTCTAAGGAAAAGCATTCGAAATTCGAAATTCAAAATGAAATTTTAAGGAAAGGTAAAACAAACCTGTTAATTTCAATGTGTGGGAAAATTCATGTGTTAAGGTCCTAAAATGTTGGGAAAGTGGAAGGAAATCATTGAGGTTTGAATATGAATATTGTATGTCATAAGCCACAAACGAATGTGCGTGAGTTAAAGGAGTTCTTGTATAGCGTACAAACTTTTATTTTTATGTGGGTCGAGTAAGTGGTATCAACCTACATGTAAACAACGCTTGGTGGTTTCTGAAAGCCTCTTTTTTTCTCTGGTTGCCATTTTTGGGGGGTCATTCTTGTTGTTGAACTGTTTGCATAGACCACCGATTTTCGCCTTTGTATTCCAAAACTACTCTGGCAGTATTTTTTGATCAATTACCCCTATGTAATCTTGTGTGCTTTTGTGCGGAGAACAAAGCCATAGGTTGTTCCACAACTTGAAAATGCATTATCTACTGTGATTATTGCCTTTTGAAAGCCTCGGAAATGTCTTTTTTTCCTGGTTTGGAAAAAGTACATGAACATGAAGAAATAAAAATTTTTTAACAGAGAAGGATATGTTCATTTTTTCACTTTGTTTGTTATAGAAAACGAGTTTCTCGGAAGAGTTGTAATAGAGGCAAGTTGTAGCGAAAGGTTACAAGTCGCCACAGAGTTCGCCAATATGGTAAGTTATCGTATTAGATTAATATTTTATTTCCTAAAATAGCATAGCTTATGCGAATAGATTATGAAATTACAGACAACATTTACATTACTGGGTATTGGTTCCCGCCTTCCATCCTGTGAGAGTTCCGGGAGCGTCACGCATAATTTTTTATCTTTTTCGGCGGCTGCAGAATAATAACTCTTTTCTATGGTGGCCTGGATCCTTGACTTCTTTCAGTTCTTCAACAGTGACTTGTTTTTATTCCATCCACGGCATTTTTTGTGTGTTCTGGGACTCCGGGCTCACATAACAAAGCAGTCAACAGCAGCAATGACGAGCTATGTAATGTTCTGGTACGACTTTCTGGCGCATTTGGCGATAGCCAACTGAGTTGCCATTTCCGCATTTTTTGTCTCCAAGCATCGACAACCTCTTGCAAAGGTGTATAATTCAAGTCTGTGAACACCATAAGAATAGCTTTAAAAATTGGATCGGAAAGTCATCGGAGTTGGGTGATGACTTATCAAGGCTTGGTCGGTTTGTCGGTCGATACTCGGCTAAAACCTTGACTGTTACGTTGCGATCAGCTGTCGGCAGCATGTTGGTCGAGTGTCATCAATATATTGGTGAATGATCGGTAGTACCTGTGTCTTGTTAACGATTGTTTTGCTGAAATAACAGTCTTCTTAGCCCCAACTGAAAATTGTAGCGGATGTGCTTTGGTCTAACGACTCAAAAACATATCACACCTCTGCAGGGTTAATTCTACCGTCATATGGGGTGCAAAAAATTGCACCCAATGACAGCAAGTTTTTGTGACTGAAGTGAATTCTGTGAGAACTTTATCGCCTCTTGTGATGTCAATTGTTTTTCTCCTCCTCGTTTTTTCGCTGACTTTAATAGAAAAATACGTTCAGACATCCTAAGGCAACTAAAGCTAAAATAAAGAAATAAAAATAGAACCATGCAAGTTGTTGGGTCACGGTCAGTGGTTTGAAGGTATTTTTCTTTTACTCTTTTTAGAGTTGTGAACTTCTTAGTGTATACGATTGCGAAGATGGCAGATCCTGTTATTCTAGGTATGATGTCCTTTTTAATAATTTTTTTTATGTATTTTCTGTGGCGGACCCTTAAACATATTGAATGAACAAGAAGTCAAAAAGTGTTTGAGAGTTTAAAGAAAACTTCAGAAGAGACTTTTTTGCGGAGAGCCATTAATATGCTTTGTGTACTACAAACTATATTTAGTCATTTCAAAATTATGATGCCGTGAAGGTTACTCTTGAGTTTTCAACTTCTCGGTGAAACTATTTACAGAAAAAGCTCTAAGTAAATTTGCTGTATATATCACAATAATGTTTCATCTCACAAATATGCTCTGAGCGATTTTGGTAAATTTTAATCCAGATCCTTGTATCGACGAGGAGCCACAACTTTGCGAATTAAGAGAAATTTTAATCGTCAAATTTCGCGTTTGTTAATTTAAAGTTAAGTCTTTTTTTTCCGGAAACTGTAAAGTAAATGGTATTATAACGTTGAAACAACTAGATCTCACTCATCAGCGAGTCCTTATCTCAAAAAGGAAAATGCTGAAGTTGTGAGAACATTTATTGACGATTTTCTGAGACGCTCCCTAAGAAATGTTTGGTGGGATTTCCCCATCACATCTGCACAATAGGCAACTTTGCTGATACTGTGTCCAAATTATTGCTGGGATTGGTCAACCCAAGTTGTTTGCCCGGCCTCGATCTTGTGAGATGCATAGTCGAAAACGTTTCGAAATTTTGTTAGGTTTATTTATTTGCAAACTTATTTCTTGCCATGATGAGCCATGGAGATCATTGATCAGTGTGATAATGTGAAAATGACCGTAGACATCCCGAAAGGTACAAAATTGTAAGGAAAACCTTGTATTACAATTCGTGGTAAAACAAACCTGTTTAGTAAGTTTGTGAAGAAGTCTATAATAAGTTCTTAAATATTTCCTTACACCCTCCATTCTATTCCGAAAGATAGACCTTTTGGAGCTCCAATGAAAAGTAAATATTCAGAGGAATGACCATTTTGGAAAATGATGAAAAATCGAGACTTAAAAAAGATTGAATTAGCTTCGGAGTAACGAAAAATACAATTTTTCAAAAGTGGCGAGGATCAAGACTGGAAAGTGAACTCTGAACTTGCTAACTTCGAGCGCGGCATTGCGTCATTTGGGTCATCATTCGTACCGGTAAATATTATTTTTAAGTGTTGATAAGTCCTAAGGATATTGTTCAAGTAAAGATTTTTTATTCGGTAAAACATAACTTTAGGCGATGTTATTTAATCTCTCAGTTAGTCGTATTTCACTGTATGGCCAGCAAAATTCAAAGTGTGTTTTCATTGCAAAACTTTCTCTTTAAAAAAAAAATTTTAACACGGTATAAGGAAAAATTGCGCAAACGAAGAGAAAGAACGAAACTCAGAGGCAGGCGTCCCAAACTTTCGAGTTGTTTTCTCAGAGATTTGGAGGAAGACAAGCGACAAATGGAGAAAGACGAGCACGACAAAGACAACTCGAGTCGAGAACTAGACGATTTTATCGCCGCCGAAACGTCGTCAAACACTGTGAAAAAGACGGAATACGAGTGGAAGAAGTTTGAAGGGTTTTGCGAACAGCAGGCCGATGGAAATTTTAATGTAATACCAGCTGCTGATACCAGCTGCTGCTCTCGACAAGCTCCATGACAAGTTAAAGATGTCCGAAGCAAAATGGCGGCGAGTACGAACCAATCAGTATTTCAAGTTTTCAAATAAGCATAGACGGATTATCTTCTTCTTGCTTGTCTTTCTCTTTTTGCTGCTTGTCTTCCTGCAAAAGCTCAACAAAGTAGGTTCAGCTCCCAAGCGATGCCACATCCTTCTTTCCTTGCGTCGACAACCATCTGTTCAATTTCCAACTGTCTTTAATCTTGTTCAGTCTGCACAGAATGATCCACCCGGCAGCTTCCATGAGAACGCTGCAAAACACCAAAAATTGGATGCTAATCGTTGAAAAAATCCTTGTTTTGTTTTCGATCGCATGGATAAAATTCATACATCCATTCATTTAACGTTGACTTTGAACAAAGTTAGCTGTTACGAGGACTACAAAATCGAATGACCGCGAAGCGTGTCTGATATGTCATTACTGTTACCAATTAATCATAGACATTACAATATTTTGAGAAAATATCTCCCGTAGAATCATTTTCTAAAATAAAAATTTCCCACATTTAGAAAATTCCCTGGTTTTGTTGGGTAAGTGGTTGTTGCTATGGTTATTGTAATTAATTCCGTGACTGGTGGATTTACCCGAGAAGATTTGGCTGCTTTAACAGTCCGGTTACGGGGGTCCGATAACATCCAACCGTCTGATTACACTGTGCGATTACAACTCTACAGAATAATTAGTAAAAATTAAAGCAGCTAATGCGATTAAATGTTTATTTCTGAGAAAACCCTGGGAATAGCTCTGTCAATTTTTTCCACTAAAAATCGAGCAAAGAAGAGGAAAACAAGCGGGATTGTACATCAAGAAAACGCTTAATCAAATGTGATGGAAGATGAAAATGTCATAACCAAACGTTTCACCGCAAAATGTAAATAAAAGATATAGGATATCTTCGGCCATTGTTACATGTACTCCTCGGCCTATCATGGAGCGAGAGAAGGTTTGCAAACATACACTCTTAAAACGTTTGCGAATTTCTTCGAGACTACAACAACAAAGATTGAGGCCACGCGAACGACATTCTGACGCTTGTATCAGCAAAGTTGCGTATGGTGGCGATTGCCATGCCATGCCACGCACTCTATTTCAAATAAACAGATGTGAGTGAATCGTTTGACTTCACAAGGGGAAGTTGGTTTTTGAGCGCTCTGAAGATAGCCGGTCAGAGCGTAGGGAAACTGTCTCCAGCCACCTTAAAATAATAAATAAATTGATAAGAACATTATAAAGCTGAAAAATATTAAAATCGAAAACCGACAAAGCGGTAGGTTTAAGAATAGCAGTAAGTTAAAACTGCTAAAAATTATGATTTTCGGATAAGCTCAGCCTGTCTGGAAACGTTTTGTTCTCAAATGAAATGTTTGATTCGCAGGCTTCCTCGGTAGTGCTTATTGTGTTCAACAAAGCCAATTTCGTTTATTTTTGAACAATCCTCGTTATTTTGACAAATAATAGTCTTAACTTTAACAAAGCATGTGTATTAAACCTGTTCCCCACTGTTAAATTTCCATTGACATTAACTTTCCTTTTCATAGCTGTGGTAGTGTGGTAGTATATTTCATTTTGAAGTTCAGGCAAGCCATAAGAGGTGGCCTAGTAGTAGATTTTCTGAACGAACAAGCGCAGCTTAACAAGTTTGGTCGATTGAAAGTCAAGTCCATAATTCAGATTTCCTCCCCAACCACTTCATCCGCATCACCCACAAGAGGTAAAGTAACAGATTTACTGAATGACGTCAAGCAGCATTTTCTTTTGGAACAGTTTAGACCATTTAATTGAACACCATCGAAGCCCTGGGCTGACGTATGTGTCTGCCATTTAGATGTCTCTAACACAATTTCCTGATAATTACTCTTTGTTATCTCCAGTACGTCACAAGGTAGAAAATAACTTTGGAATCTACGGAGGGAAAAAACCTCTCAACTCCTCGAATAAAAACACATGTCCGGCTTAGCTTACAAGTTACCAATCCTTATACCTTGTACTCGCATCAGTTATTTTTTAATTAAAACACAGGTCGTCTGATCTTGTTAGTGTTTAGATATGTCACTTACGTTGATAAGTACTTCTCTTGTCTTTTAGAACCATGCCTGGAGTCATTTTTTGAAGATGACACCTGTGAACGTAAGGTTTTTAGAAGCCATAACTTTATACTCTTTCAATAAGTAGCGTGGCAAGTAACGGATAGTAGTTAAGTAGTTAAAAGATGTATGGGGCAGAGGGTTGAACGAGTTTCAAACTAGAGTGAATTTGTTTTTAAGTGATTTAACTGTGTCTTATTTAATTGAGTCCCCTTTTTATCTTGTTCTTTTTTAACTCACAACACTGTGATACAAGTTGACTTTTCTGTGTTGCCTTTGGTTATTTAGTAAAGTGGCTACACATTGTCCTCGTGATCGGTTTCGTCATCGGGCTGGTTGTTGGTATTTGTCTTTTTGCATGGTGTAAGTGCGGTCCAAGAGAAGGAGGTGAGTAGAATTTGTTTGTGTCTGTAAGCAAGAGCTTCCGTTTATTTTTCTGTCAACTGCAACTATGAAATGGAGCTCAAATTCCTCAATTAGAGTTGTGAGCTCAGTTTGGAGCAACTTCAAAAAAGAGAAAAACTGTTGAATACGGCAAGATGTAAGAAGTGATAAGTAAGTTATCATCTTTAGTTAGTAGTGGTTCATTATCTGTCTGAGGTGTTTCTCTTACTTTTCGGTGGTGTTAGTTGTTTTTGTTATTGTGCTTAATGTTACGTACTAGATTAGGTAACAAAGTTTATTGCAGTAGATGAAAGACCCGTTTAGTTGGTCCTCCTTTGTGAGTAAACCGTAATTATCTAAAGTACTAAACCTTCCGACAAAAAGTTGAAAGGCGTTTGGACTGGTTTTAGGCGTCAAAAAATTCCTCATAGCTGTATGTAGATTGTTGACAGGTTGTTTCAGCAAATCACGTTTAAAGTGAACTTGTCATCTACAAAGTGAGTAGAATAAGCCATTTCAGCCAGGTGATTCTCTTACTTTTCGGTGACGTTGGTTGTTGTTATGTGTCTAATGTTACGTACTAGCTTGGATAAAATAAAGGTTATTGCTGTTGATTAAAGACCCGTTTAGTTGGTCCCTCTTTTGTGAGAACACCGTAATTACCTAAAGTAACTAAAGAAGATAGAAGTTGAATTGCATTCGGACTAGTTTTTGGCACAAAAAAAAAAGTATTCTTATTTATGTACGTAGATTGTTGACAGGTTGTGTAAACAAATAATGTTTAAGGTGAACTTGTTATCTCCAAAGCGATGTAGCCCAGTTCATACTGGCAACCTTTTTCTCTTTTAACCTTATAGTTCTTTGCTGTATATGTCGCCTAAGAAACTGTGACAAATGCCCCAATAGTGAGTAGAATAAGCCATTTTCAATATATTAAAATTCTAACATGGCTCCGCGGCTTGGATGAAGAAAACAAAAGAAATAAATTATTCATCTCTTAAGCTTCATGTGATTTCTCTTGTTTTATTTTCCCAAGCCTCAGAGCCAAGTTAGAATTTTAATATATCGATAATGGCCTTTTTGTTTGTGTCTGTCAAGGAATGCTTCCTTTTATTTAATTTCCAGTCGACAACAAATATGGAATGGTGCTTTTTAATTCCTCGGTTAGTATAGCACTAGTCTGTATAAACTCAGTTGGGAGTAGTTTATAGAATGAAAAATACGTTGAATACGACAAAATGTAAGAAGAGATGAGTAAGTTATCATCTTTAGTTAGTAGTGGTTCATTATCTGTCTTTGGTGTTTTTCTTAGTTTTCGTTGACGCTGGTTGTTGTTCGTATTGAGTAATGTTACGCACTAGGTTAATTTAGAATTTGTTACTGTCCACTAAAGACCGTTTCTTTGGTCCTCCTTTGTGAGCAAACCGTAATTATCTGAAGTAACTATAAACCTTTCGATGTAAGTTGAATTGCATTTGGACTGGTTTTTAAGCGAAAAAAAACTTCATAGTTGTATGTAGATTGTTGAAAAGTTGTTTAAACAAATTATGTCCAAATTGAACTTGTCATCTACAAAGTGATGTAGCCCAATTCATATTGGCAACCTGTTACTCCTTTTAACCCTATAGTTCTTGTCGGTATTGAATTCTCGGCTGACGATTCGTTGTTTCTTTTTTTACGTCAAGGGTCTGTTTCTCCTACGCAACCATTGTAAGTGCTTCTTTAATTTGTATTTTCACTGTTAAGGTTGTACAAACGTAAACTGCATTTCCGTTCACTCTTTTTAAAGTTTAAGCCGAAATAACTGTTTCCTGTTCATTAGTTTGCTGGACTTTTCATCTTAGAAGTAATTACGAGTAGACGTGATGATTTTCTTGTTTTGCGTGAATTGTGAAAATAACGTAGTTGAAATACCCAGCAATAATTAAGGTACTTATTTGAAGAAAGAAGTACTAACCTTTATGAAAAGTGCACTAATACATACTTCTGTTTCAGTTCCAGTAATCACAGCTTCCAGTCAGAGGGTAATCCACATGCAGATGAAAATAGTGGTTATCACAAGTTAGGACCTCTGCCCGCAGTGGACGTTGTGGTCGTTGGACAAGAGCAGGGAACAGTGGGTGGGAAAGAAATACCTACATATTCTACGGTGGAAAAATCCAAGGAGAACGACAAGAAGAAAGATAGGAAAGCTGCTGAGCAGAAGCCGACAGAAGGTCCGATGACTGTAGGGGAAATAGAAAATCAAAAAACCAAAGTGGATGTCATGGGCGAGGAAGCAATACCTACCTATGCCGCGGTGGACAAATCCAAGAAGAAAAACAAAAAGAAAGAGCACAAGCCGACTGAAGATCAGTACGCTGTCGTAGACAAGTCAAAGAAGAAGAAAAAGAAGAATGAACCGGATGCCACTTACGCTGAAGTTGACATGTCAAAGAAATCCATAAAGGTTTGCCGACCAATGATTTTACTTGAGTTGCTATCTGTTTGATTAATGAGGTAGTTTGTTTTTATCCGTTTTGTCTTGCTAAATCACAGGCAGCCCTACATACTAACTTCTATCCCTCTCTAACATTGTACAGTTAGAGGCAAAGATTGGCGACCAGGTTTAAAAAAAAAGATACTTGAGAAAATTATAGTTCTCTGGTCGAATTATCAAACGAACAAACGCCAGTATCTCCAGTCTTTCTCTTTCTCTCTCTCACCGTTCCTTAACTCCCGGATACGCATTAACCTAAAAGGAGCAGTGATCAACTCGAACTGACTTCACTAAGATCAATTTCATTCGATATTACGTGCAGCATCGTAAGTCTAACCTTTGCAACAAGACGTTTTGATATTATTGTTTCATTGTTATTTTCATTTCGACAAAAATTCTAAAGTTTATAGTAATGATTTACCAAAGATGTACAATGCAATTACTTTTCACGGGGTTTCCAGATTTACTTGTGCACGGAGGAATTTCAGTCTTATTATCGCCTGATATAAATGTACAGAAAAATAACACCAACAGAGGAAGAGTGTTTTATCTTTTTTAAATATGACATTTCATAATTGATTCTGTATATTACGTACATCAGATGTACTTCTCTATAGAAGTGTCTTAATATAAGTTCAAAATAAAAAATAGAAGAAGAAGGATAGGGAAAAAGGGCTTTTTAGGAACTACCGTAGAGGATAAAATTTCATTGGCTAGAGGCGGGGAAAGGAAAAACATAGGCATGCTATGCATGCAAGAGTTATTTTTTGGGGGGTGGGTGGATTACTTGAAACATTGGTAGTGATGTCTACATTCTTACAAAAGGATAGAAGAGTATTAACACGGAAAAGAACAAAAATGTCGAATCAACTTACACACAGGTATTTTGTGGTAGATTGTGTGTATTGTGCGAATAACTGTAACCAAAAATAAACTGTATTAGTGCCACGGATACCTGTTAGTACAAAATGCAGAATGCAGACTGCTGACCGGATACAAAATGTAGACTAGGTACAAAATGTAGATAGCAGACTGCGGAGAGGGTACCAAATGCAGACTGAGAATCTAGAGTTTTTTCGTCTTGTATGTGATAACATGCCATCTCACAACTTACCGAGCGTCACGCAATCGCTTATTCGCGATCAGCTTTCACGATTATTTGCACTATTGTGGAATATTCCTGGCACATTTCTTGATGAATATCGATCGTAATATAATTTTAAGCCTTCATATAGTCTTCTTACTTTGCGCGCGAGTTGGTTGGTGTGACGTCTGTACAGATTTTACCAACGTAATAAAAGTAGATGTAGATGTAAATGAGATGTCACTATTGAATATTTAACACGCGCAACATTCGAGAAACATTTGACAGCTTTGCACGTGGTCCGTATTATCATCTTTTTAAGCGGTATTTGTTTATTTTGTTGACAAAAATAAGGACCGGGACCAAAACTGTTCCTTCGACTTGATAAATTTTCGACGTTAGTAGATCGCTTCATATTAACTTACCTCTGTAAATCATTCATTCCAGATAACAAAATCAAATAAACATGCTAACGATGGTATCTGATAAATTTTCGACGTTAGTAGATCGCTTCATATTAACTTACCTCTGTAAATCATTCATTCCAGATAACAAAATCAAATAAACATGCTAACGATGGTATCTGAATTCGTCCTTGGCCAAACACAAACGACTCCACAAGATCACTTTCTCCAGGCATCGAAAACATACACAAAATCGTCCATAGTTAATTTAATCAGACATAGCACCCAGCAAACCAATCCAGAAAAATATAATCGGCACACTCAACAAATCGTGAATCTTGTAACACAGCTTGCCCTTAAAGAACTGCTCAAATCAAAATGTTTGGTGCAATTCATCAACATCTCAAGCAATATTTGATTCAAAATTTGTCCACTCACTCTCGTCGAGAAGGAACAATAACCATGATCGTGCTACAGTGCACAGAACTCCATTTACTCTCGAACAGCTATCCAACACGTCTACAAGGTAATCTGATATCTTTCAGCTGTCCAGTAGTATCGCATTTCTCATAAAACGCGGTAAAATACACGTTAAAACATAGAAAAGCCAACATTTTTCATTCTAAAAGATGATTCCATTCTACGAACCGCTCTCTCTCCGAATCCCCCATTACTTCGTTGATATTTGAACACCCCTCAAACCAAAGGACAAAAACGACGCTCTGATTGGTGCGAGATACATACCTAATGCGGCGATCCGATTGGCGCGAGATACATACCCTAAACGATCTGATTGGTGCGAGCAACATACCACTCTCTGTACGCTAACTTAGATGTTATTTTTTTCAATTTAAAAAAAAACTCAAAAGGTTCTGACGGTTTCGCGTATTATTATGATTACTATTATTATTATAATTATTATTATTTGTCATTATTATTATTATTTGTTAACTTTCAGAGCGTAGATATCAATTGGGGTATTTTCATCTGCGCTTTGCAAAAATAAAGCAAAGTAACCAGTACTAATAACTGTCAAATACTGATACTAATAATTGATCTAAACAAAATAAAATACCCGATAAAATACTCATTAAAATACTATACATAGGTTCTCAGCATTTAGGAGACTAAACATTTTCCAACTACAACTGTAGGTCGCCTTAAGCTTGGAGCCCTGACCATAATTTTTCTCCTAGTCTCTGTAATTTTCTGTGGTGTTATTTTATTTCGGAAGAATTTAGTGGTTTTGATGTAAACAACCTGTAGTTATTACTCATGGGCTACGTCTTACCCCACGTATAGACCTGTGTCATCTTGTGGGATGTAGAGGGAGCCACTTTTTTCTTTGGGCTTGACATTATCTTTATTATTTTTACCAACAGAAGCAAAAACCGGGTGAAGTTCTTTACGCTGATTTGGGTGAATTCCATCAGATGCAGAGAATGCCTGAAGTATCCACTTCCCCCAAAACCCTGCCTCCGGTAAAACGGCCGGAGGCTTATGCTGAAACACAGTATGCTGACATCACCCAGTTTCTGAGGGGAAGCCCTGGTGACACAGGTGCTGAGCCTCCTAAAGACAGTACTACTTTAGCTGTCAGCAATTCCGCTACTGGCAGCAAGGAGGAATCCTCAGCTGGGAATGCAGGTGACGTTGAAGAGGCAACTAACGAGACAGGATTTTAGTAGCCTTTATTAGTGATTAATTCTCATTTTTCTTACTTATTTTCTCTCCGAAAAATAACAATTTTGTTATGGTGCAGGATAGATTTTGCTTGATATATTTTTATAGCACCACAAGAGTTATTGTTGAGAAGCACGTGTGCATACGTTTTGTTGCTCCGTTAGGAAAAGAAAAAGCAGTTCGCATTTCTTTCGTTTTTTTAGTGACATAGTCTTATCTTGTGGTTTTTGGTTGTTAGCTAATCATATACTCTTGCTTTTTTTATATTTAAGTGGTGAACTTCAATATTTGTTTTGCTTATAATCTTTTGCATAATATAGTTTATACATAAATAAATAAATCGGTATACCGGAAAAGTAGCCTGGCACACAAATAGCTTTCTCATCTAGCACAAATTACAGCTTATTGCAGATATTTTCTTTCAAGTATATGCAATTCATTTTTGTAGCGACTGAAACAAGTTACATTTGTTAATTTTGGTTCGGAAAAATTAATTAATGTACGTAGTCGAAAATTAGAAGATGAGGATGTAATTACTATGTGTTTCATTCCGATATAAGCAGAATTTTTTAAAGAAAATAGATAGTTCTTGGTAGTGTGTCAATCTCCGTAACGATTGAAAATAAGATTTATTCCAGCCCGCTGGATTTGATCAGAGGCAAAACCTCTTTAAATTTTGATATAAATGACTTAGTCATTTCTCGGCTTTCTAGCCAAAGCAGCAGTAAGGGCAAAGGTGTGTCTTCTATGGTGTCAGGTGCTTTTGTGCCTTATGTTACCATATTTATTGTGGTAATTGTAGTTTGGTCAACACACATTTAAACAACAATAGAAAGAAACACCCAAAACAATGTTTGTACGAGTTGTAGAACATTATGTACTATACTAAGCGAGAAGAAGCTTGTTTGCAATGCTTTGGTACATCCGCAAGATACCGCTGGGTGTTAACACCAATTACACCTACTTTACCGAAAACAGAAATAGTTACTTATGTGCTTGCAACAAGATCTATCGCGTACTACACCAATTTCATACAAAAGTACATCAACTGCAGCAACAACGCAAAATACGCGAAACACGCCAAAACCAGCAGCAGCTCCAAATGTCCAAATTACAGCAACTACTGCAACATTAATTTGATAAATTTCAATTAATTTTTATAGAAATTAGTATACGCCTAGGATGGGTATGAGACGTATTTAGACATTATACCTAAATTGCACGTCAAGAACGCTCTAAATACAAAACATTGTACTTTTGAAGGTGGAATGTTTTTTTTCTTTAATTGCTTTAAATTTCAGTTGACTGCTTTATTTCTTTCTTTCTCATTTTTTAAATAGTTTGCAATTTTATTTTTGTTTTCTGCTTCTTCAGCTTTCAACATGTTTCTTTTTTTTGCTTTTGTTACTTTTGGTATTTTGGAATGTCAACGGAATGGGAATATTTTTCTTGTAGTTTGTCTCGAAGATTCGTTCCAGAAGAGGTTTAATTCGGTTATTTCTTACACTTTGTTTTGTACTTTGAAAAAATTTTGAAGAGGGTTTTCGACGTTTAGGTTTTCTCACCGTTTGCTAGCGCCCTTATGATTCATATGTCCGTATACTTTGGCTTCTACTTCCCCAATTTTTTTTAGATCACAGCGTGGCTGTGAGTGCACGTGTGTTTTGTTAATTGCAAAATGTTATAAGACGTGAAACGTCCCTGATAGCTAGTGTTGATTTTTTATATAGAAAATAAATTGGTTCCCTGGGTAAATTAGTTGGTTAATATAGTTCTAACACGGAAAAATCTTCGTTGTTCTCTTGGGATCAAGAGAGTGACAAATACCTTTTACATGGTTTTCGTTTTTGACATTGATAATTAGTCCTAAACTTTATAGTTACTGGGCTTTTTTCTGCCCTGTAATGCGTTGTGTGATTATTTAACCTTATATCATATTTAACATGTAATTTAGTAATAGCCATTTACGATAATTGGACATGTGTGGTAGATTCGTATGAAAGACTATCTCTTGCTTACAGACTTAAAAGTCACTTATTACTTTGCCAGTGTGCAAATACAGATGACGCAGTCAACCATTCAAAAAGAGGTACAGTCTACTTTGGACAAGTATCACAAGCCTCCCGTGAAAATTCATGAACAATTCGTTTTGGTTTCATTACGAGAACTTCTAAGTTCCTTTGCTGAGTGAAGACGGCTGCCACACTGTTCAGTTTCATTTTATTCACTTTTTTATCAGCGTAATGCTTTTTCGTAGAGTGAAAGATACAATGCTATTTTATTCTTAATGAATACCACACATTACATATTTACTGTGTGGTCTAATTAACGAGTGTTGATTTTTATATTATAATCAAGCTTTTTTGAGTAGCCGAGAGAGCTCAAATGTGTGGTATGAGCCTACTGAAAATATAACACCGTTTTGGCACTTAAGGTAATAAAAAAGACCTTCAGCCGTTTTCCAATGACAAAAGCCAGTTGACTTAATACATGGGAAGTCCTACTGTGAGCGCACCTGCAGATTCTAATAGCATATTTGTGTCGACGGGTGAACAATGCTTTTTGATGCAAATTGGTTTTTCTAATCTCTCTGTGCCGCTTGTACTACACATTTATTTTTCCTTTGGCGACTCTTCGATACTTTTTACTATATCAACATATGTAACCAACTGTAATGCTCATTAAAAGCTGATAAATGTTACATGCGTCATTGTTTAACTCAAGTTGTTAACATCAGAGTCAACAATTTTTAAGCAATTTCACGATATGCAACGAAAAGGAAGGGGGCGGTGCCCTAGCCCATCCTTTAACCTTCGAGTATTTTTGTAGGAGAGGGGGAGAGGGAGTGGCGTCGTCGGTCAATGTCAACACGATACAGTCAGTATCGGTCTTATTTCATGAAGGTTACTGTCATCAAAATAAGGTGCCTTCCGGAAAAATCGTCTCCCGCGCGCTACTTTTAGAGAAACCATAGAAAATTATATATCACCCTAAAGCTTAAAAAGTATAGCTATGGTAGGCGCGCTCGAGCCTTTAACCCTTTACACCCTAACATCAGTATCCATATTCTCCTTACTCTTCTCTTCATGTTACTTTTGGTGTTGGCAAAGAGAATTCATTTGTAGATCAAAGCTTCTTAGATTGGCAAGCATTTATTTTAATCTCATGATCTTATTGAATGATTCAGCAGTGTTACTGTAAGAAGAAATTAAATGCTGGTCACTCTTAGTTAAACACAAAACCGATGGTGTTAACGTTACTTAATTACCAGCCTCCGCGTTACCGCGGTCGTCAGAACAGTCCGGACGATATCATTCAGCAAATAATAGGCCGGCAAAGAGTGTGACGCTTTTTCCATATTCCGATGAATAGAGGGGGTAAGTTTCTTAAAAATCTGTAGTGCTGCGTCTTTCAAATCGGTACTCATAATCCCCGCTGTATCGACGAGCGCTTTTCATTCAACTGAATGAAAACTTTATTTCAACTTTATTCAACTTTATTCTTGCTTTCTCGTCACGATGTGCTACAGCTCGAAACGTCAGCTTTTAAACTTTTTACGATGGCTAATTAACGTTATCCACTCAGTTGAGAATACTAAATTACCCTTTTTTGATATTCCTATTGGTTCCTGGGAAAACCTATTTGGTAGTTACCCAATTGGAATATAGTAACCCATTGCGACCACGTTGCTTTTATTTCAATCGCTTGGTGGGCCGTTGAGGAGGACAACACAAAAATGGACAAAGAAAGATACCGCAGCAAAAATGAAAAAACCGGAAAATGTGCTGAGAGGAAAGACAACGAATCCACACACAGCTTTCAAACTCACGATTCTAGACGATTGTTCATGTTTTTGTATCGTGGCTGATACTTACACAAATAAAAGGAAACGTCGGTTTTAACTTAATGTATGACTAATTTCGATATGACGGCGACGTCTTTGTTTGAAATCTGAACGCCAGCGTGGAGCTCGCTTTCACCAAGGATTTTCCAGCTCATCTTGACAGAGTGGTACTCTTTCTTTCTCTTTTTTCAACAGACTTTCTTTTGCTTTTTATTTTTTCATGAGCAAAGATTTTTCCAGAAGCAAAGAGCTTTCACGCGTGAATTTTGTGAAGTGTGCAATGTAAACAAAATTTGCAAACGACATGAAAAACGTGCCCCAAGATGAGCGTTGCCGCGAAAATTTCCCCCTGGGATTCGCCCAGGTGCGAGATTATATGACACCTTCCTGATTTATTAACTTTTACTTGAAAATACGTTTTTCTAAATAACTCGGGTACTTTTGGAGATTTTAATTAGGTTAGGTTAAAGTTTTTGGCTTCCGTAAATAAAAGGAAAAATGAATTTTTCGGCCTCTTAAGGTGGGAGGTAACCTTAACTAATAAATACTTGAAAAGGAGAATTTTGAATTGTTTGGCGCTGCACTTTTACTTAATCGTGTGGTAGCGTCACAAGGTTTTTTTTTCAAAGAAGGAAAAAAAAGCTTTTCACAATCACCGTGGATGAAGGTCGCCAATAAAATGTTTCCCTTTAGTCGTCCGGACCTAAATGTTCTTAAAATAATGCAGATCTCCTGACTCTGTTTATAGAGAGTACATGGCGAACTTAAAAACACTCTATCCAGCTTCTTACCTTGAAAATGAAGGCCTATTCAATTGATCCAAGATCAGTCACCGATAAGACAATAATACATACATCTCGAAACTGTTACTTCAAGCAAGGAGGTGGAATGCTTAACAATGACTTATACTCTTCAGCAAGCAATGATTTAAAGCGAAACTTCAAGAGATGATACATCGCAACTGCAAAACCATATAAGGAAATCTGAACAGGTCTCTCCGGAAACGGACATTTCCTTTTCTTTAAAGGGGGTAAGTTTCTAAAGAAACTGTGGTGCTGCGTTGGTGGGAGAGTATAACAGGTAATTTAGTGTTAACAACTGAGTTGAAGACGTAAATTGGCCTCTGTAAAGAATTTAAAGGCATGTTTTTAGTCTTTTCTTTGCTTCTTGTTTCTTCAAGTTCACAGTTTCAACATCTCTAAAAAAGTTGTCACAGGGGCTGCTCCAGTTCTTTAACCGATTCCCACCAACACAATCACAGGTTTTCGCGTTTTATATATCTGCCGTCCAGAGTCTCGCTATCTGTCCCCCACATTCCAAAATTAACAAAATATGAAAATTCTTAACCTAATTCCTTGAGTTTGTAATCAGTCACAGCTATGAGCTTCATCTTGGAAAATGTGTATGAAATAGACGATTGCTGAAATAACATATATACCAATGAACTACCAGAAGTTTACTTAGCACGCATTTGATTATTTTCATATTTTCCATTTGTTCATTTCCTGTCTTCTATCATTAATTTAAATTTTTCTTGATCAATTTGTATTGGTGTTTTTGTTTGGCTGCTATTTCGTTTTGCTGTTAGTGAGCGTAGCAATTTGCTGCGAGAAGACTAGGCACTAGAATATACGGCGGGAAACTGTGCGCGAGGCATATACAAAGTATTTATTGCGGATGGCGATGATGGTGGCGGCTGGGGAAGAGAACTCTGCGATTAGATCTCTCCAAAGCAATTACGATGGTTCTTATTTCCTTCGACTGAGAAGAGGGTGTGTTTGCCTCCAAAAAATAATGATCAAAAGAAGACGCGAGAATGAAATTTTTCTTCTCCCAATGGACTGTTTATATTTGAGTGTTGCTCTCTGGAAGAAACAGCGATCACAAGTGATTGTAATGCACAATAGCAGAGGTGTCGCCTTAAAGGTTTGTTAGTATTATAGTTTTACGCCACATCATTAATTTTAATATTCTAGTATTCAATGTTTTTAGTTTGTTGCATGGGAATATTAGGGAGCTTAATGGTCACAAAAAAATCGCGAGGGTTTCTAGATAGTCCAAAGATTCAACTCCTTGAGAGATCCCTAGTCTTTAGTGTGAGGAACTTTTGAGGTACCTCTGAATGAGAATCTGACATTTATGCAAGAAGTGATGGATACATTTTGGAGTTTCGCCAATTGGTGGTTTGTTCTCGTGGCTATCTTGCCGAGAAGAAGTCTACTTGTCGGTACGGTCCACCAAGGGTTAAGCTTTTTCTTGGTGAATTGCTTTGTTTTTGTCCCTAATTGAAAGGAAATAAACGTCAAGCGCCCTTGTTGTTCATTATCAAATACACTGAGGCTAAAAATTGCAATTCTTGATTTTATTCTAAACATATTTTAATCGCTCTTTCACAGAACATGTGTATATATTCTTGTTCACAGAGGCTGCCGGCGATGTCACCATTACTGTAGAAGTGGACAATCCTTTCAAAGTTCTTGAAAACACTCCCATAGTATATCTTCGCTGGAACTTTTCAATTTCTGGTAGTGACCCATTAAAAGAAGTTGATTTCTTTATCAGTAAAGAAGGTGCTGACGAGTACATTGGGTATCTAACCGACACTAAGATCAAAATCTCATCTAGTTTTTCTGCACGGGATCGTTTTACGATCGAGCGCCCAGCTACTTTAATAATCCGCAACGTATCTGCTTCCGATGCTGCGAAGTATATGTTTGCAGTTGAGCTGGACTCAGCGGAAAGAACGCAAAGTATAATCGACCTACACGTTCTCGGTAAGTCAGTGTAATTATACAATCATTACATGTTGTGCGCTTAATCTTCCAGCTCGGACTTTGACGAAGCCGATTTGTCTAAATAATTTTGTGAATTGTAAGTGAGAAGAGAGGATACAAACTCGGTTTCAAAATCCATGGAGAATATTGCACTACCTGGACAACGATTATTGTTAGGACTTTGTATTGATGATGGATACTTTATCCATGAATAGATTGTTGCTGATTGAATTTCGTTGAAAACCAATTAACAAGGATCAAAGCAATTAACATTTTAAACTACGGTTATCTTTTTATATGGCTTCAGCAAATGTTCACTGCTACAATGTAGCTCAAATGCAGCTCTATTGCCTTGTTTTAGTTCATCAGAGTTTGACATTATGAATTTTGGGGATCACTCTAGCCCAGTGAACTATGTTATGTAATAGGATTAACATTGGAAACAAGCATGTCAAAACTTTTTTGAACTCGTGGGTAAAATATTATTTTTAGCATGAAGCAAGTTATGTAATGAGTGTGTAACCTTTCTGTTGACCTATAACGGCCAAATCCATGTAAAAATATGAACAAGAATGAGGTAAATTTCTATCAATGATAGCAGACATTTACCTTGATGCCTATTTTTACTGTGGATCCACAGTAGAAATGTTTTGAAACTCACACTGACAGTTGAGATTGGGATAGGGATTGACAAACCAAAGACCTAGCACTGGTTGTTTAAAAGGTGGATAAATCCCTATCCACTGGAAAGTAATTTATCCGTTAGATAAGGTTATCTGTCCTTTGAATGACTAAGCCACGGCTTGCTCTGTATCATAGTTGCCACAGAGCAGGGAAAATTAACTGAGTCACTCAAGGTTTATAAAGGGAACCTGTGTCACCCATGGTTTAACTGGTATATCTAGCCACAAAAGTTTCTTAAGTGAAGTGCAGGTAGGCAGATTTTAAGTCAAGTTAAGACATATATGTGCTGTAAAAGTGTGTATTTTTCCACTATGATACATTATGAAATGAAATCAACTGGTTTTTTCTGAGACATTGTTTTAGAAACATTCTCTTGACTTGAAGTTTGTTTGGATATAATCAAATATTTAATTAATGTTATTTTTCAATGTTAGCACCCGTCAAGTTAATCGGTGCACCAAGTAACCAGACCATCAATGAAACAGACACAGTAACATTTGTCTGTAATATTAGTGGTAATCCAGCCCCTGTAATCAAGTGGTATAAGGATGAACTCACTGTTGGTACAGGAGACACACTCAGCTTTCCAGTATTCAGGAATCAATCAGGATACTACTGGTGCTCAGCTGATAATGGCTTAAATGTGACTGTCAATGCCAGCGCTTACCTTAATGTGCATTGTGAGTATAAAATCGATTCAAAAGAATTTTTGAAATGATACAAATGTAAATGCTAAACATTCCAGGGACAATCATTGAATACTAATGGTCTATGATAGATTTTGTTTATTTGTCAAAACGATAGCTTAAATATCACAATGTACCCCAGAGCTGCTATTATTTCAGTATATGTGGTGTTGATTGTAAAATGTTGATTGTGAAAAGGTCCCAAGTTGATCATCTATTGGTAACTTGCCAAGAATTTATTTTGCTGACCTTTTGTTATATAATGTTATTTTAATAGCTGTAAAAATATATTCCATTGTCCATGTTATTTAAGTTAGGTTGAGTCAATAATTGTTGTAAGTCTAGTGATTAAAGTTTATTTCACACTTCATTGCTCAAGCACAAGAGCTTACCCAAGTTATTTCAAAACATTATTCATGATGATACAAAGCAGAGGCCAGGAACACAGCGGCCAAATGTCTACTCTTGAGGGAACATTGTAATGACTAGGCTACATGCTTTCAGGCTGTCAGAGCCAAGTTATCTCACACTAGTTATAAAAAAAACCACTTAACCCTGTGAAGTTACAGTGTTTTAAAAGCATACAACTTTTTTTCGGTAAAGCTCAAAAGGAATGTTAAATCATCAGGATCGATACCCATACTTAAATTTTCTGAGGAAAAAAGTGTAATTAAGTACTGTCAACTGAGTTGATAATGGAAATTGGCAACTGTGTAGAGTTTGAAAGCTGATGTTTCGAGCATTACCCTTAGTCAGAGGGAAGGGCTAATGCTCAGCTTTCAAACTCTTCATGGTGGCCAATTTACATTATCAACTCAGTTGATAACACTAATTCACCTTGCTATACATGTTCTCTCCCACTGACACCACCACAGTTTCTTTAAAAACTTACTCCCTTTATTCATTTGTGTCCCAAAAGTCTGATATTTTTTGTGGATAGCACACCACTGGAAGTTATTCACAAGCAGTAACCTTGGTCTTTTGAATAAAAATTTCAGTTAAAACTTTGCACAATAATTTTTCCAATTCATCAGCCAGTGTTAAGAAAAGTAGAGTCGGCAAAGCTATCAACCAATTGTTGTCATCTGGATATTAACTCAAGATTCTCTTAAAATTAGTGAACATGGAAATTGTTTCTAATTAGCCTGAGGTGTAATTACCTGCTGGATCATAGGAGGTTGAAGGGTTTAATAACTAGGACCATGCTTCCTTTACCTGCCATGGCCGATAGGAAATAAAATGGGAAAAAAAAAAGGGTTCTTAAATGTTATGATGCTATCTCAACCTCATTTGGCAAATTGCTGGGTACTAATACATCACTTATGAAAAAAGTTTGATGAGTTCAATGGTAAGAAGACCAGTGAAACAACCCTTTCAGTTCCTTTTTTTTTTTCTTTTTCACAGACAAGCCAACTGGAACAAGTATTACATCCAGCCCAACCAATAATACTGTGTTACGTAACAGTAGCTTGGTGTTAAGCTGCAGAACAGATGCCAACCCTGCAGCACATATTTATAAGTTTTATTTTAATGGTACCTTTATTGGTGTGAACAACTTGGGTAGGTATCATGTCATAGTTCAAGCAGATGGAGAGTACACTTGTGTACCTTTAAACACAGTTGGCACAGGTGACAATGCCACCCTTGCTGTCATAGCAGTCGGTAAGTAATAACAGTTTACAATAAACTTGTTTTTGTTTTTTAACTACCCAAAACTAAATAAAATTAATATGAAATTTAACAGGTATCAATTATGGCAAAATACTGATTGAATAAATTGATCTTGTATTTTTAACCGAAATTAGCCTTTATGCACATTAAAGGTAGCACGAACATGATTGAAAACCACTTTTTCCTTTAGATATACCTCCATACTCTTATATGGTTGTTTTTGATCAGAAGGAGCACTTAATGTACTATTAATAATGTCATGTGCTTTGCAAAGCAAGATCTAAAAAGCTTAGGGAGACCCCCTTTTTTACTTTTAAAATCAATTCCATGGAAGCAAGATACTATTTTAGCCACAGAAATAATAACAACTGTTGTGTTACACGTAAGTATCAATCCAGCAATACTACATTTATAGCATATAGAAGTGTGCTTAAAAAAACTTATCATTATTTTGCCCATAATCTGTTTCAGATGCACCTTTAGTAGATGTTTTCCCCACTATGACCTCTGTCCAAGAAGGAAACAATATCACATTGTCGTGTAATGCATCTGGGAAACCAGCACCTGTTATAGCATGGACAAAAGCTGGCTCATCACAAGTTCTCTCTCACACTTCTTTGCTGTCAGTTGTCAATGTAAGCAGATCTGGGACAGCAGACAACACGATCCAGTATCAATGTAAAGCCAGTAATGGAGTGGAGACACCTGCTACAGTTACAGTCAATGTCACTGTTCACTGTGAGTTGCAGTCAGAATTTCTCTCACCCATGGAATTTATTCTATTTTTTCATGAAATGGCTGTCATATTAAAAGTAGATCTAGCCATTTGACAGTTTGATAGTGCAGCACATATCCACTTTTCAGTGGGAATACTGTATGGATACTCTAGCACAGAAGGATAGCAGAGTTACGTTATTGTAGAACTTAATAAGCCAGGTTGATAATAAGGCCAGAGGAATGGAAGCCAGGCATACAGTGTTAATCCATCCACAAAACCAACTTCTCAAATACCTATTCAAGGAAAGCCACCTGGTGGAGTGTTCACTGCTGAGCATGATATGATCACACAAGCTGTTGCATTTTGTAGTCTAAGAAGTTGTTTATCTATTATTTCAAGGAAACCTAGCAAACAAGACTTCAAGTAAATACACAGCTTTGACTTATTTTTGTCGATGAATTTTGAATGCAACTATTATTATAACTTATTATATTGAGTAATGATCAATTAAAAGCAGCCTTTGTAGTACAGCTGTAACTTATTACTGAATGAGTGTACTGTGAGCAGTTAAAGGAGTGGTATAATTTTCAATTCTAAAGATTCTTAATGGGGTTATTGCAGGGTACCTGTACATGTTGTAAGTAGTGAGATGCACATTGGACTTGATTCAAACATTTTGTTCCTGTGATCTTGGTGTAATTTTTTTGTTCCCATAATCATGGTGTTGCTTGTTTTATTTCTACAGTCCCCCCTGATATTGACCATGCCCCATCAGCTTATCAAGTTGTAGAAGGAAGTGGGTTGATCCTGTTCTGTAATGCCACTAGAAATCCAAAGCCCAACATTACTTGGACCAAACAAGGAAACAACAATGAACTGTCAACATCAGAGACTCTTACTTTGTCAAAGCTGACAAGAGAAGATGATGGATCTGTTTTTGAATGTACAGCACAAAACTACATCACTTCAGTGAAAGCTATGGAAGTTCTTACTGTTTGGTGTAAGTATTGGGAGTTTTTTCCTGTCTTCAGCTTACAGTAAAACAGTCAATAACTTTAAAAATATACCCTGCATGTTCCCGTATGCTGTATATGGGGGAATGATGTTCTGTAAAGTAGAATCTTCTCTCAAAGTGCCTTGTCTTTACCCAGGGGTATAAACAGAGGGAGGAGGAGTACTTTAAGTCACTTTGTTACATGTGTGGAACTGGGATGATTTAATTAATAGGTTCATTTAATTCAATCAGCAAAAACTTCATACCTCTACTTTCAAAAGGGTTACTCCAGACTTGATGGCATCTTCTGTGCTCTTCAGAATTGAAGAAAGATAATTTTTGACCTCGGTAAACAAATAGAGAAAGATGTTTTTGTCTTGTAACTATCGTGGGACAAAGAAAAAATCCTCAGTCCCTTTGGGGAATGGAACCTCAGACCTTTGTATTCCATGCTCCAATGCTCTACCACTTCTTTCCTGTGCACATGAAAATTGTACATGTGCGTCTGATGACCCTGCACCTGAGCATATAAAATTAATCTGTGCAGTAACATACATCTAAGTATTACTGTTCTAAAATAACTATAATGTTAATGTAATTGGCAAATTTTCAGTTTGAATTGATTGTTTCCAACAGGCAATGGGTAGTATTGATATTTCCATACAGCTGAGTTCTACTAAAAAGGTCTTAATAGTAAAAGCTATTCCTGTGGAAAATTCAGTTGGGCTTTAATTGATATCTTAAAATGTGCATTATTTAGTCAGTATTAATTTTTAAGGACATGGTCACCAACATGAGATTGATGTCATCAAGACGTGCCCAATGTCGTAGGACTGAAAAAGAAAGATAACTGTGCAATTAGAGGACATTGTTAAGAAATTTTCAGTTGTATCCAAAGAGGCATGCAGGTTGTATTCTGAAGCACTACTCTGATCTCTTATCAATCATTTGAAAATATTATTTACAGATCAACCGAGTGTAACATCACAGCAGTGTCCCAGTCCCATAACTGAGGGTGACAATGTGACACTTCATTGCAGTGCCATTGGTAACCCTGTGCCCAATATTGCATGGATCAGAGCAAGATCAAGGACAATACTGACATACAACAAGACTCTGGTTTTTAGGAGTATCACGCGCAGTGAGTCTGGCAGATATGAGTGCCTTGCTTGGAATGGAATTGGAAACAACAGCACCAACTCTTGTTCAATTGATGTACATTGTAAGTGCATGTAGGATACCTTACTTTACAAGTGTAAGATTTATGTAAAATGCTAGGAATTTCAGTTCATATGTAAGATCATATTCTTTGAGATTATTTAAATTCAAAGTAATAATTAGTTAAAGGAATATTATTTCTTGATAGAAGATTTGTACCATAAAACGTTTCTTTAATTAGCTTTCAAAAATTTCAGTGGTCATTCACAATTGTTTCCTCTGGTCAACTACAACATTACTTACAATAATAATTCTTTACAGGTATTCACACTGTTTCTGCTTTGGTTTATACTTTAGAGTATTTACCTACCCCTACCTACTAAATCTTGACTGAACATTTCATTCTCCATTTGACTGTTTTTACTCACCAACAAAAATACACTGTAGAACCCTTTGTGATTCTTTCTTGGGAAGCATGTAAGTCTATGGCAAAAATATACTTGAATTTTATTTTCATAGATTTACCAAAGGCCTTAGCTCTGTTGACTACTCCAATTAATACTACAGTGCTTGGTGATACTGCTATGAAGCTTAACTGTAGTACAGATGCCAACCCTGATGCTCATACTCATCACTTTTACTTTAATGGCAACCTTACTGGTAACAGTAGCTCTGGTGTGTTTAACATCAGTGTGAAGGAAGATGGAGAGTACACCTGTGTTCCTGTTAACAAAGTAGGCACAGGAAGCAATGCTAGTGTCAGCATCACTGCCGTTGGTGAGTGTTGAGTCAGATTGCAGGTTGAAATAAGTGATATTCAAGTCCAAATCAATGGTTGTCAATATATTTGATTGCATTCTAAGGTACTTTGCACTTTGTTTTTTCTTTCCACTGAGATTGAAGGGAATACTCCTTTCAAGTTACATGTGATTGGTGAAATGTTTCAGGCAAATTTATTCTAAACCAGGTTGGATTTTTCTCAAGATACAAACATTTAGTCAAGAAACTTTTGAAATATTTCTGAATCCGTAATAATTGCACCCATTATATTGCACCCTTAAAAGTTGCTAAAAAACAATTCATCAAATCATCAAAAGTGGCAAACATTTCTAAAACTTCCAGATCAGAAAGTGTTTTTCTTTTTTTTATCCATTATTTTACAATGGTATAAAATTATTTCATTCTCTCTGTTATAAATTTAGTGGCTCCATCAGTGGATTTGTCAAGTTCCATAATAGTTATTAAAGAAGGCAGTAACATTTCATTGAGCTGTAATGTATCTGGTAAACCTGAACCCAGCATATCATGGACAAGAATTGGTAGTTCAGATGTTCTCTCCGTTTCATCATCACTAACTGTTGTGAATGTGAGCAGGCCTGGGACGGCAGACAACATGATCCAGTATCAATGTACAGCTAGTAATGGAGTGGAGACACCTGCTACAGCTACAGTCAATGTTACTGTAGAATGTAAGTGAAAATTGCAATGAAGAGGGAAGTTTGTAGATTTGAAAAGAAAAATGTGGCTACAAATGTCTATTTGATTTCTTTGCAAGACATCTGATTTAGAATGTATGAGATGTGCACGGTATATTTGGAATCCCAAGGCAATAGTTATTTCTAAACACTCCAAGATACTTTACAGTTATATTTACTTACAGGGGTGGCTCTTGGGGAGGGGTATTATAGGATGTGCACCCCTTCCCCTCGAGATGACCTGTGGTTTTCTTTTATAACAAGGAGGGAAAAAAAGGAAAGAAAAAATGTGTGGTTTGTTGCCATTAAATTAAAACATGAGACAAGCTTTAAGAATTTGTGTAAAATGCAAGGAAAATAGTAGTTTGGCCCTGAAGTTTGAGCTTTAGCCCTTCCTTTTTGCCATAGTAGACATCAGTTCTGTCATTTCTAAGTGGTGCCCCCTCTCCTAAGAAATGTCCTTGCTCTGCCTCTGACTTAATTTTGGAAATAAATGCATCTACAAAGAAGAGGTATGAAGAGGGGATGGTTGAAGAAAACAAATTTGCTGTGAAATTCTGCCCTCTTTGAGTCACTGAACACGTGAAATGCTGTATAAAGGAAAATAATATACTCTCTTGATGATATTTTGGGTGTAAGGTAAGTGTGAGTTCTTACAGGTTGCTTTGCAAAATAAAACATATGATGTTCTAGCAATCATGCATGAAACAAATCTCAAATAGTCTCCATGATATTTGTCTCTACAGTCCCCCCTGATATTGACCATGCCCCATCAGCTTATCAAGTTGTAGAAGGAAGTGGGTTGATCCTGTTCTGTAATGCCACTGGAAATCCAAAGCCCAACATTACTTGGACCAAACAAGGAAACAACAGTGAACTGTCCACATCAGAGAGACTTACCATAACAAATGTTTTGAGAGAAGATGACCAGTCTGTTTACAAATGCGTAGCAGCAAATTCATTGGGATTAACACAAGTTACTCCCAAAGTCACTGTCCTCTGTAAGTTTTATATGGTGCTAATGTGCTGAACATACATTTGTTTTACTGTAAAGACTTGTTTATAAGCCACACCTTTTTGTTTAAGTTTTGGGCCAAAAAATTGCGGGTGTGGCTTATACAGGAGAGCATTATTTGCCTCTGGTGTCCTGACTTCCCGCGTGGTTACCAAGCAAACATTTTGCATTGTTCTCCTGTGCTTTTTTTTTGTTCTAATTCCATTGTTTTCATTTGAGCCATGGGCTTTAGCAATGAAGACAACTGTTGTCAGTCACAGGGAATAAGAAAAACAATTAAAGAAAAGCTTTTAAAAGGTTTTTTCAGAGTTGGTTAACTTACTAATGATGCTGCAAGTACACAACATTAGATTTCAAGTCAAGTTTATTGTCAACATTTGGAACAAATGACCAACATTTTTTACAAGAGTGCTTTTTTGGAGGTCTTTTTTTCCCAAAATCATACTTGAAAGTTAGGGGTGCAACTAATACACAAATTTTTACAGTATTTTTGTTTTTACTTGATAATGATTATACAGGCTCGTGCAAACTCCTCTCCATTTTTTCCCTCTCAGTTGAGCCACTTAGATTTTCTGGCTCTTACTTGGTGTAGAAGACACAGTATATGTCACAACAGAATTCATCACAACTGGGAATAAGAAAACCAGGGAAAACAATAGTGTGATGTATACTGTGTCTTCTACACCAAATAGGGGCTGATTTTCTCGAGTGTTTTGTAGTGTTCTGATAATAATTATGTCATGGTATAACAAGGCCAGTTACCAGTGGTACATATGCTTATTATTAATTAAAGTAACTCTAACGAATAGATTGAATGATCCATGATGATATCATCACTCACTGACTTGTCCAAGCAACAGTACAAATATGAAACCAAGAGATAGAGAATATTTTTTGTTTGCATGAATTCTTTATTTAAAGCTAATTTAAGGATTTTTATTGCCATTGTTTTTCTTATAGTGATAGTGATGCTGAGGTAATACTACTCTGTAATATATAGATAAACATGTCTTTGCAGATCCACCACAGCCTTTTATACAACATTGCCCCAGTCCAGTTACTGAAGGAGATAATGTGACATTATACTGCAATGGAACTGGTAATCCATCACCTCAAATAGCCTGGATAAAGTCTGGAAAGGTTCTGGTGACAGACAGTGTTTATGTTATAAGAGAAATTGACAGAGGTCAGGCTGGAATATACCAGTGTGTGGTTTGGAATGGAATCATGAGAAATGTGACTTCGAACTGTAGCATTGATGTTCACTGTAAGTTAATTGAGTACCTTGAGTTTAATAGCAGAGTCTCTTTCTTTACATATACTTGGCTGAATGTTAACCTTTGCCAGTGTTCAAACACTCATTTTTTTATTTGATTTTGCACTGTATGTTAATTGACTACCTTGAATTTAATAGTATAGTCTATTTCTGTTCATATATTTGGCTGAATGTTAAACTTTTGCCAGTGTTCAAACACTCATTTTTTATTTGATTTTGCACTGTAAGTTAATTTACTACCTGGAATATATATGTACAGTGAAACTCTGCCAACTGACATCTGATTTTGATAAGGAAACTCTGGACACTCTTCTTGGTCTAGGGAATGTTTACTTTGCAGGGTATCAACTACAGGTATTAAGACCCCATCTGGGAAATTAAGGTCTCTGATGTCAATAGAGTACTTTCATGCCTTGCCTTATTTATTTATTTACTTACTTGTCTTTGCATTCTAAAGTGTATAACAACCCAATATACTGTAAGTATTATTAATTATTCATGTCACTACTGAGCTCTATTTGTTTGTTATTATTAATTTTTAAGTGTTTTTTACCTTATTGTTATTTCCACATGTTTTTCATATATATGTACTCTGTTTTTTAAGGCAAATACATGTAAATAGTTGGTTTATTGTTGTTGTTTTGTTTAGCCATTCTTGTACTATACATAATTATGTATAGTCTAAATGTTTGATTTTAGTTTTAATCTGCACAATTATTCTTATTCAGATCCATCTTTGATTGAGTCTGCCCCAGTTAGTCAAGTTGTCTTTGAAGGAAACAACTTGACTTTACATTGCAATGCAAGTGGCAATCCTACACCAAACATCACCTGGACTAAAGAAGACAGTCCATCAGTGCTCTATCAAGGAATTACATACAGCATTGTGGACATAGACAGAAATGCTGCGGGGAATTACACTTGTACAGCTTGGAATGGAGTTGGAGGACAAAAGAAAGCTATTGCTGCTATCACTGTACACTGTGAGTTTCCTTGCTCTTATTTACTATAATTTATCAGTAATCATTATTCATGTGAGGAAAAATTATCTTACATAAATTTCGTTTTCATGGATGTTAACAATCAACTGGTAAGTGCTTTATCCAGATAAAAATGTTATAATCCACAGGAGCAAGCTGCTTCATACAAAAATTGTTTGAGATACATGTAATTTGAGTACTTTTTATTAGAATTCTTGAACAGAGTTTGTCTCCTGATTCTTCAAAACATGCTTTGTTCTAAAAATGAAGGTAGTGCGTTTAAGTTCTGATAATAAACTTAAGATTTTTATTTTTATTTTTAATATTGGTGATGTTCAGTGTTTTTAAACTGTATATGTTACCACTGTATGAAATGAATTAACACATAAAAAGGGTTTAGAAGCATATATTAGAACATCCATGAATGATTGTTGGTGTTCATAACAAAAAAGTACAAGGCAACACAGTATTTGTTTTGAGAATGTATCATCTTCTACAGTATATGGAGTAAAATAGGCTATACTCTTCACAGAAAGAAGCAGTGATTTTGACAAGTACATCTGGTACAAGTTCAGCCAAGCTTTATTTTAATCACCAAAACACTGTATGTGAACTGTAACTGGTGTAAAATAAAATAATACTACTTTGAATAGATTAAAACTTTTTATATCCTAAGAGGGTTATTGAGTAGCTTTAATGAACAGATATAAACACAAATGTTTCTAAACAATATTAAAACATGTTTTGATATAACTTTAGTATAGAGACTACCATAACAAGCCTCAGAGTTTTTCTGAAATTAATTTTCAATTTATCTAAGGACAAACTTAATCTTTGATGAATTACTTAAAAACTTGTAGAGAACCCCTATGTTGGTGGTTAGGATGTTCAAATACCTGTTGCTCTATAGTTGAGTATATTGACCCCCTGCATTTCCATGAATGGATGTCTGAGGCAAGTCACGTTTGCAGTTGAAGCAACTGTGTACATTATGTAGAATGTTTGAGAGATTTTCTACTTACACAGCTTGGTGTCAGGCTATCAAGGTAAATTTACAATTCACTGCTAAGCCCCTAAAAGGAATTAATTGCTTTGCTGGAATCTGTTCAGCCCAGGTGGGTCATATTTTCTAAAGGAAGTAATTACTTCATAAGCAATTTTTCATACTTAACATTTACTTAAAAAGATCAACCTCCAAGACTCCACAAACTTTTCTTTTGTGGACAACATTCCAAGCTGCATCTGTACAAAAGGGAGTGTTCCCTTGCTTGAGAGAGTTGCTTTGGAGATGTTACACTAATTTACATGGAGGTGTACTTTCTTGCTACTTTAATACACAATTATTTTAGGGTGGGGGGCTTTTGAATATCCCTTTTCTTGGTAAAGATAGTGATTGTTGTTGTTGTTGACCTTATTTCAGATGCAGCAGAAATTTTCTTTGCTCCCAAAAACAAGACAGTCCTGGAATATGACAATGTTACTTTCTTCTGTAATGCATCAAGTAATCCACCCTCCCAGATTATCTGGACCCAAGAGGGAAACAGTACGGTTCTGCATAAAGGAGAAACCTTTGTCATTGAAAATGTCTCAAGAAAACTTAATGGACAGGAATACAAATGTAGGACATGGAACAATGTCACCAAAAATATGGAAGCATATGCTCAACTCACTGTTCATTGTGAGTATTAAATGACTCTCTCATGATATCCAAGAATTTAAAATTAGATAAGATGGTACAATGTAAAAAAGAAAGCAACATTATCATGCAATGGAACTGGTAATCTATCACCTCAAACAGCCTGGACAAAGTCTGGGAAGGTTCTGGTGACAGACAATGTTAATGTTATAAGGGCATGAAACAGAACTCAGGCTGGAAGATACCAGTGTATGGCTTGGAATGGAATCATGAGAAATGAGACTTTGAACTGTAGCATTGATGTTCACTGTAAGTTAATTGACTACCTTGAATTTAATAGCAGAATCTCTTTCTGTACACATACTTGGATGAATGTTAAACTTTTGCAAGTATACATTCAAACACTCATTTTTATTTGATTTTTGCGGTGTAAGTTAATTGACTACCTTGAATTTAAAGCAGTCTTTTTGCACATATACTTAGCTGAATATTAAAGTTTTGCCAGTCAACAAAGACTCATTTTTATTTGATTTTGCCATCCAAAAGATCCTTCAACATCAACCATGATAACAACTGTTCCAACAAACACTACAGTGCTACATGACAGTGCTGTGTTACTGACCTGTAATGCAGATGCCAACCCCACTGTCCATACTTATCATTTGTACTTTAATGGCAACCTTATTGGTAACAGCAGCTCTGGTGTGTTTAACATCAGTGTGAAGGAAGATGGAGAGTACACTTGTGTTCCTGTCAACAGTTTAGGTGCAGGAAGTAATACTAGTCTGAGCATCACTTCTGTTGGTGAGTGTGATGTCTGATTTTTTAGTTGAAATAAGTCATTATGAAGTTGAGATAAATGGTGGTCATAAATTATTTTCATATGGGGTTATTAGTTTGTCTAAGCCACTAAGGTTCATGCGAATACTTAGTTTGGGATATATGTCGTTGGTGAAATTATTAGGGCAAATTTTGAGTGAACCCTTTTGTTTTCAAAACCAAGGATGTTCTTGAGGTACAAAGGTGACGTAAAGGAACTTTTAAATTTTTTTTATACCATATCCTAAGAATGATCTTATTTAGTTTCCATTTAAAGGATTTGGGGATTTTAAACATACAAGGTTTACTAAAAGGGTATGGGTAACAACTGGTTAGGGTTTACATCAGTGCATTACTGATATATAAGTACTGTGGTTTGGGTTTTGGTTGTAGTGGTGTGTTTATTGCCAAAAACATTTAAAGGTGATGTGTACTTTGACATATCCTAATTTACTTGTAAGTTCTAATGTCATGTTTGTAGTAATTGCAAAAGATCAATGTACTCATTAACACTCCCAAACCGATGTTTGAAAGGTATGCTGGCTTTCAGAGGCTAATTGTGCATCCCTAAAAGTCAAGAAACAAAATTTGTAAAGTCACAAAACAAGGCAAATTTTTTATTGAAATTCCTGCTAAAACCCACACTCTAACATTTGTCAACTGGCTTATTCAGTAGCTAGCTAAATTATGAATCCTCTGAGCTACAGATTCAGCATTTTGTAGATAGAAATTGAGGAACTTCGCATTCGTTTGCCATTTGATAATGGCTGACATTGTGCCTTTAATATGTCTTGAATTCATGGATGAAGATGCAGCCATGTCTCCTAAGTTGCATTATTCTAGAGCAGTATGAGATGATTGTATGCATTATGTTACAATTTTAGTGGCTCCATCAGTGGATGTGTCAATCTCTGTAATGGTTACAAGAGAAGGCAGTAACATTTCATTGAGCTGTAATGTATCTGGTAAACCTGAACCCAGCATATCATGGACAAGAATTGGTAGTTTGGATGTTCTCTCTGTTTCACCATCACTAACTATCGTGAATGTGAGCAGACCTGGGACAGCAGACAACATGATCCAGTATCAATGTACAGCTAGTAATGGAGTGGAGACACCTGCTACAGCTACAGTCAATGTTACTATAGAATGTAAGTGGAAATTGCAGTGAAGAGGGAATTTTATATTAGAAATGAAAAGAACACTATATAGCTTGAAATTGTTATTTGTGTTAAGCATTCTGATCTCTGGGAAGACAATTTGTGATTGAAAATGTATCTGAAATCAGCTTGCTCTGTATTTGTTCCAAAGTCAAACTCTCCAACACTATGTACAAATATACAAGTTATGGTTAGTAAAAGCATTTATATTTGATAATAGAAGGGGGGGGGAGGAGGGAAGTAGCAGGATGGTTCACTGTGACAAACTTGGTGGCTAATCTCACTATTTCGAAAGCAATTTTACTCTGAAGCATTTTCACTTGGTGTTTTTTCACATTATATTTTGACTCCCACTCATACATGTGGGACAGATGGGATCCTGCTTAGCTTGCCTGAAATCTCAGGTGGGAGATGGAATTTATGTTGGATAACCTTGAGTCTGGCATGAGGGAAATAGAATCATGTAGTTGCATATGCTCATTAGTAATTAAATTTAGAAGAATAAACAGAATGATACCTGATGAAATGATAATTCACTGACTTGTTCAAGGAAGAGTCAAGACATGAAACAAAGACATAAACTTAGATAATATTTTTGGTTTACATGTATCTTTGAGTTTACAGCTTTGTTTGCATAAATTCTTCAACAAGCTAATTTAAGGATTTTTATTGCAATTCCTTTTCTGATAGGAATAGTAATAAGGTTATACTACTCTGTAATATATAGATGAACATGTCTTTGCAGATCCACCGCAGCCTTTTATACAACATTGCCCCAGTCCAGTAACTGAAGGAGATAATGTGACATTATACTGCAATGGAACTGGTAATCCATCACCTCAAACAGCCTGGATAAAGTCTGGAAAGGTACTGGTGACAGACAGTGTTCATGTTATTAGAGGAATTAACAGAAGTCAGGCTGGAATATACCAGTGTATGGCTTGGAATGGAATCATGAGAAATGAGACTTCGAACTGTACCATTGATGTTTACTGTAAGTTTATTGACTACCTTGAATTTAATATGAGAGTCTATTTCTGTACATATACTTTGCTGAATGTTTAAGTTTTGCCAGTCTACAATAACTAATTTGTGATTTGATTTTGCTGTCCAAAAGATCCTCAAACATCAACCATGATTACAACTGTTCCAACAAACACTACAGTGCTACGTGACAGTGCTATGTCACTGAGCTGTAATGCAGATGCCAACCCCAGTGTCCATACTTATCATTTGTACTTTAATGGCAACCTTATTGGTAACAGCAGCTCTGGTGTGTTTAACATCTCTGTGAAGGAAGATGGAGAGTACACTTGTGTTCCTGTCAACAGTTTAGGCGTGGGAAGTAATACTAGTGTGAGCATCACTTCTGTTGGTGAGTGTGATGTCTGATCTTTTGGTTGAAATATGTTAGGAAGTAAGTAACAACTTTATTTAAAAAGGGTGGCACATAACAGTAGAACTGATAAACTAGTGGCTCTCTATCTTAAATTAATATTAAATTACTAATTAAAATAGATCCAGGATATTAAAAAATAAGAATATTATTAAAATGTTAAAATTTAAAAAACATTTTAAAACTTTCAAATTTAAAAATATGCAAAATATGTAAAAAAATTTTAAAATGAGGAGAGATATGTACATAAGGGAGAAACTGGGATTTAAGGGGTGATAAGACACTAATTGATCTAATAAAGCTAAGTATTTCTAGATAAAAATCTTTTCAGACAGAAGATTTAAAAGCGCAAATGGACTCTATATTGTGAATATAAGTCATTATGAATTTAGATAAATGGTGGTCATGACATCTTTTGATATGAGGTTATTAGTTTGTCTAAGCCACTAAGGCTCTCAACAATAGTCAGTGTAGGGTATATGTTGTTGGGAATATTATTAAGACAAAATTTTGAGAGAACCATATTTTTTTTCACAACCAAGGTTGTTCTATAGGTACAAAGATGATGTAAAAGAACTTTTACATTTTTGTCCATACCCTATTCTGTTAATGATGTTATTTAGTTTTCATAGAAGGGATTGGGGGATTTTAAATATCTAAGGTTAACAAAAAGGGTGAGGGTAACAACTGCTTAGGGTTTACATTAGGGCATTACTTAGAGGTAAGTACAGTGGTTGGGTTTTTGTTACAGTGGTGAGTTTGGGGCGAAAAACATTTTTAAGATGTTGTGCACTGATCTATCCTATTTTTCATGTACATTCAAATGTCATGGTTTTAAGGATTGAAAAAGATCAATGTACTTGTTAACACTCACAAACTCATGTTTAAAAAGGTATCCTGGCTTTCAAAGGCAAATTCTGCATCCTTAAAAGTAAAAAAAAAACATAATTTTTAAAGTCAGGAAACATAGCAATTTTGTAAAAATTCCTGTTAAAAGCCACATTCTAACGTTTGTCAACTGAATTATTCCTTAGCAAAGCCAAATTGTCAATCATTTGAGCTAAAGATTGAGCATTTTTGTTAATAAAAATGAGGAACTCTCATTCTTTTACCATTTGATAGTGGCTGACAATGTTCCTTGAAATATGTCTTAAATTCATGGATAAAAATGCAGCCATATCTCCTGAGTTACATTATTCTAGAGCAATAGAAGATGATTATATCCACTACATTACAATTTTAGTGGCTCCATCAGTGGATGTGTCAATCTCTGTGATGGTTACAAAAGAAGGCAATAATATTTCATTGAAGTGTAATGTATCTGGTAAACCTGAACCCAGCATATCTTGGACAAGAATTGGTAGTTTGGATGTTCTCTCTGTTTCACCATCACTAACTATTGTGAATGTGAGCAGGCCTGGGACAGCAGACAACATGATCCAGTACCAATGCACAGCTAGTAATGGAGTGGAGACACCTGCTACAGCTACAGTCAATGTTACTGTAGAATGTAAGTGAAAATTGCATGGAGAGGGAATTTTATACTAGAAATGAAAAGAACACTATATGGCTTGAAATTGTTATTTGTGTTAAGCATTCTGATCTCTGGGAGGAAAATCTGTGACTGGAAATGTATCTGTAATCTGCTTGCTATGTACTTGTTCCAAACTCAAACTCTCTAACACTATGTACAAATATACAACCCATGGTTATTAAAAGCATGTATATATGATAATGGAAGGGGGGGGGGGCAAGGGAAGTGGCAGGATGGCTTACTGTGACCAACTTGGTGGCTAATTTCACTATTTTGAGAGCAGTTTTGCTTACAAGCACTTTCACTTGGTGTTTTTTCACATTACATTTAGAATTGATAACTAGAACTCTTATAAATGTTCTTGCTTATGAAACTCACAGATGAGGTTCACATACATAGTTTCCCATAAAGTAAATTTTCACATGTCTTAAACTATCACACACGTGGGATAGATGGGATCCTGCTAAGTCTGCCTGAAATCTCAGGTGGGAGATGGGATCCATGTTGGGATTGCCTTGAGTCTGGCATGAGGGAAATAGAATCCTGTAATTGCATATGCTCATTATTAATTAAATTTAGAAGAATAAACAGAATGATACCTGATGAAATGATAATTCACTGACTTGTTCAAGGAAGAGTCAAGACATGAAACAAAGACAAAAACTTAGATAATATTTTTGGTTTACATGTATCTTTGTGTTTACAGCTTTGTTTGCCTGAATTCTTTAACGAGCTTATTTGAGGATTTCTATTGCAATTCCTTCCAGATCCACCACAGTCTTTTATACAACATTGCCCCAGTCCAGTAACTGAAGGAGATAATGTGAGATTATACTGCAATGCAACTGGTAATCCATTACCTCAAACAGCCTGGATAAAGTCTGGAAAGGTTCTGGTGACAGACAGTGTTTATGTTATAAGAGCAATATTAACAGAAGTCAGGCTGGAATATACCAGTGTATGGCTTGGAATGGAATCAGAGGGAATAATACTGCTAATTGTACCATTGATGTTCAATGTAAGTTAATTTTCTACCTTGTGAAGTTCATGGCAAAGTCTTTTACTGTATAAATACATCTAAATAGCTAAATCATAAACTTTTGCCAGTATACAAATACTCATTATCAATTTTTTTTTTTTTGGTCTAAAAGATCATCCAACATCAACTTTGATTACAATACTTCCCACAAATACTACAGTGCTGCGTGATCGTACTGTGTCGCTGAATTGTAGTACAGATGCCAACCCTGATGCTCATACTTATCACTGGTACTTTAATGGCAACCTTACTGGTAATAGCAACTCTGGTGTGTTTAACATCACTGTGAAGGAAGATGGAGAGTACACCTGTGTTCCTGAAAACAAAGTGGGCACTGGAAGCAATGCAAGTGTTGGCATCACTGCTGTTGGTGAGTTTCATATCAGATTCAGCCCTATACTATGCAGTCAATATAAAGATTCAACCTCACCCCACCACCCCTTCTAGGGCAACCCAGGGGCTGGGCATTTAAATCTTGCATGGATGGGGTTGAGTAAATTTGAACCTTTAGAATATACATGTTCTAAGTTCTAAGTTAAGTATGGAGAAGTTCAAAGATGAAGAGTCTGCTTTGTGAGCAAATGGCCAAGAAGAAAATTTTTTACATAGATTGATGTTTACTTGTGAAAAACCAAGCAGTAGCACTAATAGCTCATATGTGACTTTGCCACAACATTTGTTGATCACACCAGCAAGCAATGACTGTGAATATATAAAAATCATACATGTGAACTGCAGTGTGAGAAATTAATGTGAAAGCAATCTTTACAGTGATGAACAGCACTTAAGCAGGAGTTAAAATAAGGCCTGAAAAAATTAAAGTGAAAAAAACCATTAAAAAAATTGTGGTTGAGTGGGGTAATTGAATGCCTCAAATTAATTGATGCATTAAGACTGAGGATAAAAAAGTGAATATGTAGTTAATAATTATAGTTAGCTCAAACTTATCTGGTAAAATACGTTATCTTGATTCAACACCAAATTCTTGACACTTATTTACAAGGAAATATGTAGCAGCAAGAGGGGAGAATCAACAATCCGAACTTGGGAGCTAAAGGGTTATAGGCACCTCATCTTTACCTGATGCATTCTTTTCCTTGTATTTGTGATATTTTATTTCAGTGGCCCCAGTTACTGAGGTGGTTCCTCAAACTGGCACTGTCATTGAAGGTGGAAACATCACCTTGATTTGTAATGCCAGTGGTGTTCCTTCTCCATCTGTTGTCTGGACTGAAGTTGGCAGCCCGGTCATTTTGTCTCAAAAAATTTCACTGACTGTTGCAAATGTAACCAGACCAGGGACAAGAGATAACCTGATCCAGTACCAGTGTACAGCCAGGAATGGAGTGGGCACATCTAGTACAACTACAGTCAGCATTGCTGTTCACTGTGAGTTTATGGTAATCTATTTTTAATCAATGGCCACTAGGTTAGCTGTAAACTGTAACAGTGTAGCATAACAATGAGTAAAGTTTCACTACATGTGTATGGAAATGGAATGCAGATCCCTAGAGATAGAATGCTAATACATGTACATGTTAAAAAGATAACAATTCTGTATGAAAAAAATCACCTCTTAGAGAAAGATACAGTCCAACCTTGACTATCTGGACCCACAATTAACCAGATCATTCAACAACTGGAGATTGAATATATTGAATCATTTATTAGGTACAATATGCATTATGTAATTTTTGCCCTCTTGCACAGTGGATAGGCAATGTGCATGCACCAACTGTTTTGCATTTGAGTTTCATATTATATCTTTTTATCTGTTCATTACTTTCCAGTATGTTTATTATTCTAATTATCCCATTGACTTACCTGTTTTAGCTTTGCAACTATTTCTATTGCTCTAGGAAATTCATTACATCTAATAATTCCTCATGCTAAATCATACCTGTCTAAGTATTGAATATGTATATTTTTTTACTTTAAAGATCTTCCAGAGATAGCAAGATATCCATCCACTTCACCCATCATTGAAGGTGGCAACACCACACTTGTCTGCCAAGCCTCTGGAAACCCACAGCCAAACATAACTTGGACTAAGAGAGGAAGCAATAAAACTCTGTCTTATTCAGATGAACTTTCCTTGTATAATTTAACCAGATTTGATGATAAAACAGAATACAAATGCAAAGCCATGAACTATTTAGGATTTGTTGAAGCTTCAGCTTCAGTTACCATCCACTGTAAGTGAATGTGGTATAGGTTTTTATTAATTATATAAACTCTATGTACAGTGAATTTTTTTGTCTTATTGCTGTAAATTCATGGTATCTGTTTACTTGCACTCTGTTGTTCCTAAAGAAAAGAAATGGTTGTTTGATTGTTTTTGTTTTGGCTAAGGCATTCATTTTTTTCTCATAATCATGTACAGATGAAATGTTTGATTTTAGTCTCAATCTGCACAATTATATCTTCTTATTTAGATCCATCTTTGATTGAGTCTGCCTCAGGCAGTCAAGTTGTCCTTGAAGGAAACAACTTGACTTTACATTGCAATGCAAGGGGCAATCCTGCACCAAACATCACTTGGACTAAAGATTACAGCTCATCAGTGCTAAATCAAGGAATTACTTACAGTATTGTGAACATAGGAAGAAATGCTTCAGGGAATTACACTTGTACCACTTGGAATGGAATTGGTGGACAAAAGAAAGCTATTGCTGCTATCACTGTACATTGTGAGTTTTCTCACTGTATCAGCAATCATTATTCATGTGAGAAAAAAGTATTTTACAGAACTTTTGTCTACACAAAGGTTAACAATTCAACTGAATAGTGTTTTATCCAGATAAAAATGTTATAATCTGCAAGCCTCCTTTTATGAACACTGGTAGAGATAATCCACAGCACAGTTTTGAAGAGTTAATGAGCAAGGGTTGTCTTCTGATTCTTCAGAACAATTTTTTACTTCATGAATTATTGTTGTTGGCTTCTCTTTCAGATGCGGCTGAAATTGTCTCTGCTCCCAGAAACAGGACAGTCCTGGAATATGACAATGTTACTTTCTTTTGCAATGCATCAAGTAATCCACCCTCACAGATTATCTGGACCCAAGAAGGAAGCAGTACAGTTTTACATACAAGAGAAACCTTTGTAATTGAAAATGTTTCAAGAAAACTTAATGGACAGCGATACAAATGCAGGACATGGAACAATGTCACCAAAGATGTGGAGGCATATGCTCAGCTCACCGTTCATTGTGAGTATTCAATGACTCTTTCATGAAAACCAAGAATCACAAAGGAGATAAGTTGGTACACTGCAAAAACAAAAGCAACATCTACAAAAAGAAAACTGTTAAATTCAGGTTGCTTTTCCCTTTATATGCCAACATCACTTTGCAAGTTCTCCATACTGTTGTCTACACATTAATATGGTACTTACTTTTTAAGGAGAATTTGCCTAATGATCAAGAGCATTTTGACTTTTTCGACATGTTCATAATTATGTAAGAGAAATCTTAAAATTAAGATTCACAAACCTAAATGTAAAGGCATGACGATATTATCACTCATTGTCTTGCCCAAAGACCAGTTGAAATACTAAACCATATTTTGGTCCATCTTTGTTTGCCTGAATTCTATTTGACTAAGTTTAATACAATTCCTTTTCTAATGGTGTTGGTATTACTGTGCCAATACTTTTCTGTGATGTAAGGATATACATGTCTCTACAGACCCATCAAACTAGATAAAATGCTCCAACTCGTTAAAATGGTCTAATTGGTAAAAATTATCTATGTTTTATTAATAGTTAATATTTGAGATAAAATGGTTTAAACATTTAAAAAGGTCCAGCCAGGTAAAATGGTTCTATTAGCTAAAATTGTCTAAACATCTAAAAAGGTCTAACTAGATAATGTGGTCCAACCACCTGAAGTGGTGTAACTAGATAAAACGTTCCAACTGGTGGAAATGGTCAAACTCGGTGTAACTGGTCAAAGTAAATGGTCAAACTGTTTAAAATAGCTTAATCAGCTAAGATGGTCTAAGACAAAATGATCCACTGGTCAAAGTCGTCTAGCTAAATAAAATGGTCAAACAAGATATACTGGTCCAACAAGCAGAAATTGCCCAACAAAAGAAATTGTTCCTACTGGTTAAAATAATCTTACTAGATGAGGTAGGTTAGCCACTTAAAATGGTCCAACAGGTTATATTGGCCCAATGGTTAGAATTATGCAACCAGTAAATATGGTCCAACTGGTTCAACTGAATCCGACCAGTCTACATCTATAAAATGATCAAAATGCTAAAAATGGTCTTATTAGGTAACATGGTCCAACCGGTTAAAATGATCATCCAGTTGAAATGGTCCTTTTATTTAGTTAGACCATGTATACCGGTGGGACCATTTTTTTAAATTAGACCATTTGTAACTGTTGAATCATTCTATGTTTATACACCACTTTACAACTTCTACTTAACTGTGTATCCTTTGATGAAATTATAATGAACCATCACCTTTTTCCCAATATTCATGCAAGTAATCACTATCGATTTTTATTCTCTGTCTAAAAGATCCTCCAACATCAACCATGATTACAGCACTTCCCGCAAACACGACAGTGCTGCATAATACTTTCATGATGCTAAACTGTAGTACAGATGCCAACCCTGATGCTCATACTTATCACTTCTACCTTAATGGCAACCTTATTGGTAACAGCAGTTCTGGAATGTTTAATATCCCCGTAAAAGAAGATGGAGAGTACACTTGTGTTCCTGTTAACAAAGTAGGCACAGGAAGCAATGCTAGTGTCGGCATCACTGCTGTTGGTGAGTTCAGTGTAGAGCTGACTGCAATTTAGAATAGCTAATTTATCGCATCAAGTCCGTTGTTGTGTGCTCTACCAATTTCGTTAAAATATTAAAGATTCACCCTAGATATATATGTACAATTTAACTGACTCAATAGACCTTAATACCGCCATACTATGATGTGTTTCTGTGCACAGGGTAGACACAGTAATGCTACAGTCCACACTAAGGGTTTTGGTATGCATCTGGTCAGAAAGTTTGCATGAGACGAGTGACGAATAATAAATTCACCATTTTGTTGTTTTAGTAAGTTAATAATTGTGTGCTTAGTGATCTGATGGGAAGGTGATCAGATGAGCAATTATTATGTCAAATTAGATGGCTAGGAAATTAGTTATGTGTTCTGTCCCTTATTTTTGTGGATTTGGCATTTCATCATCAAGGAAGGCTGTCAGATTTTTTGTAATTCCACGGACTTACATATAATCGGGATTTGCCGACTAGAATAAATACTGGTGCAATATTAGTAACCTTAACTGATAACACAAACAACTGTATTAGTGATATTTTATTTCAGTGGCCCCAGTTGCTGATGTGGTTCCTCAAACTGGCGTAGTTGTGGAAGGTGGAAACATTACCTTGATCTGTAACAGCAGTGGTGTTCCTTCTCCATCAGTTGTCTGGACTCAAGTTGGAACCACAAACGTTTTGTCTCAAAACAATTTACTTAGGGTGGTAAATGTAACCAGACCAGAGACACCAGATAACATGATCCAGTATCAGTGTACAGCCAGTAATGGAGTAGGTACACATGGTACCGCTGCAGTTAACATAACTGTTCAATGTGAGTTAATAATTGTACATATTTTAACCAGTAGGAACATTTTCTCTTGTTAGGAAGTCGTTTGTTGCATGGTTAGTTGTAAATTTTACAGGTGTATCTTTACAATACGAAAAGGTTCTGTGCTTGAATAAGAAGGAAAACAGAGAAGACCAGATCTGTTGCTCGATGTTAATCTTGCCTGAAGGCGTTTTATTTTCCTGCTTACGCTTTCTTGATTCACACTGTAAGTAATTTTTTTTACTTTTAAGATCCTCCGGAGATAGTCAGATATCCATCCACTTCACCCATCATTGAAGGTGGCAACATCACACTTGTTTGCCAGGCTATTGGAAATCCACAGCCAAACATAACTTGGACCAAGAGAGGAAGCGATAAAATTTTGTCCCATTCAGAGGCACTTGTCTTGGCTAATTTAACCAGGTTAGACAACGAAACAGAATACGAATGCAAAGCCATGAACTATTTAGGATTCGTTGAAGCCTCGACTTCAGTTACCATCCACTGTAAGTACAATGTAGAATTGCTTATGCATGTAACGTATTAGCTCTATGTAAATTGAAACCTCAGCTAAGTTACCTATCGATGAGCAAATACTGGACAATTATTTATATGTTGTGGTTCAATTTTATCCTTGGTTCAAATTTTATTGACTTTTGTCTATGGGTGTTGTCATGTATGATAATGAGTTTGAAACAAAGGAAAATAACGTTTGAACCAAGGATAAAATGAACCACAACAGATACATGTAGGTCCCCTTTAGGTAGAAAAACCTAAAAACAGTCTAAAGATTGATTTTAGATTAGATCTGTACACATGATATTTTTCCTTATTTAGATCCATCCTTGATTGATTCTGCCCCAATCAGTCAAGTTGTCCTTGAAGGAAACAACTTGACCCTACGCTGCAGTGCTTCTGGAAATCCTACACCAAACATCACGTGGACTAAAGATAAAAGTTCATCAGTGCTACATCAAGGAGATACTTACAGCATTGTGGACATAGACAGAAATGCTGCAGGGAATTACACATGTACAGCTTGGAATGGAGTGGGAGAACCAAAAAAAGCCATTGCTGCAGTATCTGTACACTGTAAGTTGTGTTACACTTACATTTGGTGAATCAACTCTTCAATCTAAAAAAATTACCCCATGTTTGATAGCGACAACTTTATTATTGCACCATTTCTATAGAAATTCACTTGAAAATCTTTGTTGAATATATTTATATATTTTTACATTGTATAGCAAGCGTTTGGTAGCTGACAAAAAGGAGACACTAACTTGTAAAATTCAGTGACAAATGGACACTTTAACTATCTTTTTCTCCCTCCCCCTGTGGACTTAAAACTGTAATGTCAACAGTAATCGTTGTAGTCTTGAGGTACCCTTGGTTACATCGAAGATGATCACCATCAGAGCTGTTGTGTTCTCTTATCTAGACAAAATTGACACAAACATAACGTATCATTAGATTAATTGTGGGTTGCACTAAAGCCCGGTATTGATATGATCGTCCAGATTTCCGCGATCACCCTAAGTGATGCTTCAGGGTTCTGGACGGTTAGAAAGAAATTAGGCCCAAATATCGCGAGGACCACGACCGTCTGGCTAGAATTCAGTGTATAGCCTGTTTTTACCATGATATCACAGATTGCGCTAATCCTATCGAAAACTGAGGCGAGCAGGACGTGTGGAAATTAGGCGTCGGGGGAAATATTACTTTTGAAATTTTTTTACCATATCCAAATGTTATCCAAATCTCCGACAAAAACTCCGTCATTGAAATATGGGAGTCGTAGACCGTAGGCTTGTGTTTGAATTGTCACTATTCCTTTAATCTGATCAGATCCTGCTGAGATAGTCACTCGTCCTAAAGACCAAGTGTTGTGGTTGGGGGAGAACACAACTCTAGTGTGTGACGCTGTTGGTAACCCTGTGCCAAACATGAGTTACTCTGTGCTTGGAGAGAATGCCTCAGTTGTTTACAGCAAGACACTTGTTATTAAGAGTTCCAGCGTAACTTATGTTAGGATGTACACATGCACGGCATTTAATGGAGTACAGCCACCAGCGTCTGTCAATGCTACTGTTACAGTGTTGGGTAAGTGTTGTACTTCACACATTTGTTTCCCTTAGTTCTTTGGAGGAGATTGTTTCGTATGTGTAATTCAATGGAAATAAATTTCTTTGAAGCGAAACTAAAGCCTACAGTTTAGACAATTGATTTTAATTTTCACCATGAGAGGCCACTAGATATGATTACCTATTGTTGACGCGTGGTCTAAACAAGTAATTTTTTTCTTCCTTTCAAACGTACATTCAAAACTAGAGAGAATGAAATGAACTTCAATTGGTATATCATCGGGTATGCAACACCTTCTATTTAGACGCATTGGTGATCTTGCATTCATCAAGGAAAGTTGGCGTTTCTAGAATTTTATTAAGAATAATTGCAACATGCCCTGATTAACAAAAACAAGGATATAGAAGACTCTTTTTAACATGAAAATTACCTTTCCTGGGAGATACGAAGTGTAGTGACTTAGAGAGTGCTTTATGAATAATTAAGCGGAGGATTCTGTTTATTAACGTCTCATGAGTTCGCTTTTCTCTCTCCTCATCGGTAGCATACTCATGATGTAACCTGCCTTTTATTTACTAAGAAATCCCGCTTAAAACTACGTATTGTGTGTATACGAGAGTTGTATCTTCTTTTTCCAACAGTAAGACCTTGTTCTCGTTCCCCCTGTGCTAATGGAAATTGTACGGACATAAAGACGCCGCCATCTTACCGTTGCATTTGTCCTTCTGGTTATCAGGGAAGACACTGTATTCAGCAGAGTAAGTCTTCTTGCCCCTTTTTAAATATACGTGCCATTTTCTTCACGATGGTTATTATTATCGTTGTTAGTTATATCATCATTAATATCACAAGAACATCATGAACCCTTTCAGTTCCAACGGTGCTGATCTGTTGTGGCTTTTATACTTCTGAGCCGGTTATTCAAAGTCCATCAACAGCCATCCTTAAACCCATAATTTTCAGCGTTCACTTTTGCTCTCAGCGCGTATCGATCATCATATGATCTACTTGTGTTACTGTGGACTCTAAATTGTCATAGTTGTCCCAATCTTTTACAATGATACATGCTTGTACCGCTTTTTTGCTATTTATTTTAGTTACAAAAGAAACTGATAGAGTGAGGGGGAGAGTAAAACTTGAAAGGTGTCCATACAAGTATCACCCAGACTACAATAACCACAGCAGTGAGATGTACAAGGAGCTCAGCAACTACTTTATAAAGAATGTAAGTTGTTTAAAGTTTGCCTTTCAGGTGAATATTTGAAAGGCTCTGTAGTAAATGTTGATATGAATTCTGTCTAGGCAGTACACTCCCTGCAAAGCAGAATACTTACAGTGCTCAAAGGTGGTCCCTTTCCCTTTTTTGTTGCTTCTTTTGTTGAAGACAAACTGAGGGGTGCCATTTTCATCTTGTCTCCCTCTTGAAGCGGCGTCCACAGCACTGTTGAGATAAATTAATGTCACGAGGAAAGTTGCTGTATATAATAAAGTCAATTCCCAGTAAGAGGGCGTCAACCTGTGTGTGTAGTAGTTGCAAAGAATACTTACAAAGAGAATGATTGAATTGTGAAAATGCTTTTGTCGGTCTAAAGAAACATTGTTGGGCTTGTTCAAAATTTCCGTGGGTCAAAAACTTCATGATTTGCTACAATATTGAACGATAAAAAGTTCACGGCATTGATTGCTTCTCTGAACGGTATGATCCGTTACCTACTTTGAAAGGGCCCTTTTTTGTCCTAAAAAGTTTGGGATCACTCGCTGTCGCAGTCATTGGTTTCTATCTTTACTTTCAATCATGACTTTTGCGCCGTGGGGTAAAATCCCCCAAGAAGTTGCGACTTTCTATGCGATGTGAAAACTATCTCTTTACCTGGGCAAGACACACTCTCCATGTTCGCCATCTGTTTGCTCTATAGCTTTTTATCAGGCCCGGTGATTTGGTAGGTTCCACTTTTAATATCGCATGACTGAACTGAGAGATCCGAACAGCTTGTTAGATCTCGTCTATCTTCTAATACTGGCATCGACACAGTTCATATCCTTGAACAATTCTATTAAAGTAGTATGTTTTTTTGTAGATGACTCTATTATACGAAAATGAGAAACAATTTGGTCTCGTCACAGTTAACGACATTTAGTAAGAGTAAAGTATTATTATCATTATAATTATTATCATTATCGTTATTGTTGTTATTATTATTATCATCCTAATTATCATTTCTGTCGTTGTTGTTTCTCTTTTTTTTTTTTTTTTTTTTGTATTCCATGTGCAACTCTTTTTTTCACGCGGCTTACTCATCAGTCCCAAAAGAACAAATGCATTAATGAAGGGAATAATGAGGATAATTGGAATGTTGCCAAAACTTACGGTGATATCTAAATTGTTCGGACGCAGTGAAGTCACGCGCGAGGAGAGGAGCGCGATAAAATGAAATTTTGTTCCTCGCGCTTTGCGCTCTCCTCGCGCTTGTCTCCGTTCGCCTGAAAAACGGTCACAACAGAAAACGCTTGTTCGGCTTGTTATCTTCCGAATGAAATACCATGAATCCGAGAAAAATGCCAATTGATTTCTGTTTTGCTCTATGCTTTCCCTTTTGTTATATTTTCCCCCTCACTTTTGACTTGTTTTGATGTCATTGGCAAAGACGTCATTCGTCGTGGCACAGATACGTGTTTCCATCAAACATATTTTTTGACGTCAATTAGACTACTTGTTCATAACTTACTTATCAGAGGGTTTCTACTGTTTTGACAGCAGTGACGCAAGTGACAACGTTATGGTGAACTTCACCTTAGTTTTCTTCAAAGGAAATAAGACTGTTGATGAGCTTCATCAGGTCCTAGAAAAATCCGTGGAAAATGGCAGTGTTTATTCGTTACCAGTGCAGAGAGGCACGCTCCGGCTAACTCTAATAAGTGAGTTCACCATTCTTTGTTGTACAGAGTGCTGTCCGATCAATTACTGTAAAACCAAAACCTAAGTACCACCGTAACAAGTCGTAGTAAGGCTAAATATCACAAGTATCAGTGAGGCACTTAACTGAACACATGTAAAGGACGCGGGAAAAGCTTCTGTCAAAGTTTAGGCTCTATTTTTAAACTGATTTATTTCATTTGAGTGATTTTCACGCTCTCTATATAAAAGCATAAAAATCAGGCCTGGGAAAGTAACGGGAGACGCCGAATTTTCAAGGAATGAAGTTGAATGAATCCGGGGCTGATGGTCAGGCCTAAATCGCATCCGGCATTAATGCCATCAATACAATGTATTATTTGTTAGAAAATGATCCTCTGTTTCTTCTCCGTTATACCTTAGCGACTCCAGCACCTGCTACAGCTGTTCCACCGGCTGTAGCCGCACGGAGCAAGAAAATTGAACCGTGGATTATTGTCGTGGTTGCATCTATTGGTGGACTGCTGTTCTTGGTGCTGGTTTGCGCCATTATCGCCTGCTGTGGCAGGAGGAGGAAGAAGAAAAAAGGTGAGAAACGGAGTGCGCAGGCTGTACCCAGCAATGGTACATGTGGTACATGTAATGAAAAGACTATTACCAGAACTATACCATTTGTGTCAAACAATATCACAAAGAGACGTAGGTAAGATGTTAGTGAACAGTGCCACTTTATCATAGTGTGTTCTTCTGGAATGGTGAGAGAGCTTAATTAGCAACCACTTAGCTAACATAAGAAAAATGTAAGGTTGCCTGTTGGAACGTGGAAGGTATGAAATTACTGATAATCACGTTTATGTTTTTGACCACTGGACATCTTAATAACGGTGCGGAATGTATGCTGAAAAATTCTAGAACTTCAGTGGCTCACTGTTCATGCGGTTTTGTCTTCCTACCCTCTTTGTAAGAATTTTTTTTAAACTTTTGAACAGTATTTTTATTAGTTTATATCTCGTCTATTTTCTCGCTAAAGGACAATTTTGACTCGTATGCAATAAACTTTGGTAAAGTGATGGTTGATTTTACTCTTTCGTAAGGCGTTATTACTATTGAAAACACAGTGTTTTAAGTAGCTACTTCAAGGCTACTTGATGCAACATATATATGCTTATGAATTTCCCACATTATTCTGAAAAGTGTTTGTGTCATGACAGTTTTAATCTTTGTTCCTCCATAGATGTATCCCAAGGATACGAAGAGCACACGTGAGTTGTACGCTTGACTTCTTAATTAATTGGACATTCTCTTTTGGGAAAGTTGTTATAAGCACTGGAAAACAAACATCGAAATAGGCATGTGTTTCAGGTATAAACGCAACCATGAGATCATCCAGGTGTGATTGCTTCAAACGCTTATGGTTAAATACCCGAAATGTTATCAGTGAAATTTGCTACAATGCACTGTTGTAAGAACATAACGATTTTGATGTTACAACAGATCTGTATGGCAAAGAACGAGTTCTAGATATTAGTGTTGTTTTGGTGCTCAGTGTGTTTTCATCGTCTCTGTTGGCAGTGGAAAGTGGATTGATCTGCCTCATGGTGAAAACGGAAATAAGTCATCAAAAGAGGAGTATGCAGTGACCAATTCTGTGGCTTACATGGAGGGTGGACCTTACCAGGTGCGAAAACCAGCGAATGATTACTTTGTTAATAGAAGTGCCTGTGCTGAAATAGTACCAATAACACAACTAGGGACAAGAAATCTCTAGCTCTGTAGTTCCCAATCTCTCCTGGTTAATTTGTTATTCGGATGAAAATATCAACATGTGACGTCACCTTTAACAGTTTGGGTCTTGATTGTAATCGATGTAACTGAGGACTATGCAAGGGGTGATCTTTTTCAAAGGTAGATAGCCGAAGCGGCCTCGTGCTCTCATTTGTTTCTCGATATTTGGATACCACGATTAAACCCTCGCACTCGTTTTTTATATACTGTGTATCGATGGGACAGTCGAGCGTTCTCTTCGGAGGAGCCATCCACTCTCTGGAAAACTGCGACTCTTTGTTGGTCAGTGGCATGTATTTGACCCAAATTGTTATGGTGGCAATGCACATGATGAGTACCCTTCCTATGTTAACAAAACGGCTGTTGTTACATTTAATCCACGAAACATGGACGTAATCGCGATGAGGACTTTTATTGCAACACGTCTTTACACCTCACTTGGGGCACAACTTGAATCGATAACTAATGCTGTCAGTTAAATCTTTTGTACTTGGTTGAGAGCGTTTTTAATGTGTGGATTATTTGATTGAACTGTGAATGGTATTTCTGTAGGAACGCGCTGTTGAAGAGAAAGAACCCGAGAGCAATGGTGAGTTAAACGTAGGTCATTTAGTTTACCGATAACGAAAGTCATTGAAGGCGTTCTCTGCGCATAAAAACACCGAAATGAACAAGTTCCTTGTTAAGGCTGCAAAAATAACGGGGTTGAAGTGAAGTCCCTGTTCTTGGTCACGAAATGCAGGTGACAATTTAAGGTCTGGGTACCAGGAAAAAAAAATGATTGAAATGGATGTAGATGTTCCCTGTTTGAATACAAACAAAATGTACTGACAAGAAGTTAAACTCAAGTGACGGAACTGCTATGTTTTCAGGCAACAACACCCATATGTAGCGTGGGATTCAGGAAAGGAAGGAACGACAAGGACAGGAAACCAAGAACAAGAACAAGAACAAGAACCATTTAAAGCACAAGCTAACTTTTTAATGAAATTTACGCTGACGTGATGTTTGATATATACTTCGACAGCGAAATTGAAAGTGGTTTCTTGAGGAGATATGTCTTGTCTTATTATCGTCTTGTTTTGGATTTCAAAAGGACAGCTTCCTGTTTTTATAAGCTTGCCAACCGGGTGTTCAAAATCTCCCATCATTTTTATACTCGTGCGACTCAAACTACTTTTAAGTCGAGTTCGTTGCATTTATTCCCATAATGAATCTTGGGTTATAAAATTGTTCATGCAATTTAATTTTGTCTTATTATCGTCTTGTTTTGGATTTCAAAAGGACAGCTTCCTGTTTTTATAAGCTTGCCAACCGGGTGTTCAAAATCTCCCATCATTTTTATACTCGTGCGACTCAAACTACTTTTAAGTCGAGTTCGTTGCATTTATTCCCATAATGAATCTTGGGTTATAAAATTGTTCATGCAATTTAATTTTGTCTTATTATCGTCTTGTTTTGGATTTCAAAAGGACAGCTTCCTGTTTTTATAAGCTTGCCAACCGGGTGTTCAAAATCTCCCATCATTTTTATACTTTATACTTTTATACTTTTAAGTCGAGTTCGTTGCATATATTCCCATAATGAATCTTGGGTTATAAAATTGTTCATGCAATTTAAAAAGTAAAGAGGATGAAGCCACTAGAACCTCATCCTCACCCACATTGAAGCTTAGATTGCACAAGAAAACGTAAATGTTTTTCTGCAGAATGCAGCTGGTTTGCATGAAATTATTCACCAATATTTATTGCACATCCATTTAATCAGTTTTTTTTATATTAATTTAAGCTGTTTTTGTTACTCTGCTCACTGAAACTTTGAAATAAAATCGCGTACAAAAATCCGTGGCTCTTTTCGTCTTGTAAACCAACTCGTATGAGTACCGACTGAACAAAGCATTTTCAGTAAGAAGTGCTTGGAGGGTACTGGTCACAATTCACGTTGAAGGAGAGAGGGGGCTGGAGTATCTTCCAAGATTAATATTTAACTTCTGATCCCAAACCTCGTTTGATCGATAAATTAGTCTCATCCTTTTCCCCCTCGCTATTTTCAGCTATTCATGAAGTACTTTCGTATTGAGGAATTGGAAATGCCAAGCCGTGCACATTATTCACAACGCGAGACTGCACATTACAAGGGGCGACTCTCGTATCGTTTCTTTTTATGTCATGGGACTATCACTGCTTTAAGGTCAAGGTGTACAAAAGCCTCCCGTTCTTCACACACTTCTGACTTCATGGCCAGTTTACAAAGAGAGATTTTTAAGGTTGAAATGAGTATATCGGTTTAACATAGCATTGAAACTGAAAGCTCAGAGGACCATTACTACCAGCACTTATCGAACCTCGAGGTTCTTATGCATTTACAGAACTTGGCGTCTTTAACACAAGCAGAACCAACATGATGGTCAGCTGTTTATGGAGGCGACAGATCCCCCTCCATCCAATAAACCGACTCATTCCCTTTATTTTCTATCCCTTCTCCAAACTTCTAGGCAAATGCTGATCGTCTCCCCCTCTTAATTACAAAATGTCACAAAACCAAAATACCAAGCATCAGTACAAACCTGCTACAGAAAGATAGCTAAGAGAACATCAGTTAGTTACTTTCAAACTTTATTGGCTAAAAAGAATACAAATCACACGAATCTGTCAAAAACATTTTCCTAGAACGGACAAGAATCTTTAATATATTTGACTATTTTGTACAATGAAAACACCTTGAATTGACCCTGAATAATTCATGTACACATTCCTTTATCAATGCTAAATAAATTTCAATTGCTTTCATTTTGTTTGGTTTTTTCTTTCTTTCATGTTCTGTATTAAATACATTGACAGCCAACAGTAAAAATTCAATTCACTACAAAATACAAAAGTAAAAAAGTTTTGAAAATGATTAAAACTGTGACAGTTACAAATAGCGACGACTGTGGTGGTAATTAATAAATAATTTTAGTTTGAATATAAAAATTTTTAAGTGGAACCCTTCCACTGTAGGTTGTCTGTTGACTGTAAAACAGAACATTACAGGTGATGCAATATCCAGCAATGTGGGAGCTGCTCACATCTGTCTTCATCTTGGATGAGCGTCTTATGTTCTGTTGCATTAAATTCTAGAGTCTACTTCTCCTTCAGCCGCAATCAGTTGAATAACAGATCGGGTAGGGTAGGCTACACCAACTGTGGAGCGTTGGTCCTGGTTTCAGTAAAGGAAGAATTCAACTTTAACAGGGAACACTGAACTACCGAGCAACATTATGATCATAAGTACCTTGAAATGAATGAAAGTTGAGCGAATGTCACTGCTTCTTGTGGATGAATTTTGTGCTTAAGGTTACCTCCTATGCGTTAACCAAAATTGTTAGGGAACATGGTGTCTCACAAATGATTTGGTTGAGAATAAGCCCAATGACACGAATACCTTGCAGGAAAGGTGGACTATCGCTCTCCTGCACATGTAAACTCAGGAAAGGAGACCATAGTAACTCTTAATTCACCTCTACATACATTACACCCTGAACCTGTTAACAAGTGTATTTCTTGCTAAAGCATCAAATTAGGCATGTATTTACAAACTGTGTGCATGAAAACTCTAATGAATACTCACCTCTGCCAATCTAATGTCATTTGCACTCATGGCCCCCTTCATTACATCAGGCATCTAAGAGACAAAAATATCATTATTGCAATGAGTAAGAAAATTGACAAAGTGATAGAACCAAAACAAATGAAAGAGTTCAAAAACAACAGTTTGGCAGCTTAGAATGCACTTGCTGGTAAGATGATAACAATCTGAGCACAAGTGACGATGCTATGACAATAACAGTGGGATCAAATGAGACTATGCTAGCTGATAGACTGAAAACTGAGGGACACAAACCTCGCGACTCATTCTAACATCAGTCAGACTTATGGCTCCGTTCATATAACCAAACTATAAGAAAAAGTAACATCAAACATTAATTACAGAAACGAAAAAAACATGCATGTAGAACCATTGATGACATATTTCTAAATTGGTGGGAACACTTTCTGCCAATTGCTACATTCAATGTATCATTCCAGGTAATGATATTTGAAAATTTCTTTGACATTGGCATCTAGGAGATGAAAATACTATTTTCACAATTAGTAAGAAAATTGACAAACTAACAGGAAACAAAATAAATGAAAGTTTTCAAAGACAGGAGTTTGTCGTCGGGCTTATAATGCACTTGCTGGTAGGATGACAACCACCTGGGTACAACAAGTGACGACAGTATGACAAAATCATTGGGATCGACAGACTCCACAAAAAATACATTGAAAACAAAGGAATACAAACCTCACGACTCATTCTAACATCATTTAGGCTCAAGGCTCCATTCGGATAACCAATCTAGGAGAAAAAGAAAAATCATGCAAATGAAACAACATGCCCATAGGATCAACCAATGACTATAGGTAGGAACACTTCCACCAATAACTAAGTTCATTTTGAATGATACTTGAAAAATTTCTTTATCTCCCTCCCCCAAAAAAAATTACACAATATAGGGCAAAATTCTGAACGAATGTTTGTTTCAGAGGTGCAAAACTATTCACTGCACTTAAATCAAAATGTATGACACATTTGCGCACAAAGATCGCTCACCTCCATTCCCCCATTCGTCTGATCTCCATAGAGAGTAGAACCAATGTGAGAGCCTCTCTTGGTTCCTTGTCTGAGAGAGCAAAAGATAAATACAACTTCAAGTAAGAAAATGATGATTTAAGTTTTACACTGGTCTAAGGTACAATATGTGCTTCTGTTTCAGGATAATTTAAGTAGTATGAAATCATGATTATTGTACCTGGAAATGTTATTCTGTGATCCCATCTCCCTCTTATCTGTTCAAATCAAAATCAAAGAAAAGGATAATAAAATTTGTTAAAACAAAGCTTTTTTATCCATCTTAGCTCCTGTTGTGTGTATAATTAAAATTGTAACTCTCAGGACTAGCTATTCTCCAACATTTTTTCAACAGCTTGGAATACTTCCACATGTTAAGCATGTGACACTTTACAAGACTACACAGTATAGTTAACTGACAAAAGCATTTACCTTTCTTATTTTGCTTCTTTGAACGGCAAAATACAATGATCGAGGAGGCAATTAAAAGGACAAATAAAACACTTCCACCAATGGCAGCATATGCCCAAACTGGGAATTCCTCTTTATCTACATGAAACAATCATAAGTTGACATATTTTAGATCACAAACACATGATAAAAAGTAGCTGAATCAGGTTCAGTCCTTTCAGTAACTCCATTAAATTAATTTAAATATGCCAAATCCTCTTTGGAATAGTTTTTGGACATGTTGAATAAAAATGGGGTAAAATACATTGCATGCAAGGGTGTTTTTTTTTTCTAGAACGGCATGATGGTATTTATAAAAACTTTACTGATAAAATAAAAATGTACAACGAGGTGTGGTCACATACCTTCAACTGTCACCGTGAGAGTTGCTTCTGGGCCGTCACCCAGTTTATTAGAAGGAACACAGCGATAAGTTCCTTGGTCCTCTTTCTTGACACTAACAAAAGTAAGTACACCTGTGCTGGACGAGCTGATCAAATTGTTGTTGCGGTAAAATTTATATTCTGCCGAGGGATTGGCACGGGCTGTACAGGTGAGCACTAAGAGTTTCCCTTCTTGTGCTGGCTCCACCAAACTACTGAGCAGAGTGTCTGTGGGTTTGTCTGGAGAATCAAATTACATAATAAGAAAAACAACAATGCGAACAGCTTCTCTCTAGGCACTTCAAAATTACTAATTTACTCATGGAGAAATTAAACATCCAGCAATCTAGTTACTATTCACTTCTCCTAACTGGTGGATGCCAGTGAGAGAGAGAAAGAATTCATGGCAAAATCAATTAAGAGGGAATAAATGAGAAATATGTAAACATGAAGCATAGGGACTGTTGATAACTACCTTCACACATCTTAATTTATTGATTTCATCTAGTTTACAACCCATTTGATCCATTTTTTGAAGATGAGAAACACTTCACTTTCTGAAGTTTCCAGGAAACTTTGCCTGTTGCCTGGCAGCCAACATGTCACGTGTCTTTGATATTCACCTAATCTTTTTATCACACTTGCTAATCGACAAAGATAAAGACAGCCAATAACCGCATTAGCCTAATAACAGCCTTATCAGAATGTCAACCTTAGCACTTGGGATTTAGGACTGATTACCTTTTACACCAAAAGGAAGCTCAAACGGATAATTATACTATTCCACAGACTAGCAGGCTTCTAGTGCGGTAAGCGTCAATGTACTATTTCTCTCTTATGGGAAAATCAAGGCAGTCTGTGAAATATTTTTTAGTTAGGGCAGAAAATCAAATCTTGCTGGCAAAATCTTTCAGTGTTTCAATTAAAAGCCAGAATACATATAAAGAAAATTGTACCACAATACTTTTACAGTTTCTACCTCTTAGAAATGGCAGAGATGTGACTCACAATGAGATAAGTTAAAACAATTTTTTTTATAATTTTCATTTAAATGCAAATCAATATAGAAAGTGTAAATTTGTTTTTAAAAACACCATGCAGCGAAAATGTCCCAATGAAATTTCCTTGTTCACCACGATAGTGTGCAAAATTTTGCATTTCTCGTATTTGATGCTTTCTGATATGCAAATCGATAATACTTATGGTAACACCTGCTTATAATTGCCATCATACAAGTTTGCTTGGCTCTTTTGAACTTTTCATCTTATATATGTATTTGAACTGTTATTTTCATTCAAAGGGTCTAATATAGTTTGGTTGAAATGTGGAAAGAGAAAGCATTCTTTCTTAAACATATCACATTGGCCAAAGCATGTGTGATTTGGAAACAGATCTTGACAATCTTCATGTGCCCAAACATAAGCAAGTGTCCTTCCTTTTTTCCTAAGAATGGCTCCTGAATAATAAGTTTGAAAAAGCAGCAAATGACCCGACAGGAAAAGGGAACACAGGATTGTAAAAACAAATATAAATGGTTCTTCTGCAAAGCCAATTAAGATTAATTTCTTGTTGACAACGAATGATCTGACATGTGTCTATCTAATTTATACATTTTTTATCACCATTGACAAGTCTTATGTGTGAATAACAAACTTATTGACAACCGAAAGCCCAGATACAAATCGAAAGAAATGGCGTCGACCGATCGTCGAAAGGAACCATTCAGTTTTAATCATTGTAAATCTACCGTTAGCCTTCGAAGTTGTTTGAGTCGCGCTACGTGACGAAATCTGATACTCTTTCCTAAAGCCAACCACATCATTTTGGAGGTACATTTACAACGAGATTCTGCTTTGAGAATGTTCTATGAACAATAATGATCAGAGTTACGTCGCAGAGGTGACAAGAGAGAACGTTTACTTAGCGAGTCGTAAGGTAGGATAACCTCTAACTTTCAGAACACCTTAAAGTTATGTAATACTTACATTGTACGTTTAACTCGATAATACTTGGTGATGTGAAGAAACTACTTCGAAATGAGCATTGGTAACGAGTGTGATCTTCTTCGGCTACGTTCATAACATTCAAAGTCCTGTCCGAAATGAAAATGTGTTGGGGATGATCGTAAATGACTTTGCTTCCAATCAATGTTGAGTTGATGGCTAATCCAGCCCATTCATCACTGTTGTAAGGTTGTTCTCTGGACCAGGTCAGCAAATGAAATATATCAGCTTGTTGTTCTTCTTGAGGAGTCAGCACATAATCGCATGGCAGTGAAACATTTGAGCCGGCGACTACGTTGATTACATGGTTTGCCTGTTGCTGATAAGACCATTGAAATCCTTCTGAAATCGAAACCATAAAGGCTATGAGTCAGACATATTCAAACTCGACTACTAAAAGAGGACCGTTTTCATGCGGCAAACATATCAGTATTGGCGACATGGTTTGTAACCGCCGCTCGCGTAAATGATACAATCAAACCAAACTATTTCAAAACTAATTTCAACATCACTTGCCCAGTAAAATTACACAGTTCAGAAAAAATAGTAGCACCCAGGTGGTATTGGAACCCTCCATTCTTCACGCAATCTTCTTGAAGAGGAACTCCGACATAACTCTTTGTATATTTATTTGTGTTAGTGACAAACTCTCTAGTCCCTCCTCCACTGACGTCAAACACTTTCGCCGAGCTATTGTTTAAAAAAATTCAATCATGCATAGAATAGACAGGAAATGACAACATTCCGAGGATGACTGATACAGCTTTTGCTTTATTTGTCACTCTATGTCTAATTTTAGTCCCAGCTTCATTTGAGACGAACTAAACATTTGAGAAGCCAACTCATGTGACTTTTTTTTTAATTTTACTTTTTATTCCTAATTATTTTTTAATAGTTATCGTTTGCAGTGTTCAGCAGGTGATATTCAAAAGGAGTAAAAGTTATTTTTCTCAAAGATACCTGCTCGCTCGAAAAAAGATTTCAGGCCGTACAGATTTTCTGAATACTATATGTAAAATATACGATATTGATTCATGTTTGTCAAGGATCAAGGTAGATAACGTTTTGATTGGAAAAATATAAGGTATAAAGGTTGTCAGTCCAAACAAAATAATAATTGCGGTGGACTTTGTAACATTCAGGGGTAATTTTAATTGGAAGCTACTAGACAACGCTGTGATGTGCAGATGTCTTACTTTTGCTCGACGACGGAAAGCGACAGAACCGTCTAGTATGCCTAGCTGGGAAATTGAATGCAAGTTTCAAATTTTGCGGATTTTGCTTGATCTGCAAATATGGGTACACGCTGAAAAAAATACGCAGTGGAATATAACGCCGCAAAAAATTATTCTTAGTCCAATACAAAAGTCGAGGGAAATAACGCGGATAAGTGGTTATTCATTCAGTATTCTGATTTCTTTGTTGCGTCAAATATTTTGCGAAGTGGTTGTTTACCTTCCTAGATTATCCAGAATTCAGTTAACTTTCCAAAAAAACGTTCCGCGAATCTTAAAATCGCCAATTTGCGATATGAAATTACTGCAAAGCTGAGCAGCTTTTTCAGCCTTTTCACATGTTTTCCATTTATGTTTTCCCTCTTGGAACAATAGCAATACTGTGTGCTTTGTCTGTAAGAGATTTTAGCACATGTACGACATCTTTGTGCCTGATTATTTCTCTTGTAGCTGTGTCAGTGCGAGTGTAAAACTGTGAGTTTTAGATGGCGTTGTCAGATCGGCCATGTCGTGTCGACGACTGACTGAGACGTATAACAAAGTCCTTTATTCCATTTGCAATAATAAGAACTGAGATTTAACCGGTAGGTTAGACAATGTTATGCAGGGTGTTTGGGTTTTTTAATTTAACAAAAAAAATAGACCGTCGTCGAAGATTTGAAGTCTGTAAATAAAAAATGCATTTTAAATTTGTGCGTTGAAAAAAATCAACGGAGTTGAGTCGAAAGAAAGCGTTCACAACTTAAATCTGTGGTTAGCATTTTATTCTATTTCCGCCAGTTAAGGAAATATATTGTGGCTTAATATTGATTCCGCGTAATGCTAATGAGTTTTAATGTATTCCGCAGTCTTGTGTTGCAAGTCATCATGAGGTGTTTCCGTCTGGAAATAACACTAAAGGTGTGGTATAAAAGAATTTGATATTTCCGGGTAGAACTTTGAATACTTCATGCGCGTGAGATAGTCCACGTTAGTCACGCACTTAAAATTCGTGACGCTCTCTTTAAAGAAAAACAAAGAAAGGGTGCATTCACATGTACCCAAGTTTAATTGTAGCAAAAGACACGAGCGTGCACCGAATTGAAGAGGCCTCGTCGCAGTGGGAACGGAGATTAATTAGATCGTGAAAAGATGGTTAATCAGCACGTTTCTTATGTTATTAAGGTGAACTGGAACTACTGCCACAAGTTTAAATAAGAACCTCCAAGGCATTGTTGATCATGGATAACTCCCTGACAGTTTGGACGTTTTTTTCGCTGTTTTGGCTTTCAGGTAAGCCAGGGTGTAATAACTCTCAAAACATATTTTTATATATAAGAATCAGTTTTTTCCTTTTACTCACTTTTTACCCTCTCTTATTTTTCGAAGAATCTCTGTCTTGGACCATTAAACAGCCCGACAGTGTATACAGAGGATCACCGATCACACTGGAATGGACAATATCACTAACAAAAGAAGAAAGGAAAAGAGCTGATCGCTTTTCTTTGATTCTCTTAGAACGTGAGAAGTTTCTTTATAGCAATCAGTGGCAGATCATAGCTGTTAAACAATATTATAATGGTATTTATCAGGAAATCGATGATGAGGACACTTTTGATGTGATTCCTGGAAAGGACATGGCGCTCAAATTGAACAATGTTACAGACACTGATGCTTCTCGATTTCGCTGCACATTTCTGAGCTCATTTGCTTCTCCGAAGAGCATCATTGAGGTGGAAATAGAAGGTGAGTCTTTGTCGTTTGTGGACGTCTCTATTCTTTAGATGTAATACGTAATCTTTTAGGCGCATCCCTGACCTTCTGGCAGGGCATATCACAATTTCAACATGTCTCTGAATTTACCTAGCGGTTTATCTGGTTCCAGGAAGCTAACATCAGCACTGCTTTTCAAGGAACATTTGCATAATGTTTGTCTGCGGAGTTCGTTCAATATATATAGTCAGCCAGTGGAAAAAGAAACCTCTCAGCGTCAATAACCTGCCTTGCACCACCATTTTCCAACAGGGCAGCGGAGTACTCTGTACACTTTTAATAAGGGATGATACTTATGTTATTTATTTTTTGTTTTAGATTCTCCAGTATACGTACGTCTTATGGACGGAACTACTCCCAATAAAGGCCGAGTAGAAGTGTACCGAAATGGATTTTGGGGCACCATCTGTAGAGACGGTTGGGATATCCTGGATGCCTCAGTTGTTTGTCGGATGTTGGGTTATGCGGGAGCCTGGAAAGCTGGCTGTTGTGAGGATTATCTGGGAGGGACTGGTCCAGTGTGGCTAAGTGAAATTTCATGTACAGGAACAGAGAAGTCTCTATTAGAATGTGATCACAGTGGTTGGGGTGTCAATAACTGTGATCATAGAAAAGATGCTGAGATCGTGTGTTACAGTCCACCGACAGAAAAACCGTCTCACTATGTGAGTTTAAAAACCGTGTCAACAAGAACACAGAAATCTCTTTTCTCTAGCACAAAAGCAGTTACATCCACAACGGCTCAGTCCATTTTGACACAGGTGTCCCCACCAATACCCTTCAGCCCAACATCAATAGAATTCCAGAAATCGTCAACCCACACTGTTCGTGTAACAGAAACTATAGAAGTATCTCCAAGTTCATCGTCATTGGCCGTCATGTCCAGCTCTGTTATTGCCCCCTTAAATCCCAGTAAGTAGCCTCCAGTCATATTTGCAGCCTGTTAACAATTGTTTATATGCAATCACTGTCCAAGGCTTTGGCATGATTATAGACGTTCAGGTGTGTTTGCATTCTGTTGTCAGATGTGGCGATCAATTTCTGTTTAATTAAACTCGGCTCCCGATTAGAAAAGTAATTAAGAATGAGATCAATCAGGAACTTCTATAGGTGTGTGCTTAGTGTAGAGATTAACGTCTAGAGAGCACATTTTTCAAACCCATTTGAAGATGATAGGATACAAAAGAACGTTTTCAGGCAGAGACTCACCATGCAGTTCTCTTTTACAGACATGTATACCATAAAATGAAAAATGAGTCGCTCTGTTATGACATAATTGTACAGCTCAACACTGACTGCGTGTAGGTAAGTGCGTATTCAACAGTCACGATCACAATTTTGATTTCTTTAAACAGTTTTATATATTGAGCTGTTGAATGGTGGTGGTCACCCAAATCAAGGTCGTGTTTCACTTTACTACAATGGCCAGTGGGGAACAGTATGCCAAGATCATTGGGACATGAATGATGCGAACGTAGTGTGTCGAATGCTGGGATACCCAGGAGCTTTTGACTTTACAAACAGAACAGTTTTTGGTAGTGCTAACGATGGGCCAATATGGCTTGATGACGTCAACTGCACGGGAAATGAGAGCACGCTTGCAGCTTGTCCACATGCTGGCTGGGGAAAAAGTAACTGTGATCACACGAAAGATGCGGGGGTGAAATGTGACTTTAATTACACTGTAAAGGCAAAAGGTAAGGCAGAAAATATTTACAAACTCTGCAAATTCATCAAATCCCTGTATGTCAGCTTGTGTGTTAAGTAATCGATTTGTACTTCAAAAGAAGCAAAGAAGAAGAAATATCTGAAACTCTCTCTGCAGATGCAAGCTGCTCATTTGACACTTGGTATTGCGGCTGGGAGAATGGACCAGGCAGCCAGGGGTTAACGTGGACTAGGAAGTTTGGCCCAACGATATCACATGAAACCGGACCATCCCAAGATCACACCTCTGGTAGTGGTAAGGAAAGCTTCATACCGAGGAATGTGACTGAGTGATAATGATACAATCGAACTTTTTCGTGAGGTATTTTGCTATTGGAAAAAGCTCTCACTCTTTAGGCTCACGCCCAAATAAAATGATTAAAATTCTTTTATTTGTCGACCGAACTGAAAATCAACCTTTTTTCCTGGTGTTTTTGTTTCATTATTGAATGTTCATGCATTTGTGAAAATCACATCTGTCATTAAGTATCATTAACATTATTAATCGCCCAAGGGATGTCAGGCAACACTCTTGTGTTACATCCAAGAGTAAACATAATTACCCTTATTTCATTGTAGTTCTTTCCACAATGCAGGTTTTTATTTTTACATTGAGGCATCTGGACGAAGTAGGGGTGAAGTTGCTTCACTCGTGTCTCCACACATACGAAGTGATGAAAACACCACGTGTATGGTATTCTTCTATCATATGTATGGACAGTCCATTGCTACACTCACAGTGAAGGTTAAAGATCAAGTTTTGTGGCAGTTGTCAGGCAACCAGGGAAATGCTTGGTACAGAGCAACTGTGCCCCTTAATTTCAATGCAACTTACAGGGTACGGTATAGCTGATCTTTTCACAACCATTCGTCACCTGTATGAAGTAAAGTATTTCAAGACGAACGTGTATGTGTTTGTTTTTGTTGTTGTTGTGTTTTCACCCCTTTCCACTCTATTCTTGTTTGTTTTAGGTGATGTTTGAGGGTGTTGTTGGTAGCACTGCACGCAGTGATATCGCTATCGACGATGTCGAGTTCCAGGAAAATACAGAATGCGAAAAGACAGCTGAAACGTTAGGTAAGTAGACCGCTGAATTTCGAAATTATGCCATGCTACTGAAATAATTTTTGGTATTACCAGGTACGATGTAAATATAAAAAGAGTTGCAGTTGCAATTGAACTCGCTGTTCCCGTTGGCAGTTCCCGCCAAGTGCTTCTGTCATTTCCTTCCCTCCTAGAGGAAGTATGGTCGAGTGAAGAACGCCTTGTACTAGCTCTAAATCCAGAGATCCCCGGGCTCGAGAATCGCTCTGATCGTTAGATGGGATTGTTCCTTGCCAGTTGAAATCTACGACCACGCTTGCTAACGCCAACTAGTATGCCTCTTGCTAGTTGGGGTTTTCAATCCTGTCACGCTTGAATACTATTAATAATTTTTAGTTATTTGAGTGCGTTTAATTAGTGGACCACGATGAAAACTACAATGTCATCAGTAGTTGTATCACCCTTAAAAATTATTTTAATCAGTGATGGTGTGAATGACGGTCAATTTGATGGCATCATACTTGTAAGACCCTTGGACATTACCTTTCTTGATAACGATCCACGATCTATAATTCGGGAAACTCGATTGAACGATTTTAACCACTTTAGTTCCTCTTTCGAAGCATACATTTGCTCATACTCATACTTTTTCCTTATTTTCAGTTTCGCCAAAAATCATTTGGATTTCCCCAAATCGAACAGCTGAACTTGGTAGTGATGTTACATTAGTGTGTACCGTAACTGGTCTCCCCACACCACTTGTAGTATGGAAAAAAAATGGAAAACTTGTTTCGGAGAGTCAGGTGACTGGTAACGTCACTCTATTGAACATCACTCAGTCAGATATTGGCAGTTATGAGTGCTGGGCAATTAATGATGCGGCAACTGATATGAGAGCTACAGTACTCAACGTTTTAGGTTGGTGGATAAATTTTCTTGACTTATATTTTGGAGTGCGTAAAATGTAATTGCGTACATTTCATGAAGTGAAATGGTCAAAACTCAGATAAGTTGTGAACGCAGCGAATTTAAGGACTCGTTAATCTTCGAATACCCAGAAATATACCTATAATACGAATACCTATATTTCACATTTTGATGTTCTGGAAAGTGCAAATACCCCCCCTCCCCCCCCCCCCCCAGAGAATCAGAGAACAGCGTCTTGTTTGCTTAAAAATCAGTTCGATAAGCATGAATTGTTAAATGTCCTTGAAATTCCGGAAAATGCAAATGACTGTCTAGTCTTTTGGAATGACCTCCGAAAAATACTGAAACTGTGAGTGTGAGAAGCGCAATCTGGACCAGATATCTTCTAGTAATTGTGCCCCCAATCAAAGACTTAGCTTGTATCAAATTAATCAACTTGTTTCATTCTCTGAAGGATCTCCGAGGAAAATAGTAATCACCACGAACGTGTCTTGTAACGCGGCCATCCTTGGTGACTCTGTTGCCATACGGTGCTGGTCTCGTGGCTACCCTGCTCCACTCTGTGGCATATATCGCGATGGTTACTTACTAAGCGCCAATGGAGGTGTTTATGTAATTGACAACTTCACTTCTTTGGACCAAGGAGTCTACATTTGCAACTGCTCAAATGTTGCTGGTGCAGCGCAGGCAAACTTTTCCCTCACACTCTATGGTAAGTGGGTCTGTAATTATATTCTTGTCTTAGAACCAACAAGTGGGAGAATAGTTGACTTCAAATGGGATATAGTTGTTTGGTAGTATGTGTAAACGACGATCTTGTGATTACCCGGGTCCTTAAATGTTAACCAATGATAATAATCACCTTATTTCCAGAGGGTAACCGTCAACAGTATTTCAACTGATGAACAAGTGGTTCTCTATCCTATATTTGAAATACACTATACAATGTGGAACTAGACAGGAAGGGTCTAAGAATTGCTTTTTACTCTACAGAGTCCCCAGCTATCCACACCATTCATCCAGCCTATCAACTTGTGAACGAAACAGATACATTTGAGTTTTTTTGTAATGCGACGGGAAATCCACCCCCGACAATAACATGGCGGAAAGTTGGCGACACTAGAAAAGTGCATTCCATAGGACAAACACTGGTAATACACAATGCTTACAAATCAGACTTTGGCAGCTACCGATGTACCGCAATGAGTGTTCGCGGTGAGAATGTGTCAGCTGTTGCTCGAGTGGAGATGGATAACTGTGAGTCCAATTTCTGTTTGTATTGTAGTTGGTCACATGAAATAAAATGTTCCAGCTTTGACGGAGGCGACAAATCAATGTCAGCCTTACTTCACCTAGATTTTGTCGTTCTCCTCGATTTATTCAGGAAAACAAAATAAGAGGAAATAAACAAGAGTGATTCTCCAGAATGACTTACACGGCATCGTTTAGGCTGGGCCCAAAGTATTAGCACCTCTAACGGTGTTTGTCAGGTAATGCCCTTCCTCACCCCCCACACTCTCCCAACGATCCATTTCGTATGAGAGCGACTGACAATGTTGTTTGTAAAGAAGGCTTTTCACGCCGCTGTATTATGATGTGATACTCAAGATTTGTGTTTTTATATATTTTTAGTTTCGCCGACGATCGAGTACATTTGCTGCAACGTTACCGTTTTGGAAAAAGAAAGAAGAAATGTTACAATGTCCTGTAATGCAACAGGAAGACCAGCGGCACAGCTGTCCTGGATAAGAGTTGCAGATGGTAAAACTTTGGTCACTGGGAACACTTTAGTAATCTCAGCTGCTGGTCGGTCGCATCGCGGTGAATACAGATGCGTCGGTGATAATGGAGTGCGAAGTCCTGTTTCTAAGTTGGCATATGTGAACGTGCTTTGTAAGTTCAGAATGTTTTTTGTGGAAGTCACCAAGGCAATAATTGTTAGAGATATATAATCGTGAGTCCAGCTCCACTTCAAATTTACAAAGACCCCGGCATGAAAAGAAAAATTGATGCTATCCACAGCATCATCGCGGAATATTTTTCCTATTTTGCTGTTATCAAGAATGCTGTATCTTTTTCCCATATTTTGTCCATTCTATGTTAGTACGCTACAAGTGCATTGAGATCTATCTGAGATCGAGAATCGTTTTTATCATATTAAGTCCAAATGCTAGCGAGAAGGTGGAAGACTACACAACAATTCGTGTTGTCCGTACTTTACACTTCAGCAAGTTCTTTGAAATTAATTAAGACGATTTCTCGGGAGTCTCGAATTTCATATTCGTCACAAAAACAGCGTCTATTAAAGGAGGTGTGTTGCATGGTTAATATCAAAATCTCAAATGGATGTCTTTCTTTTCCTATAGATAATCCAATAACTACAAGATTAACAACCGATAAATTAAATGCAGTGGTACTAGGAAATGGTCGCATTGCAATGACTTGCATAACTGATGCCAACCCACCGCCAAGTCAATACCAGTTTTATCGTAATGGTGTCTACTTAAGAACTAGTTTTACAGGAGTACATGTTATTCACAAGGCCAGATATTTTGACGCAGGAATCTATCTATGCGTACCACTCAACATGCTTGGCTCTGGTTCAAACGGCTCTGTCAAGGTTTCGGTAGTTGGTAAGTAAGACGCACTCTTGTACCTTAAGTCATCGCAACTCTATGCGACTTGAAGTAAACTAAGCCTCAGCAAAATTTGGCGAAAAAAACACTGGAGAAGGCCTCCAGCAACAAGCACAACATCACACAAGTGATCAACCTGGCGTTTTCAATATAGTCTTCTGATTTGTGCCGAAATATAGAGAAACTAGTCCGAGGCTTGTGCTTTATTTGACTGTCTTTTTCTTTTTTCATAAGTTTTCACTAAAATTAAATGAAATGCAATCTAAATTCCTTCACTTTTTATCTACAGGTGCTTTTTCTATCATGTACTTTCCACAGAACATGACCGTCAACGAAAGTGCAAGTGTGTCATTCTTTTGTAATGCTACTTCATATACCCCATATGACAAACTTGTTCCTCAAATCTCTTGGAGTAAGCTTAGAGACAGCAGTAAAGTGTTCCCACCAGGTCAACAGCTTGTTATAAGGAATGTGAGTCGATACGATGGAGGTACATACATCTGCACAGCAAAGAACGGACTGGGGCTTCCTGATACAAAAGCAGCGGTGCTAAGTGTTCTACGTGAGTAAAAACATTTGACATTATGTGAAAACTAGGATTGTCTTCAGTAACCAACCAATTTGATTGACTTGCAGACCCGGTTGTTATTATATTCTGCAGATAAACCATACGACACCAAGCTTGGGGCATCAGTTCCAGACAATATTGCAGTATTAAACTCATCTGTAATAATAACTTGTAGAGCAAAAGCCAACCCACCGGTCATAACCTATAATATTTACCACAATGGCATCCTGGTGTCCAATGCATCTAGTGGAATTTACAACATCACACACGCTCTGACTGAAGATAATGGATCATATGTCTGTATACCTTACAACGAGTTTGGTGAAGGCGAAAAGGCAGCTTTGAACGTGTCTTTTGTGGGTATGTAATTGTGTAAGACTCTCAGCCATGAATCCTTATTTTTTGCAAAGATTTTTGGTGGTTTTCATTGTGTACTTGATTTAGTTCATCATTGTCATCGTCATCTTTTATTTGCCTTATTTGCACAAAATTTATTTACAGCGGTTATAGCTAGAAGGCGAGGAGACCCAGGAAGCCACCGAGCTTATGGGAGAGCCACCTCACTTACATTAATAAATAGAAAAGAAAAAGTGCTGCGAATTTGCGGCTAGGCCAATTCAGTGATTATTTAAGTAAAAACTCTTGCATCTTCGTCTTAAAACTAGGAAGGTTTGACGAACGAGTGACTGAAACAGGAAGAGAGTTCCAAATTTTAGGACCTTGGTAGAGAATTGTAAATTGCTTGAGATTTGTACGGCACAAATGCGTTAGATAATTACTGGCTGTTCTGGTACCATAGTTGTGAATTTGGCTATTCGTTACAAAAAGATTGAGAAGCAATGGAGGCAATAAGTTATTTCTATAATAAAACGTGAATTTGGCGATTTCAAACGTATTGACTTGGAAAATATTTAAAATTCCTAGTTTGGAGAATAAAGGAGCGGAATGGGCTCGATAGTCTGAGTTGGTGATAGCCCGCACAGCTCGCTTTTGCAAGAAATAAATTCTGTTTAAGTTAGATATGTATGTGGACGACCAGGCGCAGTTACAGTAGACGATGTAAGGATAAATTAAGGTGTAGTACAAAGTGAGTTTGGTTGTAGAGGATAGGAAAAAGCGAGACCTGAATATAATACCTATTGATTTAGCGATTTGTAGATACATAGTTGATATGATGTTTCCAGGTGAGATGATCATCAATATAGACCCCAAGGAATTTAGTTATGTTAGAGTGTTAAACGGTTTTATCTCTAAAGGAGAGAGAAATGCTGGAGTTAAATTTCTTCTGTCTGGGTTTAAAAATTACGTAGTTAGTTTTCTTTATATTAGTTACAACTTGGTTGCGCTCTATTAGCGGAGGAATCTCCCTCTGCAAGATATTTTCAGATTCATAACGTTCTTCAAGAGCAGAAGGTAATGATGATATGACCAATATTACTGGGGACAGTAATCTTCAAGAATGATATTAATTTTGAACAGTCCGATCGACAAAGCTAATACTTAGAAATAGTCCATACACAGAAAGATAACTTGTGTTTGGCTGGTTGTACTTGACAGGACCCTGTGGTGTTAAACGTGTGCATCATACCTGGTCGCCTCAGATTGTGGGTGGAGCTTATTCTAAACCAGGTGAGTGGCCATGGCAGATCCAGCTGGGATACTTTGACAACACCGAAAGCATCCCTCATCTTTGTGGTGGCTCCATCTTGGATCACTATTGGATTGTTACGGCAGCACACTGTGTGAAAAGTGAATTTGGTAAAAAAATCCCCGCCAACTTTAATGTCACTGCTGGTAAGTCATGTTTTGTTGGTGCCGTTTTCATCCATTCGGTAGAACTTAGCCATTGGCCCGCTCCAAAATTGCAATCTCTTGTTATTTTATAATAGAAAGCTTGGTATTTTCATTAAGGCCGAGACACAGTTATGTCGCAGTGTACTTACAGTGATAATATAGCTTCCATTGGTCTAGTATTATTACGTATGTACGGTAATAACGTCAGTTTTGTTGACATGATTAACGAAGACAGTTATGACGACGAAATTTATGACCCAACCATACCTCCTCTGTACGTTTAGTCCGTATAAGAATATAATAAAATATTGCATACAAGATTCTCAAAGGATCGAAGTTTTGTATTAGAATGGGTTTGGGGTGAGTAAGGTACAGGAGGGGATTCTTAACATGCCTTATGCCTTTTGAAAATTTCCATTGAGGAGGTTCTAGTTTACATGCTCATAGGTATGACTGCTGGACTGTTTCCTTTCATCGTCAGGTGAACTCCACAGAGGGGTCAGTGAAGGAAGAGAGCAAACTGTTCCTGTAAAGAAGATAATTTTACACCAAAACTTCGACCAGAAAACCTTACGAAATGATATTGCTTTGATGAAGCTCCAAAGACCAATCTTCTTTGATGCGCATGTGTCACCAATATGCCTTCCAGACTTTGATTTTGACGACGGTACCAAGTGTTACGTCACTGGCTGGGGTCGTTCTGGACCTCTTAGTTCGACGCCAGAAATTCTTCAGGAGACTTCAATTCCTCTTGTAGCTCACAGAGTTTGTCAACTGTATTACAAACAGAAAAGAGTTAACAATGTGACTTCAGACATGCGCTGTGCTGGGACTCTGGGTCAGAGTCGAGGCACATGTAAAGGTGACAGTGGTGGACCGCTGGCCTGTGAGAGAGACGGCCGCTGGTATTTGATGGGTGTTACAAGTTGGGCAAATGAAGGCTGTATGCATAAAGGTGATCCAGGTGTATTTTCAGATGTTTTGTACTTTAGGAGCTGGATTGAAGAAGTCATGAAGAACAATACAAAGACAGCAGAGTAGAGCGGGTTGCATAAGAACGTTGGATTTAAGTTACAGAAATAACACGAGTGGATGAGAGGACAGATAAAAGTTTTGAAGGTTTTAGTCATTTCATATTCAAATGAATGCTATGTTTTCAGAAAATTATCACAGAATTTCAGTTATATTTGGAACTCTCTTGAATATTTTTGAACAAAGCTGTGGTAGCATTTCATATGAGAGTCAGAAAACAGATTCTTTGGTGGTAAAAACTCGAACAATGATTTGCTGTGATGATCCTCGGAACATTTTAATATACAGGAGAACTTGAACTAATTTTTAGCGCCAGCTTTTATTTGGGATGCATGCCTTTTTTACATAGATATATTAAAGCAGCATGTGTTTGTAAATATACTTTTATAAATTTTTCCATGCAATAGTCAGAACGAAATGATCAAAATTAAGGAAAATATATCGTAATAAAAGTTTTTTTAAAGATGTAAATATGAACTGTTTTTACGACACAGTGTGGGATTAATTATCGACTATGTACCTGTATAAGGTGATTTATTTTCTCGATCGATTCTCTCGGCTGCAGAGTTCAGACGGTCAATAAGCCCTAATTCAGATAACCATTTTTCGGTTCAAGTTGAGTGTTAAGAGGTTAGGGTTATTGTTAGAGTTTGAGGCTGGCTTAAGGGTTAGGGTTACGACTCCACAAAAAAAAATGCACGCGTTGGCATACCTTTTTGGTTGTTGTGGTTTGTAATCTATACGTTGGAGATTCAACCGCAGCAACATAAGTTCATACGTTCCAAGAGGCCTGTTGTATCCTTGGTTTAGTATGAGAGGGATACGTTTCTAAAGAAACTGTGGTACTGCGTCAGTAGGGGAGTACAACAAGATAATTTAATTTTATCAACTGAGTTGATAATCTAAATTAGCCACCGTAAAGAGTGTTAATGCTGACGTTTCGAGCGTTAGCCCTTCGTCAGAGAGAAAGGCGAATCGTTCTGACGAAGGGCTAACGCCCGAAACAGTTTTTATGCTCTTTACGTCGGCTCATTTACATTATCAACTCAGTTGATAAAACTAAATGATCTAAAGATCCATACATGCTTCTAGGCAGGCATAACGTTTGGTGTCTTGTTGTCACGTGATTATTTTGCTTTCATGCCGATTGGAAGTTGTATCATGTCGTTTTACTGCTATGAGTTTTTGCTTAAAATAGAATGATGTAGTTATCTTCCAGACCAACGTCGGCTTTTTATCATCCTATATCCAAGCGAGCACATGGTGAATGACTGCCTATGCATAGCCTTGTTAAACAAAAGCCAAGGAAATAAGCTCCATCTAAGACGAATGATGCAAAAAAACTCTTCGGTAAAATAGGTAACAGGTTCTCAGATAAGGTGAAGCCAAGTAACTCTTTAAACAGTTAATACGTCTAACAGGTTTGGGCTTTTCCGACCTTTATGGGAGCAGGGAATTATTCAAAGCAGTAGAAGGCGTAATGCGCTCCTTTTTATCCAAAAACGTATTTACCGTTATATTCCAAAGGTAAGTTTTTTCCTTTACATACGTTCCCCAAAAAATTAGGAAAAAGTTTAGAGCGATCACTTTTTCAGTTTTGCCTGATACACTTTTGTTGTCAGACTGTTGTTGGGTTGCGTCTTTTCTGTTTCTTTGATCTGTTTCAGTAAGATATTTGGATAACAGAGAATCACGGAAGGCAATCAATATCCTCCAAAATGGTTCGGTCGCCTGGTTCTGATCGTTGAAATTCCTTAATCAAAAAGAATAACATTTAAAGAAGGTTCTTTCCGGGGTTTTAGGTACATCGCTATATTAGATCTCAGTAATATTGAATCTGCTAGATATCTATCAGAGAGCTGGGAGAAACCACAACTTCTCTCGGGGAAAAAGTAAAAGGAACTTGTCTCATGACAGTCAAGGAACATCAAGTTTTAAACACTTAACTTTAATTATTCATTTTCTTTCTTTAAGCCGGTAAACCCTTACAAGTACAGGGTTATCCAATACTCTCATTTGCATTAGAACAAAGTGGAAATAAATTGTTTAAATAAATAAATAAATATATCGAGATTTTCTATTTACACTTTAATGTTAGGCCTATGGATCCTGACCATCCCCTGGAAACGACGGATGGTACACTTTCATTAATAGATGAAAACTAACAAAACTATTTTATCAAAATACTATGATTGTTTCATCTATATTGTTTCATTATAGAATTATAAAAATACAGGTAGCTATATGAAAATTTTCGTTCATTTGCAGTTGTATCTGTGTAAAACAAAAGAAAAAACTGCGTCGCCCAAACGCCAAGCGTTGAAAAGTAACTATTTTCGTCTTCCTTTATACCATGTAATAACACCCATAGAATGACACAATTTTATCAAAGACACATCTGTTAGTGGTTACGTTCCATCTATGTTTTTCTGTTCAACGCCCTCTCATGGGCACTCTTGAAGAACGAGCAGTAAACTCAGGGAGCGGTGCATGGGGTGATTTTGAAACATGGCAACATGGCTTATTTGAGATGCACTTAGTTAGATTTTGTAGCTGTTTAGGTGCGCTAATGAACAGGAACCTCAGAAAAACAATGGAGAGGAGAGACCTGGCTGTTGTGACTCTTAATTTATAAGTAAAACTGCGAAAACAACTTCAAAAAGTCATGACACAAATAAGCCTGGAAAAGGTCGTGAGGTGCCCCTACAAAGCGTCATGTTTAATCAGTGACACCTTTCTTAAAAAAGTCGTAAACTGCTCGCACTCGATTAATTTTTTTAGCACTTAACCCTCTGTAGAAGAACAAAATCTATTGCGTCCTAAACAGCTGTCTTGGTATTGTTTCTCATGACTTCTTCAATCCAAGGTCTGAAATGAAGAGTATCGGAAAATACTCCTGGGTCACCGTTGTGCATACAGCCTTCGTTTGTCCAACTTGTAACACCCATTAAATACCAGCGGCCGTCTCTTTCACAGGCTAGCGGCCCACCACTGTCTCCTCGACACGTGCCTCGACTCTGACCCAGAGTTCCTGCGCAGCGCATGTCCGGTGTCACATTTTGTATACCAACGTAATGGTTTTTGCAGACCGTGTGGTTCATCAGTGGTACAGTGGTTTCTTGAAGAATGTCTGATGGAGAACCCAAAGGTCCCAGATATCCCCACCCAGTGACATAACAAGAGGTACCGACATCAAAATCAAAATCTGGAAGGCAGATCGGTGACACGTGATGACCAAACAGAATGGGTTGTTGCATTTTTATCAGAGCGATGTCGTTTTGTAGGTCAATATCGTCAAAGTTCTCGTGTAAAAATATCTTTTCTACTGGAATGTTCTGTTCACTTCCTTCATTGATACCCCTGTGAAGTTCTCCTGAAGATTTAAAAACATCCCGTGAGTGAAAGAACATTAAATACAATTTGAAATATTCAAACTAAACCAGAGGGAGCATTCGCAGCACCTCTTGAGTAATCTAAGTGACTTGAATGCTTACCAACAGTGACATTAAAATTGGCTGGGGGTTTTTCTTGAAGCTCACGTTTCAGACAGTGAGCTGCAGTGACAATCCAGTAATGATCCAAGATGGAACCACCGCAAAGATGAGGGATGCTTTCGGTGTTATCAGAGTATCCTAGCTGTACCTGCCACGGCCATTCCCCTAGTTTAGCGTAAGCTCCAGCCACAATCTGAGGCGACCAGGTATGATGTACTCGTTTAGCACCACACGGTCCTGTTTTACAAAAGAGACGAAATGAAACAACATCGAAAAAGCCGTTTATAGACTGAGGAAACTTTCCGATATTTAGCCACTAACCTAGTGGTGCGATAAGTTTCCTTTAGAGCAAAAGTATCCATTATGCAATTCTTCATTTTATTTTTTAAATCTACTTTTTCTCATGATAGATTGGCTTAAAAATCTGTCAGCTACTGCTAGATGTTAAAAAGTAAAAAAATTACACACCTGTAAAGGTCACGTTTAAAGTTGCCCTTTCGCCTTCACCAAACTCGTTGTAAGGTATACAGACGTAAGATCCATTATGTTCAGCCAGGGCGTGTGTGATGTTGAGAACGCCGCTGGAAGTATTGGACACAAGGATGCTATCGTGGTAAATTTTATACGAAGTAACCGGTGGGTTGGCTTTGGCAGTGCAATTCAAGATCAGTGATGAGTTGATTATTGCCACATTATCTGGAATTGATGCCTCCAGTCTGGTGTTGTATGGTTTATCTGTAAAAAAGAGAAAAAAATTCAACCGCAGTGAGTACGACTCAAACATGTGATAACATTATTATTGACACCGCCTACTCTAAGGCTGTATTCATTGGTATTCATGTTGAGTAGTATGGTACAGTGAAACCCTGTTATAAAGAGGCTTGTGATAGTGAGGTCCCACGTTCCAGTTGCACTTTATTTAAAGAGGATAGGATCCCATAGAGCTCCAAACTATGTTAACTTAGATCGAGATCGTAGCCTGAGCTAGAGAACTAACTGAATATAAATTGATGTATCCCATATCAAAATAACAGGTTTGTACTTACACAACACATTCAAAACAGCTCCTGCAGTATCAGGAAGCCCAAGTCCATTCTTAGCTGTGCAGATGTACGTTCCTCCGTCGTATCGACTCACATTTTTTATAACAAGCTGTTCGCCTGATTGATATACTTTATTGTTGTCTCCGAGCTTACTCCATGAGATCATGGTATGGAGATGGTCATATGGAGCATATGAAGTGGCATTACAGAAAAAAGACACACTTGTGCTTTCGTTGGCGGTTATATTTCGTGGAGAATAAATAATGGAGAACGCACCTGAAGAAAAAAAAATAATTAAATCGGATTATATCTTTCTTTAAGAATAATCAAGTCTCATGGAGCTCAATCCTGTTTTCAGTTTTCTCGCATTGCCATGAGACCGGAAGGCCCTGGAGACATCTTGAATGGAAAGTGATTCTTATTCATTTGACGATTACTCACCGATGACAAAAACCTGGATAGTGCCGTTGAAACCGGAGCCAAGAGTGTTAAGTGGTACACATAAGTAGGTTCCCGCATCAAAATATCTGGCCTTCTGAATGACATATACTCCACTGAGACTCGTTCTGAGGTAGATACCATCGCGATAAAACTGATACTGACTAGGAGGGGGATTGGCATCAGTTATGCACGTCAATGCAATGCGACCATTTCCAACGACTACTCCATTTAGTCTGTCGGTGGTTAGTCTTGTCGATGAAGGATGATCTTGAAAAGAAGGTAAAATTTTAGAACAACAGGAGAGGCATTTATTTTATTTGATGTAAAATGCTCTCAAAAAGTAGACTGTTTTTAAGTCTATTGTCTGAACATCACGAAGGAAATCATTGCGCTGAGTCTCGGGGCTCCAGAGCATGGAGCCACTTTCAATACACCTTTCATTCTTAGCTGTTATGCAAGCCATTCGCCAGCACTGGATGGAAAGTCTTTAAAATAATATGTAAATACTTATTGATAATCCTCGGATAAAAAGGAGGACTGCAACGGGAGGGAGGTGTCCTGGAAAAGACACATGGACACACAATCCATAGACCTCTGAGAAGAACCAAAAGCCAAGTATTTAAACGTTTACTGGTTGAAATCAGCGGCGATAAATTTGAGATCAGTGCATTTTGGTCACTCAGTTCTGTCCCTGTTAACGACTTTTATATAGGATTCTGCAAACTTGTATGGCAGTAATCCCAGAATCATTATACGTGTGATAAAAAATATTACATTCTACAATTTCAAGATTCCAGAATATTCTTAACTTACAAAGCACGTTCAAATATGCCGATTTAGAGACGGGACTTCGCACTCCGTTATCAGCAACGCATCTGTATTCACCCCGATGTGATCTGTCAGCAGATAAGATTACTAGAGTATTTCCGGATGCCACTATTTTTCCATCTCTTTCTCTTATCCAGGACAGCCGTGGAACTGGTTTCCCTGTGGCATTACAGTACAGGGTGACATTTTTTCTTTCCTTTTCCATGACAGTAACGTTTTGTGGACTGTGGATAATACTCGCTGCAACTACAAAAGTAGTTAAACCTTAGGATGATGTTAGTTTCACTCATATACCTTCAAAAACCAATGATGCCTCTGATATAGGTTTGTTTGTCACATTAATATGGCTCACTTATTATTAAACTTACAGTTGTCCACCGCCACCATTGCAACAGCTGAAACAATCTCGCCACGCACGCTCACAGCTGTACATTGGTAGCTCCCAAAGTCTGATATCTCAGCCTTTGTTATCCTCAGAGTTTGTCCTGTATAATTTACTTTGCTTGTGTTGTCAAGTTTCCTCCATGTTATTGCTGGCGTTGGATTTCCCGTCGCATTGCAGAAGATTTCAAAAGTGTTTGTTTCATTTACAAGTTGATAGGCTGGACGAATGGTCGTGATATTTGGAGATTCTGTAAGAAAACACACGCATAATTGTGTTTTCAAGTTATACTTCATATGTAATTAATGAGAGCAAAGAAAAACGTGTTTATAAATGTCATTCTTCTCGATGTGCTTGATATCATCTATTTAAAGTAAAAATTCATAATGAGGGTTTTACATTACTTAGAGTACTCACCATACAGAGTAAGTGTAATATTCGCCTTCTCCACACCAGCAACATTAGAGCAGCTGCACAGGTAGCGTCCTTGATCCATAGGAGTGAAGTTCTGAATAACATATACACTTTCATTGGTGTTAAACGAGTTATCTTCGCGGTAAATTCGACAGACTGGAGTAGGATAACCATAAGAAGAGCACTTCATGGCAACAGCTTCACCACGGGCGACCGCATTGAAAGAGAAGTTGGCTGTAATCGCAGTGTCCCTGGGATAACCTGCAAAGCGTTCATCATTAGTTTTCAAACGTAAAGGTAAAGGTAAAGAACACTATCGGTAGAGAAACCTCTTAGCATTAAAGGTTAACTGATCTGGTCAGAGATTCTCTCCATAATCTGACTCATTATGCCCATTAGTTCTAAAGGGTACCAAACCTTGTAAATCATGTAAAACCGATAAAAGTTCATTGGAAGGAATGAAAATAATTTAATAACAGACCTCCTTAGCCTGTATAATTTGTTTACCCATTTCAGGTCATGTAATAAAGGAATGATTTAAAAAAGAAAGAGCTGGGAGTTCCCTTTAGACCTAAAATGGTTAAACATGGAGAAGTCGGTATACCGGCATAAAGGCTTCAGCACCACAATATATATATATATATATAAAAAGCAAGAAGCGCTCTTGGAACTGTTCGTGGGGTCAAGAGCTTAGCTACTAACCTTCAACTTTAAGCTCCATTGTTCTTGATTCAGAAGCCAAATGATTGCTTACTGAACACTCATAAAATCCATCATCTGCCTGGGAGATGTTTAGTAAAGTGATATTACCAGTCACCTGACTCTCAAAGAGAACTTTACCATTTTTCCTCCATACAATGGTAGGTTGAGGACGACCAATCACGGTGCAAACTAATGTAACGTTGCTGCCGAGGTCGGCTGTTTGATTTGTTGAAAACGATAAGATTCTTGGTGGAACTGAAAGTAAAGGAAAATAGTTTATGCTGTTAATTTCAAACATCGGGGCCATAGCACATCTGTGGGAGTACCATAATGGCTCAAGCGTGTGGCTATAACACTGATCATACGTGCGAAAACTATGGATACGAAATTAATGCACTCTCAAAATACACGCACATCTATCTACTTGATGGAAAGACGTCAATTGATAATACAAAGACCTCGATCTTATAATCATACCAAATAACCATGATACCGCATTTGTTCGTGATGTCAAAAATGTCATGAATAACCAAAGTCCAAATACTATGGGTGTAACTGAACATGAGAAAAAGAAAGATTTGCAAAACTAACAAAAAAAAGTAAGAAAAAAATTGAGGAACCGCAGGTTTCTTTTAGAAAATCTTTTTAATCGCACTACTTCGTCTCGTGTGATCAAGTTATAACGCTGTATAAGCTGTTCAGTCACAATTATACACGCAGAGGTCATTACCTAAAGTTTCAGACGTCTTTTCGCACTCTGTATTTTCCTGGAACTCGACATCGTCGATAGCGATATCACTGCGTGGAGTGCTGCCGACGACACCTTCAAATATCACCTGCCAAAAAAAAAAATTGTTGAAGACATCAAAAATCTAATAATCACATGCGAATGTTTCAAAAACATAAAATGATACTAATCGACCGGGTGAGGGTAGTCCTGAAAAGGACTGTTGTCGGTAAAAATGACTGACACTGTAACAACCAAGAGCGGACGTCGTTCGGTTTGGTTTGCTTGCTATGTGAATGTCGCCAACAGCCAGAGGTAATTTTTATGGTGCTGTTAGTTGTTGTTCACATTTTTTGAGGGGAGTCTTCCATAGCCACACCGTAGGTTAAGCAGTGCGAAGACTCCAAGTCAATAATGTGGTTGGCAAGTCGATGATGTTCAGCAACGTGATTTTTAATTTCACATTTTCTCGTCGTTCCTTTGTGTTCAGCCAGTCTTCTGTTTTGTTACCGATCAGTTCAATTACCTACTGTTATAGGAGATCGGTATTCTCAGCAGATCCTGTAAACTGCTCCTCGTCTATTGCTCGGTCCGTCCTTGTCTCTGACGTTAGTTTTTAATGGCGTAATGTGGTAATCGGTCTGATTGCGACACGGTTATCGTGGGAATGTGGAATCCGCGAGATGGTTTCAAACATGAAACTTCACGATCAAATGTTACTCGCAGGTTCAAACCATTAACTGCCTGGTCTGCATACCTGTTTATAGTGCCTTCATAACAAACAAGGGATCCATATCACCTTGCTTTGAATTTTCCGACAAGATTTGTCCAGATGTGCGACGTTGGATTAACATTTACATTATTCGTCACCAGCGCTAGTAATTGACTAAACTCTCTTACCAAAACCCAATTAAATAGACCATGATATCAGCTAAATATAGGGAATCGTTTTAAGTCTTTCAATTTCAAAAGAAGAGTTTCACTAACGATATATTTCTTGCTTGTTTAAATTTTGTGGATCACTGAAAAAGTAAAACTATCTTACCCTATAAGTGTCGTTAAAATAAAGAGGCAATGTCGCTTTGTGCCAGTCGTTTCCCTGGTTGCCTGAAAGCTCCCACAAAACTTGATCTCCAACCTTTACTCTGAGTGTGTGAATAGACTGCCCATACATATGATAATAGAACACCATACACGTCGTGTTGCCATTGCTGGCTATGCGTGGAGACTCTATCGTCGAAACGTCACCGAAGGTTTGTCCAGAAGCTTCTACGTACATGTAAAATCCTGTAATAAAAGCGTTTAGGGTATTGATTTTGCTTCCTTCCAAATTAGGTAATGGAGTAGTTTATATGGCTAAAATAGATTTTGCCTTCTCTTTAAACATTTACTTTATAGTAGCGACTTTTTTATTCTAAAAATATTTTAAAAATGGTTTAGCATTTTTTGGAAAATTCTGTGAAAAGTTAATTAAAAAAGGACTGCTGGGAAAGAATTGCGATTCTTAGCATAAACCATTGCATGAGAAGTGATAATACCAAATGCTCTCACCAAATCCAGAGGTGTGATCTTGAGAGGGTCCTGTGTTGCCAGTTACAGTTGGACCAAATTTTCTTGTCCATGCGAGACCCCGGTTGTCTTCTGAAGTTTCCCAGCCACAATACCAGATGTCAAAATTACAGCTTGCATCTAAAAGAAGACATTTCGTTACCAACAAACATTGATTTTATGAGTTAAACGAAAATGTAGAACAACCTCTTATGTAAATTGAGTGAACTAGCTTATTCTTATGCCAAACGGATATATTGGGACGTCACACCACACCCTTTAGAAATGGAAAGAACATATTTTATATTTTATCCTCTAGACTTGAATAAAATTTCTTGGGATAGGGGATAGCACTAGAAGTTAACTAACGATTTCCCTCTCAGCTCCGACGCGTAGCGAACGTTCCTTTTTTTAACAGCTTGTCATGAATACAGTTGTCAACGAGTGAAAGTTGCCTATTCGTTATTCTATTCGTTTACATGCTATAGTCGCACCTAAGAAGATACTGTAGTGATTACCAACATGACAACCTTACCCTTTGCATTCACAGTGTAATCATAAGCACATTCTACCCCCACATCTTTCGTGTGATCACAGTTACTGTTTCCCCAACCAGCATGTGGACAAGCTGCGAGCGTGCTCTCATTTCCCGTGCAGTTGACGTCATCTAGCCATATTGGCCCATCAATGGCACTCCCAAAAATTGTACTGTTGAAGAAGTCAAAAGCTTCCGGGTAGCCCAGCATTCGACACACCACGTGGGCATCATTCATATCCCAATGATCTTGACATATCGTACCCCACTGGCCATTGTAGTAAAGTGAAACACGACCTTCATTTGGATACTTTCCATCCAACAGCTCAAGCTCTATCACTGATGATGAGTAATAATAAACCATTGCTTGTGAAAGTGTTGTTGCCTTAGCCTACTTAAAGCTGTGTCTTTCATCGTCCAAACTTCAGGAAATTGGCTTTTTTATAATAAGAAGTTTGAATAATCAAATGACACTTGCTAATATCTAGGAAAATTGTTAAATTCCTGAAGAGATTTAGAGAGAATTATCGTACAGCTCTGCGTGCAGCTGCTTCACACTATTCAATGTAAATAAGTGGGGTTGCATGAAGAAATAAGCCTGCTCAAGATTATTCTGTATGTAACAATATTAGAAGATAACAATGCACCTTATGCCACAGCATTTTCCAAACTGTAGAATGTGTGTTAATTTTACTGCAGATGCCATTTATGCGTTCCAGTGGCAAACGCAGTTAACGCAATTGTTTTCCTCGTTCCTTCTATGAAAAGTGACGTTCCCTTTAAATATAAAGCCTACAGTATACGCACGACACATACACATGCACATGCCAAACCCTTGTTTATACCTGGATATTTCTCTTTACACACAACACCTGCATCATGATCATGGCTGCAGTTATGCGAACCCCATCCTCTGAATGAACACGAAGCCACCGAAGACTCTTTCCCACTGCACCATAAATCATCGAGTAAAATTTTCTGGCTGGTATTTCCGGCGCCAAATCTTCCTTTCACTTCAGCAGATACAGCCCCAGGAAAACCCACCATTCGACAAATGACGTCTGCATCTTGAATATCAAAAAGGTCGCGACACACGGTTCCCCATTCACCGTTGTAGTTGACCTCCACACGACCTTCTCTTTCACTTAACCCATTTACTAATCGAGCATAAACAGCTGTAGTGATAAAATTTTAAAAAATGTTACTAAAAGGGTAAAGATTCTTCCGCGCGAAAAATTATTACATGTAGCCAGGGAAAACTGCGGTTCTTAGCGTTGAATCTTTGTGAAGAGGAAAACACAACACAAAGTACCCGTAAGTTTAACCTCTTAACGCGGGTCGTGGTCACCCTTCCTATGATCCCAAAGGATTGCTTTTATTTTTCAACTTATATATAACGACCGTTAAGCGGAAGAAAATATCAGAACTACATGACCATTTAAAGAAAAAGATAAATTCTTCATAAATCCATTCCAACGTAGCGGAAGAAAAGGCGTGAAAATTCAAAGAATTCCTAAAATAAAATTTTATTTTCCGCGAGTGACCATGTAATTGAGGTTTCACCGCACAACAGATGGCAAAGCATCGACATATATTAGACAAAGCATACATACTAGGCAGTCCAACTGGTTTGTTAGTATCATTTACTACTGTGGAATCTGGAAATCCGTTTGGCCGCAGTGAATCACCGCAAATTACTCCCGCGTCTTCCTCATGATCACAGTTATGAACCAACCAACCATTGTGACCACATTCAATAAGGGAACTTTCATTTCCAAGGCAATTAACATTGTCGAGCCAGATGGGTCCTGTTCCGTAAAATTCACTTGCGTTCTGTTCTTTCATAAGCACGCCAAACGAGAGAGCTTGCCAAGCATCCTTAAGGCCAAGCATTCGACAAACTACAGTGGCGTCATTGATATTCCAATCGTCATCGCAGACCGTGCCCCAGATTCCATTGTGATAGATCTCTACCCGGCCATACACATCATCTCCATCTCTCAATCGCACAATTGGTGCTATTAAATCAAAATAAAGCAGAGTAGTTCAGTCATTTCATTTAATTTTTTTTTTGTTTTAATTTTTGTTTTAATTTTATTTGTCTAAAATACCCTCTACAATATTTCTGTACTGACACTACACCGCAAAAAGCATTAGCTAATCTAGGCGGGTAGTGTTCAGGTACTTAATTATACTAAATACAGAATTTTATTAATTACAAAATCATACTAATTATAAAAATTAATGAAGAGAAAGATAGATAAATTGGAAAAAAAAGTATTAGTAAAGAATGTCACTATAAAATGAATTATCTATTAAAAGTCTGAATGAAAATAATGCTCATGCAACAAACCACGATGCTAACAGACAGTTATCACGAGGGGAACTAATTAAACTTCCAAGTACATACAATACAAAGGATACTTTAGACGTCAGTGTTTTGACCTACTTTTTCTTGAGTCTGCTTCTAATTTCTCACAAGGCACCCATATTCATATTTTGAAACTCATTGATTCAGTTGAAGAATTAAATTTCAATAAAACTGTGAAGTGTATTCAGTTGCAAACTGCGCATTAAGGAATTACCTTTTATTTTCTCCTTGCAAACTACACCAGCATCTTCACTGTGATTACAATTACTTGATCCCCATCTTCTGAATGAACAGGTAGCTAATGAGGTCTCCTGTCCAGTGCACCATAAGTCATCAAGCAAAATCTTCTGAGTGGAATTACCTGGACCGAATCTTCCTCCTACCTCTGCAGAGACTGCTCCAGGGAAGCCCATCATTCTACATACGACTTCCGCATCTCGAATGTCAAAATCATGGTTGCACACAGTTCCCCATTCTCCATTGTAGAAAACCTCGACCCTACCTTCCCGATCACTTGATCCATTGACTAATTGAACTTGAACAGCTTAGTTGAGGAAAAAAATAAACTCAATATTATGAGAAATTGGAAATGTATGATAAAAGGATGAAAAACAAGCGGGAAAGACTTTGCTCCTGGATGCTACTTTGGTCTCACGATTTTTTTTCTATGGTGGTAGCACACGACGTTCTCAAATAGTCTTCAATTGTAACACAAAGTGATATTTCTAGTTTTGTTGTGACCGTCCACATGCGACAAAGAAAGAAAATCTGAGCACACTACGAGGAATCGAGCCTCTGACTATCGCTGTTACACACGAGAGCTAGCCTACACATTGAACATCTAAAGAACGCAAAAATTCTATGAAATAAATGTTATGTCTAAGGACGAACAAATAGAATAGTTCCTTATGTTTTTCAGTGACATGTAAGCACATTCATGATACTTACACGGTGGTCTAACAGGCTTGTTTATGTCAGGGACCACTATTGATTCGGGAATATCTGCCCCCCTTGTTTTATTACCACACCAAACTCCAGCATCTTCCAAGTGATCGCAATTGTGAACCAACCAACCACTATGGCCACACTCGTTTAGAGAACTCTCGTTTCCGAAACAATTAACATCATCGAGCCAAATGGGTCCTGTACCATAAAGATCTAGTTCGTCCGTGGTAATTTCCACAGCAAATGAGATGGCAGTCCAAGCGTATTTGAAGCCAAGCATTCGACAAACTACAGCAGTATCGTTGATATCCCAACTATCATCGCACACTGTACCCCAAGTACCATTATGATAGATCTCCACTCGCCCGAAATCAGGAGAGCCACCATCTCTCAAACGCACCATCGGAGCTGTTTAATTGAATGAAAATAGCGCTCTATCTGATTCAAATCTACGTACATGTTTTTTTTAAATAGGAAATTCTTTTATAGAAATATAAGAGCATTTTTCTCCTCTCTTTTAAATAACTAGTGTGTAATACTCAACAATGAAAAGGAGTCTAGTCGAATCAGACATAGCACAACTCAAATGTAAGCATGTTGAGGGAAAACTAAAAGGGATGTTCAGTCAAAAAGATTCTGCTAAGGAAAGAGAACAATGATGATGCTGACATACCAGGCGGAAAAGTTGGAGTGGCTGAGCTCTGCATCACGGTCAGTGAAGGTGAACTTGGCGATATCACTGTGGGAACAACTATTGTAAAAGAGCTTCCTGGTGACATTGTCACTTGAGTTGCAGTGGAAGTAGTTGGTGTCGACAAGGCTCCAGCACTCGACAAATGCAATGATGAAGATTTCTGCCCTTTCAACAAAACAGCGCTAGAAGAAATTGATGATGAAATTGGTTGTGCGGTTGTTTTCACAATTAAGTGTGAAGCTGACTGTTCTGCTGTGGAGGGAGTCTTTTGTGACTGCCGTGGTTTCACACTGGAAATTCGTAAGGGTTTCTTTGTGGGTTTTTCTGTTGCTGGACTGTGACATATAACTTCAGCATCTTGGGTATGATCGCACTCATTGACACCCCATCCACTATGGCTGCATTCAGATAACGTGTCTTCTTGACCCGTACACGACAGATCACTTAACCAAATCGGATCACGGCCCCCTGAATTCTTAGAGCAACAGCCAGCTGTCCAAGCCCCAGGGAATCCCAACATTCGACAAACAACTGACGCGTCTGGCATATCCCAGCCATTCTTACATACAGTTCCCCAACGTCCATTTCGGTATATTTCTACTCTACCCCTGTTAGAAGACGTTCCACCAACAAGACGAACTTTTAAGGGAATACCTGAAACGAAAGAGAGATGGTCAACATGAGTGTAGTTATTTCTGTTAACCCATTTTTTAGAGTATCAAACCAACCAAACATTCCATGCTAATGGTTCACGAAGAAGTATGAAAGTCACAAGTTGTAAGAATGGATTTGGTAGCCAAACGAACACTAATAAAACAACGACATCGTATCAGAGCTAAGGACGGCAACTAGAGACAAACTAGCAAAGAAACAAACCGAAATGTTCCAAAATATTTATTTTGCAAGAGTTAATAATATATAAAAAAAAAAAAAACAAAGGTAAAAAGAAAGGTAAAGCAGGATATTTTTTCATCAAGTATAAGCTTAATGGATAGAGTGATAGGGAATTTTCTCGGGCCTTTCCTTTTATAGGGGGTGTCATTAGACATACATTTACCTTTCATTTCCACCTGAATGATACTCTTGGGTGCTGCAAAGGAGCTGAGAAATGTGCAGCGAAAGCGTGTGGCATCGGTGTCTGTGACATTTTTCAATGTGAATGCCACATCCTTACCAGGAACCATATCAAAAGTGTCCTCATTTCCAACTTTTTGGTGAAAATCACTAGCATACCCTTTAACAGCCATAATCTGCCATTCGTCGCTGTAAAGAAACTTTTCACGCTCCACAATAATTAAAGAAAAGCGATCTGCATTCGGTCTTTCCTCTTTTGTGAGGGATATTGTCCATTCCAGTGTGGCGGTTGATCCTTTGCGAACATTACTGGGTGGTGTGATGCCCCATTCAAGAGAATCTACAGGTTTGAAAAGACGGAGAGAGTCAAAAGGAAAATCAGAAGCTAATCCACGCTTATGAAATTTTGCCACAAACCATGGACGTCAATTGAGGCCGTGAACGTTACACATAGACATCCATGTAACAGAGACGTACTTATCTTGTGTCTCTGTCGACAGACGTTAATTCTGGTAAAGAGGTGGAAGACAACGAAATGAGATTGCTAGTGCACGCTGCGTTACAATGTTAATTTGGGGAGCACACACTCAGATAACCAAGCGCGAGTTGTGAGGATGCGGGAATACGAAGCGATTCATTTCACTTTACTCGCATGACTTCTCGTTGATGGGCATCTGAGCCCACGTAACTAAGTTTCTGATCCTTAGGATATTATTTCACTCTTTTGTCAAAAGTGAGCAAAAAAAAAAGTCCGTTCTCAGGTCAGAACCGAATAATTGGGTAAACAAAATATCTTTCATTCGAAAAAGATCTCTCTGACGTGCTCAACAGCTCAATGTTAATTAATCTTTAAAACCAACTGCTGTTAGGCAGGGAAGGAAACCAGATTCGTGGAGAGTAGCGGAAATCGAGGTTAAATCTTGTGTCCTCTTTCTAGTGTTATCCTGTTGCCTGGATGTAAAGTTCAGCAATATAGTAACAGTGACAAATTTTCAGAATTGATGGCCATCATTCCCTCTCATCAATATATTAAGCTGCAGTTGCAATATCAAAATCTTTGTTAACGTTTTAGCATTTTGACCGTTATAATGAAGTTCAGAGAGGATTTCATCCTGCACGACAGTGCAAGGCATTTGCTTTACAAATCCGTGTTACCGGCGCAAAGCTGTCTTAAAAAAAATAATTTGTAAGCAGGATGTAAATCGTGATAAAAATACGTAACAAACAAATTAAGTCACGTAGAATTAAGTATTATACCGCGAACATTAATTTTCGCATATCAACGCACGACTTTGTGCGAGAGTTATCAATAAGTTTCTTGACACTTTATAGAGCAGCCCGTAAATTTACAAATGAAAGGAAAGAATCCCAGGTTTTGCGTCGTCGTTGTGAGTTTGAATACTAAAACAAATGATTTGCATGAACTGGCAACTTGAACCGGTCAGCAAAAAAAATTATGAAAGTTTGTTTTCGGTGTTCATGTCATGTTATCGTTGCATGGAATAATGTTGTCAAATTTGCACTTGAAATATTTCCCTGTAGTCGCGTATTTGTCAGCTAAATAAACATCTCTAAGTCTGCATGTATTCCAGTTAAGCATTATTAACAGGTATGCAAATTATCTCAAAGGTCTCTTCGACGATAATAATCCCTAAATATATGAAATAGTTTATCGTAGTTTACAACGAGTGGCGGCATCATTCGCGAAAAAATCGGCGCTAGTATTTCTAAGTTTATTCAGAACTGAAATAGTCGTTGCTCAGCACCGTTCAAAGTTATGTAGTGGATGGTTTGGAGACGATTGTGAAAAGCACGTAAACATTTGCATACGGCATCGAAAACTTACTTGTTAATGAACTCGGTGAATACAGGAACAAAACCAACAGGATATATACAACCATCGTCACTCTCGAAGAGATCGATTAAGATATAAAATCGAACTTGAGTGATAGAGATTGACATAGACAGTTGAACCTTACTTAATTCGAAATATGTCCGTTTGTGATATAAATGAGACACTGACGTACTTATTAAGATATGAAAACACACAGGAATGTGCACACCTCTCAACAATAAACAATAGATATGCTAAATCAGTCGCTAATGATCTATTTTCGTCACACCAGTTTGTTTCCGGTTGATGTCGTAATCCGTTACAGATCCTTCTAGAGTAGGCGAAAACATGGCCAAGTGTCAGTTAACCATTTTGTAAAGTATGGTTTATTCTGTAAAGTTCGAAAGAAAAAAAAAAAGAAATCATCGGCGGGGAAGATGTCCTAGAGTTTAACTGGCTATCACGCGCCCGTAAACTACACAGGTTTTCGCAGAAAGGACGGCTTTTAAGCCGGTTGAAGAAGTAGAACGCGAGTTATTATGAATAACACGTTAGCTTTGAGTCCGCAATGACGTTACTGGCTTGAGGAAATGGGACTTGGTTTTTAGCTCGATAGGTGATCAGTGTGACTGTATGTACTTTTTTTTCCTCGAAAACTACTGCTTTTGCTTTCTTTGTTTTTTCTCACCAAATATTGAGTAATATATAATGAAAACGATTTGGGGAAGAAGGTAATTTTTTTTAAAATGTCGGTTCGATACTACCTGTCAGTCGAAAGTAGTACGAATAATTTCTCCTAGGTTCACACTCTGAAGGAAATATCCAAAACTCTAGGAATACGTTATTGCTTGAATGTGTAATTACTGATACATTAAACCTGTAAACAAATCCTAACGCTGCGTCGTAGTCGTTGGTTCAATATCTAAAATTGACATACAGTACTTTGTAAAAACATTACATTAATTTTTGGGTTTAATTTGCAATTAACCTCTTATAGTTGCTGACGCAAAAGTGTGGTCTCTTGAAAACGTATCGAAGTCACATAAGAATCGAGTTTCATCATTAGGTTTGACGTAAATATAAGGCCGCAACAAGCTTACTCACACATTCTAAATTCTAGAGAGCTAGCAAGGAAGGTTACTGTAGGTAAATTCGAAAAACCTTTTCATAGCTTTGAGTGTTTCTCTGTAGGTCGGGGTTGTTTACTTTTCGTGTAAGTTGAGGTTTTCAGGAGAAATTCTTAAGATATTTGGTTCGAACTTCCTCATCGAATTTTTCGGTTTCTCTATTGAAATTTAGACAAAACTTGCACTGCGCGGTAAGTTGGCCCTATTGCTGTAACATCAATATTTTCGCTTTTCTCCGTCACCCGTAAACGAGACAATTTCTTACACCATCTCGGAGAATTAAGTAATGAAAACAGTGGACAATACTTTCCCTTTTCCTGAATTACTCACCCTTTGTAAACGAGACATTTTCGTTTTGCAACGTGACGATCTCGGATTAAAAATCTTTCGCATACGCAAGATAATGGCGAGCGATACCAATTTCCTTTACCACTGGTGTACGCATTCGCTTGAATCCTAAGCCTAAGCTTCCCCTAATTTCATAAACGTCTCGTGATTCATACGGAAATTCTCTTTTCATTCCTCTTCAGCAACTCTACCAGTAACAAAGTTTTCCCACCATCCATTGCAAAATCCTGGCCAATCAAAATAATCTTGCAGGAGAAGAGGTTTATTGCTGAAAATTACACTATTTACCCTCGTACATCGGTTTGTCTTCGCACGACCGAACAGCCTAGAAAAAGGCCTTGATGACACATCTCATAACCCTTGAAACCTATCCGATAAGTAATAATTCCCTTTCAAGATCGACGTGGCGCAGCTTCGGTCCATTAAAAAAACTAACCCAGAATCAGCATGAAAAATTATTTGCCAAAAGCTATCAAGCAAGCTGGGTCCTTCCACAATTTTTTCTTTGTTGCTATTATCGAAATCAAAATTACAACTTTTATAATTTTCATTTTAACTTTCTTTTACGTATATAACTGTATGCGAATTTTATAGGTCGCTTATTGCACCATAAATAATTTTAGAAACACGTCAGTAGCTTTATGTTGAATGAGTACTTTCCACGATAGAATTGTTAGTCTTAACAACAGGGCCCCTCTTGATTTCAGTTTCGTAGTTGAATGGGCTACTCTGAATAAATAAAGTTTATCTTTCTATCTATGAATCTCATTTGATTTGAGGCGTTATTCTGTTTAAAGCAATTGCGTAAGCTCTGAAAGAAGGATCCATCCTTTATGAGGATTTCACTTTGTCCACATGCCAAATAGTACATGAAATCATGATGCGGTCATTTCATCAAGAAAAATTCCACTAATGTGCCAAATGCCATTTCCAATAGGAGCAAGCCAAAGGGACACCTTCTACCGTTATTTCGCCGTCCACCTCCTATGGTGACAGCCAGGTTACAAAGACAGGTACCCAAAGAATTTAAAAAAGGCACTTTATGAAAAGCAGCCTATTTGTGAGTTTATTCGAACGGCAAAACTCTTTGAAAAATCTCTTTTCGAAACGGAAATGTTCCGAAATAAGGGAATGTCAACGTTTGGTTCACCGCAGACTTTTTGACATTATTAGCGCCTGAATTAAAATGTCAAACATTGATCAGAGTCAGAAAAATCATATTAAAACTAAAGGAAGTAGTATCAAGTAACAGTCTGTCTATGACCTTTGCGGATGGAAAGCAAAACGACATCAGAACGAACTCAGTAATTATTTCATTTTGGACGGCGTATAAAGGAAGCCGCTCAGATGGCTGTCGCCAAACCTGTCGGGTTTTGCATGTTGCAGAATTTGTACTGCTGTGTCTCTCTTTGGTTGAGTTTGACAACGCTGTTTCCTTCAGGATCAGGTGTGTGCTTCAGTACCAGAGGCGCCATGGACTTTGGAATCTTCGCCGACAAATTTTGAAAGGCTACTAACAGGAACTTTTTCCTTTTTCAGCGATCTACTGGAACAAAACACCTCCTGCAAACGTTAAAGGAATACTTGGCGAAAACGTTACACTTGGGTGGAATTTTACCATTTCATCCGCCGAAACTTTGGACAATTTTGTTTTACTTCGATCCAGTGATGATATGATTAGATATGATCACAGCAAGGGTGAAGTGACAATATTCGAAAACTTCAAAGGTAGAGTGGCCATGTCGGTCGATGGATCCCCGAAATTTGTCCTATTCAATCTACAAGGAAAGGACGACAAAGCCAAGTTCTGCTTGAAGGTCTACACAAAGATCAAATCAACCGGTCACGCGCAAAGTTATTGGCCTACCCCCAAATGTGCTAAAATTGAATTACTGGGTAAGGTTAGTTTGTGCCCTCTCCTGTGAAACGAATTGCACACGTAAATTCACTAACTAATTGTTTTCCTTCCTTGAACTGTCTTAATAATGTAGTAAAATGGAATTTACCACTTCCTTAGATCGAAAGTAGAAGTAGCGCACACAAAACATCTTTTCTTTTCCATGTATGGACGAAAGGTCAAGTTTGATTATTTGCTCCTCTATATCATATCAGTTATATCGAGTCAGGAAGGCCTATTCTGTTTCGCAAATACGCAGAAGAAAGGCATGGATGACATTTAAAGCAGTGTAGCAAACATTCCGATAGTGCATTATGGGTATCTGATGAATACAACGTTCTTTAACCTGTGAAATGAAAAACAGTTTCGGTATGCTGACCAATGATTCAACAAAAATGAAGCCAAGCACCGCTGTTTTGAAAGATCGGCTAATTAACGAAAAAAAAAATTAGCAGGAGTAGATAAAAAGGCATATCTCGGGGATGCCTAAACGTCCTATTTCTTGAATTAATATTTCAGATTTCGAAGTCCACATCAATTGTCATCATAAGCCAAACAACACAAATGATGATTATAGAATCTACTGCATGACATTGCGGTAAAAGTGTACCCTTTATTCCCTGCATATTAAGCGATGTAGTGGGTCAGAATACATTGTCAGTCCGGTAGCAACCGGTATTCGGTATCCTATCACTATACGTTTGTTTGTTTATTTCAGGTTTTTTTCTCAACGTTATTTGCAAAATAGTTAGTTCCAGAGCAATTGCTGCACATGTGTCAGGGTTAATGAAATGGAGCTCAAAACTTACCTCTATTTTTTAAAAGTCTGCTAAACAATCATATTTTCTGCTTTCCTTTTTCATTTATTTATTTTTTCTTTCGCAGAACGTCCCGGAATCGTTGACATCCCAAAAAACCACACCGTGACATTTATTGAGGGAAAAAACGTGACAATCAACTGCAGCGCAACTGGCATACCAACTCCTAATGTTACGTGGACAAAATCAGGCAATGAAACTAAAAACTTTCCACCATCATCTCCCCTAAAATTGGAAAATGTAAGCAGAGAAGAGGACGGCTTATATTGGTGCGTAGCAGAAAATGGACTTGGTAAAGTCACTGCTTCTGTCAGGGTCATTGTTCAATGTAAGTAATCTTGGAAAGAGTAGGAAATTGGACCATTTCCCTTCACATTTTATAAGAAATGTACAATGACTGATATATCGTATCCATATTACATAGCGTGGTTACGACTCTCTAAGATCCACTTTTAAGTAATCAGAGGAAACTTTTAGACGTCTTGCAAACGAAGGAAACAGCGAGAAAGAACTTCACGTAGTTATAGTAATTAGCACGCAAATTGCCCATGTTTCTAATCACAAACATCCAACCACCAAACGTTATCGACTTTGAAGGTCTGAAGAAGGAAATATAGGTTGAAGCGCTTGAATATGATGTTAAGTTTGTTTTCGATGAGAATTCTTGATAGCTATTCTTAATTTATGGCACCGTCGGAAGTTATTACTTTTCACTTTTTTGGTTAACGGTTAACGGTTAAATGGTTAACGTTAAAGTTTTCCATCCCGGTAATTAACATTGCGCAAAAAATTTGCCAGATACTCTAAGAGAATATTAATCAAAAAGGTTAATTTAAGCACCGGAAATTCGTTAACATAAATATCAGTTCCATATAAACAACAACAAAAAAAAACGTGTATTCAGGTGGTCGCATTGGGATGCCAGAAAAGAACATCGATCATTACTATACTTACCCGTTTGCACAATGGGATTAGATGAGCCAGTCCTCCTCGTGCGATGTGCTACTTTTCAGTTTATATAAAGTTAAGATTATATTTCTGTGCACTAAACAAACGTTTTCATTTAGTTACCTTTACTGAATCTTGCCTCTGTTTACACTTATGTTGAATCAAGTATGCATATGTTGCTGATCAGTGCACATGAACTATGTAGGTGTGCTAAAAAAGCAGAGTCCCAGTATATTCAGACCTTCTTAAACAAGGACGATAATGTTGCAATTTGACAACAACTAGTTCGACTATCATTTGATTGTATATTCAATGACACCATTGTCTAAGAAACTGATAACATCATGCTTTGTTAAGTAAGGAATACACAATTAATTGTGAGTTCTGCTTGTCGGTGACTGAAACTAAAAGAACCACTTATGCAATATGCTGAATTAAACTACTAGGTATAACTGCCTTCTCTCCGTAGACGCCCCAAGTATTAGCATAGGACCTATCAGTCAAACAGTGAATGAGTCTGATGACTTGGAGCTTTTCTGTAATGCCACTGGGCGTCCAACTCCTCAAATCACGTGGTACAGGGTAACGGACCCTTCAGTGCAACTCCCAAATGGTACAGCCCTCAAAGTGAAGAATATAAACAGAACTGATTCCGGAGTTTACCAGTGCAGGGCTAGTAATGGAATTGGAACTGATGTGTGCGCTTCAGCCAATGTCACAGTCAACTGTGAGTAGAAAATTATCAATAAATATGAGACTGAAATGAATCTGAAATATATTTAAAGTTGTTTTCCCTCGCCAGCTCCTCCTGAATTCTAATGGTTGCAGTATTTGGTCCTTGTCTCTATAAATCCTCTTTAAACATAATTTATCGAGCCCTAAATGTGGCTGTTAAGAAAAGCGATCAGTTTACTTTCCCTCACATGGACACATTATTAGCCTTATTACCTTCGGCAAGTATAAAACAAATACACGGGGATATGTCAACGGGGATATGATCGGTGTACCACAACAATGCAGGTGTACTAAAAAGACAGAGTCTAGTTACAGTATTGTCCCTAGCAGTAACAAAATCGTTGCAATATGTTAATATCTAGTTCCACCATCACTTGATTATACTTCCGATGATACCACTGTCAACGAAACTGATAACGTCACGCTGTTTTGCAATGCCACTGGATATCCTCATCCACGCATAACGTGGACATTTTTGAGAGGATCAGAATCAACAATTGTTGGACGTGAAGAATCTCTTCCCTTGTCCAACGTTAGCAGAACTCAAGCAGGAACGTATCAGTGTATGGCATCCAATGATTGGACTAGTTCAAAGGCAGCCAATGTACAAGTGACAGTAAACTGTAAGTACAGAAGTCAGAGTTGATCCACAATTATTCATCTCAATTAATCGTGAGTTCTACTTGTCCGGTCGGACTAGTTCTAAAGAGGACTACTGCTAACTGTTCAAATTCCTGCTTTGATAATGAAAAATACGTTCTTTTTCATACTGGCACGTTAAAAATTTCTAAAAGTTGATCAAACGGCTAAAGAGTTCAAGTTTCCAGTTGGCAGATAAAAATCATATTCAGTTAGTTCATTAGGATGCCAGAAAAGAACATCGATCATTACTATGCTTACTTGTTTGTCCAATGAGATTGGATGAGCCAGTCCTCGTCATATGATATTTCATTTCTCAATTTAGATTAAGTTGGGATTGCATTTCTTCCGCACTAAATATATATTCATTTAGTTACCTCCACTGAACCTCGCCTCTGTCCACATTAATGTTCAATCGAGCATGCATATGCTTCTGACCAGTGTACATCAACTATACAGGTGCCCCATAAAAGTAGTCTCGAGGCATTCAGACCTTCTCTAACAAGGACGATATAGTTGAAATTTGTCAATATTCAGTTCCACCATCCTTTTAGTACATATCTGATGACACCATTGCCAACAAAATGGATGACATCATGCTTTGTAAGTAGGGACAACACAGTTGTTCTGCTTGTTGGTGACTATAACTAACGTTGCCATACACTAAAAAAAAGAACCACCCATGCAATACGCTGAACAAAAGTATTAGGTAGTTTTGCCTTTTCTCCGTAGACGCCCCAAGTATTGACATGAGACCTAATCTAAGTCAGTTTTTCTTTTTCACAGCTTCGCCTTAACGTCAAATGGATAAAGATTCTGTTTCTTATCTCGATCATCTTATCTTTTGCAACATAATTTCGAGAGCCCTGATGGCTCCTTTAAGGAAAGGCGATCTCTTTTTAATCTTTCTTATACATTCAATTGTTATTAACCTTGCGGGAGGTCTGTATGGGAGAGTCTTAAAAGAGGTTGGTAGCACGCATCGATCACAGAAGGGTCTTTACCAGCGACCAAGGTCAAGATTTTGCCACACGAACTGACCAACCCTGGTTAATAAAAAAAAATGAAAAAGGAAAGAACATGAGAAAATTTATTTGCTCCCTTCACTAAGCTCAAGAATTTATCTGGCTTACTTCTGACACTAACCCTTCAGCCCAAATAGGATAAGAACAACCGTTCAAATTCCACCTTCGGACAATTTTCGTTAAGTAATAAAGAAAAACACTTCCTCTTTTCATACTGGCTCATTGAAAAATTCTCAAAGGTGACCAATGTAGGAAGGATTTCAAAATACTTCATGTGCTGTTAATTACCGTTAGAAGAACTTGTGGTCTCTTAATTCCTATCCTTGGATGTTCACTATAAAAATATGAGTGCTGCGGACGAAACAAATTGTACAATAGAGATGTAGTTTAACGGGAACAAGTGGTACAATGTAAAAACTTAATTACCTCTTATTTATTACGTTCTTATTAAGCTTATCAAGGGGGAATATGATTTTTCCCTTGCTCAGCTAACGTCCCTGTTGGTTTTGCTATAGAAAATACAAATATTTGCCTTACCAAGTATTATCTTCAATTGTTGAAACCACCTTATCGTTCTACAGACCCTAACAGGAATCTTTTGATACTCGTCAATTTCAGATAAACCATTTGCGACCCGCCTCACATCAAATGCTACGAGAAACACAGCAATTAGTGGCCTACCGGTAACCTTTTTCTGTAATTCAGACAGTGTACCGCCTCCAGCGCTCGAGTTACGTTTCAAGAACAAATCATTAGGTCTTTTTAGTGGTAGAATGTTCACCATTGAACACGTCAATGCTTCAGACGAAGGAATGTACCAATGTGTGCCGAATAACATTTTGGGAACCGGCCCAATTGCGACTCTGTACCTAACCGTAGCAGGTGAGAACAGAAAATGAAGACTTTGAGTTAGGATGTGTTAACAAGCTAAACTACTTTATTTCATGAATAAGGTTTTATCATTATTAAGGACAAAAAAAAAATATAAAATATAGTTTATTTTTCTTTTTAGACTATGATGACAGATAGTGACCAATAATTTACTTTTTCGAGTGACATAGTCTTAAAATTTTTCCCACGCCGAAAGTGGATGAACAGAAGCAAGACTCCATCATACGATTAATTACTTTACCGGGATAAAATTTTTATCCTTTGACATAAATTTTTCTTTGATCGTTTCAATTTTGCTTGATTGTTGGCGACTTTGATTATGAAACGAGTATTTTTCAATCACTGACTTCAGTTGTTCCTTGTTAGCTACATTTACATCTTTTGACATCAGGAATTACACTTTTATAACAGTGCTCTATCGCTCTTAATGGCAATGTTGTCGCGTTTTTTTCAACATTTAGTTCCACCATCATTTGAGTATATATCCAATGACACCACAGTGAAGGAAAATGATGACATTGTGTTGTTCTGCAATTCCACCGGACACCCTCCTCCACGTACGCATAACGTGGACGATTTTAAGCGGATCAAAAGCAAGAATTGTTGGACATGAAGAATATCTTAACCTTGTTCAATGTCAGCAGAACCCAAGCAGGAACGTATCAGTGTACAGCATCCAATAATGTGACGCGTTCTAAGACAACCAAAGTACAAGTCACGATAAACTGTAAGAACAGAATTATTGATCCACTGTCATTTATCTTGATATTTTGACAAGCCTGATAGTTCGGGTGTGAGACGTCCTGAGAAGGACTTGACAGTGACGGAGACTGATTTTGATTTTAATGTCTGTTTCGGGATTCTGGAAACGCGACTCCTTGTCACCGCCAACAGTCCTTTGCAAAACTACTCTCGTTCAGACAACATGATCGATTGCTACTCTTAGGTTGTGAACAGAAAAGTACTGATTTACTTCAGTCATAACTAACTTTACACGGTTTTCTTATAAAAGGGGAGGTCTCCTTCTTTAAAAACAGCTGAAATGGCCACAAAAATAAATTTCGGAATGCATTACAATTATATTCAACCCTACATTTCAACTTAAAGATTTTAGAACTAGTCTGAATTAGTGATAGATGAACTAGTGGACATGTGTCTTTGTTAGCAAAATTGATTTACAAAAGCTCTCTATTTGAATGAATCCAACAACGGCTGCTTTCAGATTTAACATAGCCTTTTTATGGGGGTGAGGAGATATGGGTTTCTCAATGCTACTTCTCTTGATTTGTCTTTGTGCTTGACCGGCAAACCGTAGATAAACCGGAGATCAAAGACACGGTCCAATCGACAATTTATACCTGGATTAACCGAGAAACCAAATTGACGTGTGCGGTGGATGGTGTACCTCGCCCAAATATCACCTTCACTCGAGCTGGAAGTATACTGCATTCTACGCCGTCTGAAAATGGCGCCAGTCAACTTATAATTAAACCTGAGGGTGCCACTGACTTTGGTGACTATACGTGCACAGCAAAAAATCACCTTGGTTCTGTAAAAAAGATCATTAAAATAAAGCAAATAGGTAAGAAACGTTACGAATGAAGCCATCTTTAAAGAAGTCTTCTAAAGTGACGATTTTGTTGTATGTAACTTACCGTACAAAAGAAATCTTAGAGAGAGAGAGCTGGGTTGCATTCATCATGTTCCCCTTGACTGGGAAATAAATGGAAGCCTTATGGTGGGTGAAAAAAGGTTTATGCCATTTAATTTTTCCGAAAAAATCCGCCAAAATGGCAAGGAAGAGCAAAATTTAGGGAAACTTTCTTATTCATTGCCAAATGGTTTTCTTCGATTTCAAGATAAGCGTTTACTTTCGGTGCTAATAACTTGCACACTGTATAGTTGCGCCTGCAGCACCAGAGGGACTGGAGATTGAAACAGGACTTCACACCATGGAAATTCATTGGCAGTCGTTAGAATCCACTCCTGATAGCCCTGTTGAAGATTATCTGGTAATTGTGGAGATGAAAGGTGAATCCGAAAGTCGGAAAACCTGCATTCGAGTCCATACGGGTAAGCGGCATCTTACGTGTGCTATAAACGATCTTGAGAGTGGGACGGTGTATAGCGTTAAGGTTGCAGCCCGTAACAAGGTGGGCTACAGCGAGTTCGCAGAAAAAGAAGTCCAGACAGAGTCAGAAGCCAAACCCATAACCAACACAGGTAGGTTGCTATGAGAAGAGAAAATAATTTAATTATCATTATACCGTGTAATGCAAAACATGTTTCTTCACTTGTTTTTGACCGAAAGCGAACGTGTATTTGTTATGTTTGCAGCAGTTGCTATAATTATGTTGCAGCCCAATCTGTGTGATCTGAATTTAGGAGAGAACTCTGTCAAAAGGCCCAGCTTTCAATCACTTAACATTCAAGACCTCCTTAAGTATATGTCAACTTAGCATATCAAGTTAATTGTAAAGTAACGAGATTATTTTAGATGAGGAGAAACACATCTTTTTTGGTGGAAAATATCACATATATTTCTTATTCTAGAACACTGAAATCTAGAGTGCTCAACTGAACTCCAAGTTAAACTTCATAACACTGCTTTATCGGTGTTAATTATGAATCTGAGACCGTCATTAAATGAACCTCAGAACAAAGAAAAGTTCATAGCTTTTCTCTCAATATCGTCGTTATCTTATTAACGGTGTTATTCATAGCAGACTCTGTTGTAGGAAACTTAATTTAGCATTTCCTTGACCCTTTGTTATATGCAATTATTTCACGATGGTAAGCAAACAAACTCTCTATTTCAGTAAAGAAAGAATTCCAGGAGCAACATCAGCAGGAACACTTGTCAAATACAGTCATTGATGGCATTATTGCAGGAGTTCTTATTTTCTGCAGTCTGGTAGTGGTAATTTTTGCAGTTCTCAAACACAGGCGACCCTGTCATCCAGGTTAGTTGTCTCGAAGCTTTTCTTGACGAAGATGAAAAAAATTGTGTAAGGAAATTATCCTCTAAGGAATTTACCTCACGTCGATGGTCGGATCTTCGGCCAATGTCTCTGAGAATACTTTTCCGTGGAGCCTGCTCCAAATATACCCCAACAGATAGTCAGATCTAAACAGAGTATATCATCTTAGGGAAGTAACCAGTACTCAGCGCAACAGAGGGAATGAATTTCGTTATGATGTGTAAATCTTTCTAATAGTTAAAAGGAGATGCGAGTTTCTTTTAATGAAACGCAGAGCATGAACCTAAATGGAGTGTCTAATAAATGTTGAAAGTTCATTAAAAGAGTACTAAGTCAGGAGAACCGAACTGAAGACTGAAACTGAAACTTGCCCAGTCAACATAATTCTAAGATAAAGGTGTAATGTTGTATAGTTTTAAAATAGTTACATTTACTTTTCTTTCAACTTCTCAGTATGCAAGAAGGAAAGCCAGGATTTAAGGTACAACCACATTAGCCTCTTATTGTAATTATCCATACCAGTGGGTAGTCATAAATGTATTACATCAACGTGCCATGAAGAAAAAGCTGGCTTTTCATTCTAAACAGCCTCTATTTGGCGTAAAAAAACTTGCACGGATGTTTGTCCGCAGTCATTATCCCTTTCGAGAAGCTGACAGTTTTCCTCGAGCGATAAATTCGCGCTAAAGGAGGCTGTTGTTGATGTAACCTCCATTTTGCTTGAATTAATCTCTTTTGTTTGTTCATCTGCCAACTGTTCTTCAAAGTTCACAATATCTTTTAGAGCAAAGCTCAGAGGAAACAGTATAAGCTGAAAGTTTTCCCTGAGCTTTGTTCTCATACGACTGTTCACTTATCAGAACAAATCGTGTCCGCAGAAAAATCTTTGCACCTATTTCCGCATCAGGTAAAGCCCAGTGTCCGTGTAATTTACAATTGATCCGGTTGTCAGAGTGGGTCTTCTCTATGTCATTAGCGTAAGATGACCTAGGATCTGAAAATTAATGTTCATATCCACGCTATAGATGCCCGTATGTTTTGCAACGTATTCAAACTTTCATACCGATCCATCCTAAGAGTCATAAGATTAAATTGCGAATTCTAAGGTTTACGTCGTGTCGCTAAGACTGACTACAGCTTTACGAATAGACTGATATGATTATTTACTTTATTACAAGCTCTGAGGAGTGCAACGAGGGGCATGATAATCCAGTATGCAGTTCCGAAAATCCGGTAGCAGATGAGATGGAGGTAAGTTACCAGAGCTAACTTGTATTGTTTTAAGCTAGATGGTTTGCTTCTCAGCTCCGATCTGGTAACTTGTGACGTGCATCTAATTAAAAGCATTCCGTTGGGACTAATAAAACACATTCTGTATCCGGAAATTGGGCTAATAAAACACATGTCCTGCTATTTACTAAGCAGCAATGCTCTACAAACAGAATATAAACCACGTGTTGGGCCTTGCTCACCATAGAGTCTCTATGGCTTAGTGGTAGAGCATCAAAGCGCGGAATCCGAAGTTCTGTGGTTCGATTCCTCGTGGAGACTTAGAATTTTTCTTTGGCCGACGTTCGCGACAAGACGAAAAACATCTTTCTCTAGAACATTTATTATTGCAAATTGGGCTAAATATAAACGTTAGCTTTGTTTGCTTGAAATGCGAAATAGTCTACTGAGAAATGTATAGTGTTCCTGTCTTACGTGGTTTGTGTTTGTTTTTTCTTTCTTTTTGGCAGGAACGAGTGTGAAGTTCATAGCCTGCATCAGCCCTCTCATTGAAGGGTGCACCATCGTCTCGATAAATAAGGAAACAGTTATTATTTGCCGCCTGGGAAGGGGAGGGGTTGAAGATTTTGATTGTGTCCCGATAAAATTGACCTGATCCCCGCCTCCCCGAAGGCTCTGTCTCTTATGATTACCCTCCCCCTCATTGGCAGTTGATTGGCAGTAAATGTTCTACAGTCCTCCTTAAACTCTGTTGGCGACCCTTCCCCTTCAAAACTATGTGACCCCCCCCCCAAAAAAAAAAAAACCTTCCACCCAGCCCTCCCTCAGGTGATAAATAATGACTTGTCCTTAAAGAAAGATTGTAAAAAATGCGTATAGCTGCCCCCCCCCCCACCATGCGTTTAACACGATGTTTGTACATTACTTGTAGTTCCTTCCTGTAAGAACCGAACGTTAACTACATGTTTTTGTATAGTTATTTAATAGCTGGCATTGCCATAGAGATTAGGATACCGTCATCATTTGAGGTGTCAAGACTAACGTAGTTACAGCTTGTGTATATTAGTTAACACTAGATACCTGGTTTGTTGCCAGAAAGGAACAAAAAAAAAGAAACGCTGAAACGTCTTCCTTTTTTTGCATTATGTTCTGACGTATGAGGCTATGCTGAGAAACATGTTTTTTAAAAATAAGTGGATAAATACACAACTGGAACTCTAAAAGTTTTACAGGAGTTAGAGTAGAAGATAAATATTGAAGTGTGCCTGATTTCTGGTGTGTGCATTCTAGGTTTCACCGTGTTACATGCTTAAAAGTGCATCATCTTGTTGGTTTACTCGTTTAATTAACCTTTGTCGAGTTTTCTTGTAATCTTGCTTGCAGTGCAAATTACTTGGATAACATCTATAAAACTGCTTTCTTTATGCTTATTTTGTATTGCTTAGAGGTGTTGATTATGAAGGATTCTTTCATCGAATTTCTATCTCTCTCCACCGCTTATGATTCGATTCTCTGTCAAATTATCCCTTGACCATTCATATGTTGTTCAGTAAAAGCGTGTTTGGTCCTCCAATCTGAACCTCAAAATAAGTATGACATTTACAGCATGCATTCTTCCCGGGAGCTGACCAGGAGATTATCACTATATTCCAAGGTGAATTCCTTGCGGCAATCGACTCTCAAACCAAGCAAGTTGGCAGTCCTAAGGTGATAAGGGCTTTGTAATACAGAAAGGTCACAGCAATGGTAAAGCAAAGCAACGCTTCAATTTCTTTTATAAGTACTTCCTTACCTACGCTTCCTTATTCAGTAAATACGCGCACCATAAATTTTGACTCCCGAACAACATTAAACAAAATAAATCAGTCGTATTAACCCTACCATGAACTCCCGTGAGTGACGAGAATGAATTTCTCTTGACAATATCAATATAATATCAAGTAAACCGGTATAAACCGGTATAACTTTACAAGAATATACCACGATTTTGTCTCCACTACACAACAAATAACACAGTAGTGTAAACCAAATAAGTTTATTCAGGGAAGCCTGCCGAGAACCAACCCGAGGCATATGTTGCCTGAGGCATACATACATGCATACATTTGCAACTGATATACCATATACAATATTGATATACAATCAATTCCTGACACATTCAAAAATAGGTATACATCGCTAACATGTTAACTTCACCAAGTCAGGATTAACAGAGATGGGCAACCACTTACAAGGACACTACTTCGGTTATGCGGAGGCCACAAAAAAACCTCTTTGAGGAAAAAAATATGACAGGAAATCTGGGTAGGAACTATGGCCCAAATTCAGAGCATTTAGTAGCCCATCCTACGAGGCTTCATAGTTAAATACAATAAGTTTTTAAACAAAAATAAATTTGGCGTCAGCCAAAGGTGCAAGGTTGGTTCTGAAGCCTAGGTGGACATCACGTGCCATACTCTACCCATCGTTACCCATGATTCTCGGGCCTAACTTAGTCCCAGGCCTTGTCGTATATCGTGCCGACAAAATATTTATTTCTGCCTTATTCGCAGACTCAATCGTCAGAAATACCATTTTCTTGAGCTTGGACGATTTGGACCATAAGCCAAGCTCTAAGTAAAAGTCAAAACACAACCTAGTCAACTTATTTCGCAATCCGTTATTTACTTAAGAAGGGATACATCCAACCAATACAATAAAAACAATCGAAGACTCTCATCCGATAGTTGTAACACGCGATAATATTCCATGTCATGCTATTTTTAAACCATAAACTAGTGTTAAAGAGAAAATCACAGAAGTATCCTACATGGTGTTTTTATCTATTAAATTAAGAGGAAATACTATAGAAGGTCACTGATTTGAACTTGTTTTTACTCAAATTTCCGCTCGCTCAAACGCAAATTCTTTTTCTTTGAAGCACGTTTTACAGCCACTCTTTACCAGGTAACCTAAACTCCGATCCAGAGCGTCTCGCAATTTATTTTTCTTTAAAATTAGAGTTATGCAGCTAAAAAAAAGTGGAAACGCTTATTTGACGAGTCCGGAATGTTATGAAAATGATTGCATTACTTAAGTTTTAGTATTGAAATTAACCGTGAAATTGAAAATTCTATATTTCATTGTGTTTCTTGTACTTTTTTAGAGGGAAAATGGTAGTTCGGTTATGTCTCTAAGTAAGAACTGTAAGACACATAGATGGAAAGAAACTGCCTGTCTTAAGCAATTGTTAAAGAAAGCAGGCTGCCAGTTTTCTTTATGTCGAATTTTGCTTCAGCTCGTTGCTCAAAAAGTTCCACTAGGAGCCAATTTACACCATTTACTTACATAACAAACAAAGATATTTTCGTCATTTACAACGAACACGCTGATCAAATACACCTGACCGATAGAGGCCATACACTACATGTACCTTTATAAAATTGCCCTTAAAATACAATTGTGGGGTAATTGAAAGCGTCACTCCTAAGAAGGTCAAGCCACAGGTTTGGATTGAATCAATCATCAAAAGAAGCACAGTTCCATCGGGGTGACTCATCTGAGCGGGACAGGTTACTCTCAGGGAACAGACGAATAGTTTTTTTAATAATTCTAAGAAGGACGGGTTACGACACCGAATTCAATTTTGAAACAACAACTGATTTCTTCAAGCAAGTAACCAAGCGGGATGATACTTATGACTTGGATTCAAATCTTAACATACTTAAATCTCGCTATTCTTCTTCCTGACGGAGGTAAGTATAAATCTGTGACTTCCCTACACAACGCTCTTTCATTCTATTCAGATTTCATGTTCTATATTTTTCTCAGCCATTTAAATTTTCGATTTATCGTCAACATAAGCAAACGTATTTACTTAACTGAATAAATATTTTGTACGAGTACCGCTGACTTTTTTGTCTTAGCAGGGGAAATAAAGGTGGGTCGCGAGTCACCACAATAGCAGTATAAATGTTACATATCGGGGTGTTCTTAGTCAGTGAGATGTGATTAGAGCCACCAGGGGCTCAAAACTGGCCTTCGCTTGCGATTGGCTACCTCAAAGCACGAAGTGTCTTTTCTTATGTCTATTTTTTTATTATTCGTGACTAACAATGGGAAATATCATGTTTGTTATTTTCTTGTCTTGTAGCGTGTTTCACATGGATACAAGAGCCAGAGAAACCAACTCAAGCTCATCTGGGTTCAAGAACTGTCCTCCGATGGAGCTTTGAGTCTGTTGGTGACACCTTTTTGTTTCTCTTGATATCTAAAAACAATTCCTTGTATGGTGAACCAAAACAGCGGGAAATTGTAACAAAACTGGCAAACGGAACCATATACATTTATGATGAGTTCAAAGATCGCGCTGAGTTACTAAACCAGACTACACTTGTTCTAACTGGAATACGAAATGATGACGATGGAAACTACTGCTGTCAAGCTTTCTTCTTACAAGGAATGTACACAAGCTGCGTGGATTTACTTGTGCTAGGTATGGTGACTCAGTGAAATGATTTTTGTTCTACCAATTTATCTTGGACTGATCCTAAGTGAAGCAAGATACAGTGCGAAACACACAAATAGAGCTTCCGGGATCAGTTCAGGGTCGCCCGTCTTGCTTCAGCAGACATTAAACCTAGAAGTCAGTCATTACAAGATATCATAAAAGGTCATGCCAGTTTACAATCTCTTGGTCAGTACTCTACCCACAAAATGTCCCCCTATCTCACAAATTGTGGCGCATCATGATTTCCGAAATAGAGATATTTGAGTTTCCTTAACTCTGACCTATTTTCGATCTGTAGAAAACTTCAATCTTTCTAAAGTGTGCCTTTTAGCCTAGTTATAGCGAGTTTCTTTCTTGTAGTCATTAAGATTTCTTTATCCGATTCCTACACCATTGTAATTTCCTCCTGCAATGCAGCTGTCCTTTACTTTCTTTTATTTTCAAACATCAATACAACTTAATAAGAGTGTTTTCGATGATTATGAATCTTAATTGGTCATGCCAGACAAGTACGTCGAGTCTACTTCTGAAGAAGGTTGGATGCTGGTAACGTTAAGTTGCAGAAAGAGGCTGCAAAAAAATCGTGTCTGCCCCGATTCCCAAAGCTGCGTCCGCAGTGGATAAGCCATTCTCCCTTTTAGACTTGAAAAGCTTAAGGAGCGAGAAAAGTGTCTCTAAATCATGTTCAGACAGAGACCACCTCAAGGCATTCACCTGATTTGTATGGTTGGATATATATCCGCAAAAATAGAATGCCTCAAGGCTCTTGGGCCTAATTATATTATTAAAAAATTGAATGGAGGCAACCATTCAGTTTTGAAACATTACTTCCGACCCTTAGACATTAAAAGCGGCGTTAAAAGAAAGGCTTTATCTTCACTTCCCCCTCATCGATATTCTCCACCTCCTTGCCAATAAATCAGCCTTTTGGGTCCTCAACCGAAAACGTGTACCTACACACAAGATCGGGAAAGAGACTGTTCTTCCATTAGCAAAACCCGTCCTTTGCCGGAGGCAAGTGCATCGGTAAGCTTACGTGGGAGAAAGTAGAGGTGACAGCTTTAGGGCTATGTTACAAGGATTTTGAAAACCTGATATATTTCTAAACATCAACTCAAAGAGCTGGGAAGAAGAAGCAGCAAGAAGCGATCGACGTCGAGGGAAGAGAATATGCCGAGCGGACTGAATAGGAGAGAACCAAACAGAAGGAAATCAACTGTAGCAACAGCCTCACAACCCGCGATCATCTTACTCTGCAGGGACTGTCGTTCATGCCTTGGTCTTATCAAACTAAAGTCGACGATGTTTCAGCCACTTTGGCGCATCAATTATGATCCACGCCGACCGAAGGAGGACTTCAGTACCATACAAAATTAAGGGAGCAAAATTGAGCGCACTAGCAATACCTTGTTTGGGTTTGAATCAATTTGTTATTTGCAATATTTAATGGCGATCCTTTCTGGAAATATTTTTCTTCACATTTCTTACCGATATTTTCAGTGAACCTTCATTTGCATCAATGTCTAAATCTCTTAAACCACTTCCTAACTTTCTTCATTACATCACAAGCTCCTTTCGGTTCAGTGGCCAGTTATTATGGATGTAAACAGCATATAAATGTTTAGAATCACAACTTATGTCTTCCCTTTACAAATAACTGAGACTTTAAAATCTAAATTAAGTTTATGATTGAAAACCAACCACTACTTTAACATTTGCATATTTAGTGGCTTTGTCCTCTTCATAAGAACAACGCTGAATTACAGCAATTTGAAAAATAAGATAAATAACTACTACTTGCCAACTTGAACAGATGATGTCACTCGATATCATTCTACACTCTCAACAATTATGGCCACGAGTTCTGCCTTTACCATGTCTCAAGTTTAGGAATGAATTCATTTTTATAATAGCTATTTTGGTTTGGTGATGATGCTCCCTTGCTGATAAGATGGAATCGTGTTCATAATTAGTCCATATTCAAGAGAATATGTTTAAACGTCGTCGCCGTTCTTATTTTGTTCATGAAATCTTTGTCGATCCATAATGGTAAAATAATCATGGTGACCACAACATGTACACCAGAGACAGATGAAGATTCCTGTTATACAGATCAGAAGCGAAATTACAGATAATAACGAGTGGAATTCGTTATAATGATCACCTCTAAGTCTCTTCTCTGCGCCAGCTTCTGCGTCACACAGCGATAGCAGATTGCTACAAAGCACCACAAAGAAAATGTCACCCACAATACGTCTTCGCTTCTTCCTGATATGGCTCTCTGAGTGTTTTGTTTCTGGGTTTGTGTGAAAATTCGTAAATTTTTCAATCACTTTCCACGACTTAGACTGGTAAGGAAACATCAGTGATGGCATCTTTGAAAGTTCTAGTGCTGAATCATTTTCCAGTGTGTCACGAAGTCGAGATACAGTGAGAAGGCCTTAATTTCAATTACAAGGAAAAATCGATCAATTTGTCGTATGTAAAGTTGGTCACCCACACATAAAAAAGTTCATTTGACCGAGTGTCAAATACATTGATCGGAACGTGACATCGCTTAAAAGGAACTTTTGGCAACTGCTGTCTTATCAAGACCTTTGTTTTAACAGAAAACGAGATCTAATAACGTGTCTGACAGTTTACATTTTGTTCTGGATGCCTGGCAGGTGAGTTTCGCATCTAATCTCCTGAATTCAGCCACCAGCCACGTTTGCTGTATATTACATATCTATATTGAAAATACTTCTTCTAATTTCTTTGACTGAGGGGCCCAGCTGTGACGTTGTTCGTCTGTCATTGTCAAACATTGACTATAAATATTTTATGTTTGATAACTTAGAGCGAGTCGATTTTCTTCTTCATAACACGGAACATAAATAAAGAGGATATTATTCCAAATGGAATCCATCTGAACGATCTTATTTCTTTTGCTAATCTGCTTCTACGAATTCTTTATGATATAAAAGAGGTTTACCAAACGCAGAAATCGACAGAAATCATTAACTTTTGAATTGGTGACTTTTTCGCCTCCAGCAATGCTTTATCTGTAATAGCTATTGGACTAAACACTAAACACACAAAATTATGCAGAAAAACGTTTTGGTGTAAACAATTTCCAATTTATTCTAATATCATTATTATTCATACTTTCTCTAGGATATGTTTTAGCTAGCAATTGTTAAGCAAAACGTAAAAAACAACGAAATAAGGCAAAAGAGGTTGTCGAATATTATAATGGCTTAATGTACTTTGGTAAAAAATGTGCAATTGTTAATTGTTGTGTTTTGTCCTGAATAAAGCTTTGATCCATGGCTAGGCTTTCAAACTAATTTTTTTGGACTGAATGAAAATTTTGTTAATAGTAAACATAAGGAAGAGTTTTTTTATTTATTCTACCTTTTCCTTGGAACTCTGACAGGGTAAAAGTTCATACAATGATTTCGTATCACAAAGACGGAACAAATACTTCACATTTAGCAGCTCCTCCCTTACATATGAGTCTAAAAAATGACCTCGGGAAATAGGGATTCGTTATCCAATATAACTTTTATGCCTCAGGTTATCCAAGGTACCTAATAACGAAGATTTTCATATTGCCAGTTTATGCAGCTGATCAACTGATACCCTGATTAACAATTTCAGGGATGTCCTCTGCTCGCCTGAACCTTTCCATACTCAAAGTTGAAGCAGGGTCCAAGAAATTTGTTTTTCTTTCGCCTTTGCAGATGATCTTTTAATATATTTTGGCAAAACCGAAACTCTTTCAGATTTCACCGCTTACAATTAACAGTTGTGCACTAATGGAAGATGATTAAAGCGGGCGTGAAAACGGAACTAAGCCAGGCAGATAATAGAAGAAATATCACTTCTACTCAAAGACCTATTTTTAGAAATAAAGGAAACACAATGAATTATTTGCCAAACTTCAAACTGTTCAAGGAAAATTGTATATACTTTCGCAGGCTAGGTGCAATATTTTCGTGTAATAATTTTTCGATAAATAGATAAAAAAGAGAAACTCAGCCAAATAAGATTAAATTTTGCAGTGCTTGGTTATTCTGAAATTAATTGAACTAACTAATAAGAAGAGATTTACTGTAATATTTGATGACAAAGTTCAACGCTAGAATTTTATCGAAATATCTAAAACTCTAAACACTTTCCAAAATTGTTCGTAGAATATTTTCACGACGTTTCGACGTTGCTTCACGTCATCTTCAAATCCAAAGTGTGAATGACAAATGAAAATATCTGCAATAGGGAGAGTGTTTTTGTCGTTAGAGTATATATGAAATAATTACGAAATGTTAGATAGAGTTTGGCACATGTCGAGTCTTCGAATCTTCCTTGTTATCGAAGATATGTGGACGACACGCTAGTCACAATGCACACCATAGAATCAACAACAAAGTTTATCCAAGCACTTAATGATGTCCACTCATACTTGGCTTTTACCGTGGAGCTTGAAGAAGAGGGCTCTATCGTATTCTACGGCACAATTATTAGAGCCTATGAAAACAGCTAAACTACTGAAAACCAACTTACAGGCCCTCTATTACGTTTTCAGAGACGCGTCGACAACAAGAGAAGATTGGTAAACAGATAATTGATCGTTCTCGCGAGGGACGCTCCCTTAACTGAGCGCGTCAAGCTTTGCACCATGTTTTAGAATTTGCGCTTTTTCCTTAATTTTGATTGATGGAGTTTTGATTTGAGCTGAGTTCATAGACGGCAGTGTAATAGCTGAGCGTCATATATAATTCGGTGTGTTGTGGTCATCGTTTCAATTGCAGAAGAGATCTAACGCATAAACGTTGTCTATTCTTTCTGCCCTGTTATGAGAACGCCAATGCTTAAACTTGGGCTTACTGCAGACTAAAAAAATGTTCCTTACGGTGAATAAGTGTTGCTAACGAATTAATTTATCATTTTTAGGCCCCAAACCGATGAACACATCATTTATTTCCTGTTCTGCTGATAACACAGTGTGGGTAAATGATGGCATTGTTTTCAGCTGTTCCTCAATTAGCAGTCCATCTCCTGCAACATATGTCATATACCATAACGGCAAGAAAATAAAGAAAAACAGATCTGGATATCACAAGATATGTAACGTCAAGCGACAGCATGCCGGTAATTACACTTGTCAACCAAGGAACACTTTTGGGAACGGGGAAAGTAAGAGCATCCGTTTAACTGTGTATGGTGAGTGCTGAGTACGCATAAGTCAAAGTTAACACAGGGGCTATGGTTACGAAGTCCGACAGGTTTCTTAAAAGTTTCTGTTAAGTTGTTTTCGGACCTGGGTTTTTACTGTCGTGATTAACTAACCAACCAATGGAACACTCGATTGATACGTAGCACCAAAGTTGTTTGACCACAAGAGCAAAATATGTGATAAACAAGTGAGACAGATATATTTGGAAAACGCCGCGATTTAGTTTCATAGAAAAGCTTTAAGCACGAAGTGTTTTGTCCTTACTTACCAGAAAAGCTGGCTGTGCATGCGATTCCACGTTGGCGGAATGTGACAGAGGGGCGTGCTGCACGTTTTGAGTGCAGCGCCGCAGGAAGCCCACCACTCAACATTACATGGACATCCCTGTCCACTGGAAAAGTTTACAGCGGAGGTCTCCTGTTGATAAAGTCTGTCCAGCGAAATGACACAGGAGATTATCAGTGCTCGGCTTCTAATGGGCTATCGGCACCCACCAAAGACATCGTGTTTTTGAACGTACTCTGTAAGTAAACCTCTTCTAGAGGGTGCAAAAGACAACTATCCTCCTTGGGAAATTATGAGAAGTAGTAGAGACCGGAATTTGTCCTTTGATTTAAAGCTCAAAACAAAAAAGGATGATATTAACAAGGAAAGGGAAAAATTATGAAACTATTTATCAACTTGCCTTCTGGAATTTCGCAGATCATAACTCATATAAATCGTAGAAGGAAGTTTTTTTTAGTATCTTTGCTTTTTCGTCATTTCTCAATGACTAATCATTTAACAGTATATATCACTAAAACGCCATGGAAAAGCTTTGTTGTAACAACTGTTTCTCATAAAATGAAGTGCAACTACTCTTTTTCTAATTATGCTTAAGACCCCCCGACAATCACCGACACCGCGGGGCCAAACGTCAATGTTAAGGAAGGTTACAAGCTCACCCTCTATTGTCATGGTAACGGAAACCCTCAACCAGTTTTTACCTGGAAATTGTTGGGTACCAATCAAACGTTTAGCGGTGGAGACGAGCGCAATATTATGTTGCATGCACAGAAGTCTCATGCTGGAGTTTACCTTTGCACGGCGAGCAACTTCTTGGGAAACGTCTCCAAAACAATTACAGTAAATGTCTGGTGTAAGTACGAGTATATTCAATGGTTATGTGTCAAAAGCATTATTACTAGTGAGAGAGTGTCAGACAGTATTCACTTCTCTTTAGTCGAACTATATAGCTGCTCAGCTATTGTTGCTCGGATGATTGTCAGAACAACCGAATTTTTTTCAATTATGTTAAATCATAATTCAGAAATCTCAAAAATAATGCCGCTAACAAGTTTGAAGTTGAGGTTTTATTTGAAATCGTCAAACATCGCCACAAAACTGACCAATCACGAATCAGTTGTATGATGCTCGATTTTCAAACAACTCCTCTCTCGATTTTGCTGTGGTTATCGAAACGTCAGTCACTGTCACGGAAAACACTGCTGTCACGATTATTCTCATCAAAATGATAAGACCAGCCGATCAAAAGTCTCTTTGCTCAAACTAAGTCTTTGGAAACAACCACTATCTGCATGCATTCGCATTCGTTCACAATTTCGCTAAAGCACTGAAAATCTTTTCTACTGAGAAAAGTGTTCGCCGACGGCTCTTTAATTCAAACTTAATGCTTGATGATGATTAATTTACGCTAATCAAAAAGCTGTAAAGGATTCAGTTCGCAAAATTTTCATTTAGGAAACCTAGTTTTCCTCTCCAAGATAAACCAAAAGTTTATCAGGAAGGAGTGACCTCAGTTACCGTGTGGATTTGTTGGGAAACTAGAAAACATTTCTCAGGCCAAACAATTTTAATAACAACTAAGGAGAGTTTTTCATCTCCTATTTCCATTATTGACTAAGTGACTTACTCAATCGATAGCAAGTCCAGTTCGTCCAATCCTAACCCATTTGGAATGCGGAAGTTCTTTCATCCGAGTCTCATGGAAAGTCCTTTCACAAGAAGAGGGGAGTTTTGTTATAAGTTACGTGGCTCAAGCGATCGACCAGGACAACCCCAGAAATGTTTTTAACTGTTCTGACATAACTATCAATCACTGCATCATTAAAGGACTCCAACCAAACACAACCTACTTGGTTCGAGTGTACTCAACAAATGTGGCTGGACATGGTGTTTCTGAGTACGAGAGAATTACGACAAAAGGGGAAGGTAAGTAGGTTGATTTTCGAAATATTTGATTAGGAATTTTCATAACTTGAAAAAAATCAATTATTTGTTAGTTTGAAAAGTTATACTGAGGAAAAACTAAGGATGTCTATAGGGACAAAGAAGCAACAAGGAACAGACAACAAAACAAATGAAGGACTTTCGACCACTACGTTGATGACAGTGCTAGCAGCTGTTGGAATAGCCATTTTCGTTGTACTCATTGGGACACTGATTGCTGTGAGGCGCACAAGGTCTGTTGGAAAAGGTAAGCAACACGACAGAGGCTTAAAAGAGATCAGCCAGTTCAATTACCGTCTAGAATTCTTTGGATCTCCTGTCAAACTTTTCTTTTTTTAATCTTTTTCAAGGAACAGTTTCGAACAATTGAGTCCCAGGCGTTTCAGTTTCGACTTTGGTGTTGATAATCAATCGGACACAAAAGACACATCACTACGCTAACAATACTGGAACTTCAGAGGAAACCAAGAACCACAAAATCTAATTTGCACTACCAGTTGAACATTAATTATTCCACGATCTATATTTTGCTGTACTGTAATTTAACTGTTTCTAATAAGTTTATATCTTTTAGGCGCCCAATTTGCTCAGGACTGTGTATATATTGAACTATAATCATTTCTCCTTGGCTTAATCCATCTTGGATGATTTAATTTCCACGGAATTTCCTTTCCGTCCAGCATAACACATGTTATCGAAATTGTCCCTCGTTCTATCGATATAACTATTACCTAAAACTTATGCAGAAAGTTTTGGCTGGCGGGGAAGACCTATAAAGATGTACAAGGTGCAATAAGAAAAAGACTGAAAGACATGACCGTGGACTGACCACATAATAACTCGGGCAAGAACATCCTCATTGTCTTTGAGGTTTGGTTTGCTCTAATTTTGCCATCTTTCACTCGGCTTTCTGTATTCTTCTGGCTTTTGTCTTCTTTTGTTTAAATTCCTTCCTCCATTCATTTTGACCATTTACTGTAGCTTAGAAAAATGCAGGTTTCAAACATACTGAGGCCTTTCTCGTTTGATCGTCAATGAAAAGTTCGTTGTCAGGAAATAAAACTTATAAAAGTAATATTTTATTACCTGAGCAGTGGGCTTCAGGAACATTCTCCTTACTCTAATTAAGGAAATGTATGGTTTGGATACCCTTCTGAGGGAGAATTCGTTGCTAATCTCTCCGTACACCAAATACCCCCCTCCCAAAAAAAAAGGAAAAAAATAAGAACTTAACACCTTGTAAGTGATGAGATAACCAACCTTCGCACGCAAGTGCTGTTATTTAGTTTTGTAACTTTTGGTGAAAGCTCTTTGCGTAGAACAAATTTGATGATCATTCACTATTTGTCACTGGAATTCAAACGCACTTGCCTCAAACGCAAAAGTCCCATAGCCATAGCATAGTCCCACAATATCATTAAAAGCCCTCATCTTTTCATAAATATAACCTACTTCAAATACAGAGTTCAAATTTCTTTGTTCAGCTTAAGTCTAAGATCCTAGGTGCTATATGACTTGAGCTGTCTGACAGATCTCGATGTAGCCTTATCATGAAACTGCTGTTTCAGCGATTGGTAAGCAATACATTGGTGATCTGAACGATCTAGTGAAGAAAAGTGTTGAACATTTTGTTATGTTATTTATATTTGTAAGAATTTGATCCAGAATATTATTGCCACAAGTCGGAGATTTGGTGATTTTACAGAGACCAAAATCTCTGACATACATACATTCATACATATATAACTATTAACCTAGAATTTACAGAGTAGCACTCAAATGCCGATATCTTCGAGCTGGTTACATTAATAACTTATTACGAAAAAGAGTTAATTCTATATAACAAGCAAAATAACTAACTACCTAAATAAGTAACTTTCTAAATTAACTTAGCGTGTACACCAAGTTAATTTAGCAAGTATTTAAATACTGCAATACAAGATTAAAATTCACTCCTTTGTTCAAAATTATAAGAAGATGTTAGTCGACGAAAAATGTCATGTTTTGTAAGCGCTTATTCTAAAGGTTTGCAGTTCCTGTTCTTTTAAGTAATTTATCGTAGCCAGACGTCAAGTCCTTGAAACTAAATCGAAGAGCACGTTTATTTAGGGGTTCTAGATTAGAATCTTGTTAACTGGAGAAATGCCATACCATGGAACAGTAGTGGAAGTAGGGAAGTATAAATGCCTCATAAAGACGAAGCTTGGTTTCAGTAAACATCAGTTTGCCAGATCTTGTCATACTTGAACGCTTAACTGACTGTTTATTTTTTTACGCAAAGAGAATACATGCTTAAATTGTAACGCCATAGAGATCCACTGATTCATTCTCTGACAACTTAAACTGATGGTTAGTGTTTCATTCCTTGATGTTTGCTAGAATTGGCTATCACTCCATTGATCTCGTATCAGGCTTTTGCTGAGTTTACCTTACGTGAGAAGACCGGATCCATACATATTTAATTGTACAGTTTCCAATTTATAGGAATAAATGATTTAAAAATATATTACAAGAAACATTGGTGCAAGAACATTGCCCTGTGGTACCCCTCGCCTAGCCCCTTGCCAATCTAAACATGTGTCACCTACTTTCACCTGCTGCATGCTGCTGCGTAATGGTAATCTTCAAGAAGCTTACAACTTCTGCTGTTAACACCATATGCCTTTAGCTCGGCAAATAAATCAATTTATATTACCGCAACAATCTGTTTATCATCTAGACTTCATTTCTAGTTTTCTGTTAATCTCATCAGCGTGGTTTCACTAATGTAGTGTCTCCTATAAGCTGAGGTGTAGTAAGGCAATATTTCAGAATAGAATTGGTCTAGATGAGATGTAAGAAATTTCTCTAAAACATTTTTTGGGGCTGACAAAGTTCATCTTGCTTGAGCATACCAAATGTTTGTCAAAGGAGGTTGTCAAGCTTAAGTTATTTACAAAAGTTATGTGTCATTTTTACTAAGAAAGGAGAGGACAAAAAAATATTCCAAGAAATTATGTTAACCTTTCGGCAAATTTTCAAGGAAGCGCTGCAAAAACTGAGCGGATGAACACAAAAGCTAACAAGAACTTGAAACATAGCTAACATGTGACGGTCGTTGTGTTGAAAGAGAAGTCGATAAACGTTGATGAATTAATTTACCCACCATTCATTAAAGCTGAGAGAAACAAATGGATATATTTTGAGAGCGGAACAGTTAGAACGGTGCTCTACATAAGTTAGGAAAAAACCTTACATACGCCTTGAGACGTAATTTTGCCTCTTAGCTTAGGCATCGAAAAGTAATGTGTTTACGAGGAGCAGCATTTTTTCTTGGCCACTTTTTTAAACGCAGATGGCGTTTTTTATTAATTTTGGAAAAGTCAATAGCTCATGAAACTCGGACAGACTCAGTATGAAATACAAGCACGTATTTGTTCTAATTTGTGATTCACGCCATGAATAAATTCATTTCTCAACTCTACGTTGCCCAAGTTCAAAGAATTCTTTCAGTACACCATGAGCTCAACCATCAAGTACGTATACAGCAAAGACTGAAAATGGTGCGAGAAACAGGAAAAATATTTTTAACGATTCAGATGTTGTCTCCATGAGTCTTAATTTTGACAGGTGGTGTCATCGCATCAGGAAAAGAAAACAAACTGAGAAATTTTTGGTGAAAAATTTCTTACAAAAGTAACTGTTACATCTTACTTTCTCTGAGGATTATTCTCTTCGTATTTGCCGGAGTTGAACTGCCACATACATTTTGCAGCGGCTCTAACGGTGTAACAGTGTTTCTGTGACGACACTTACGGCAAATTTTTCTCAAAGCATCGCGGTATCCTTTGTTTCGGTAAAAGTAGATGATAGGATTTATGGCGGAGTTTGCAAAACTAGCCGTGATAGGTGCGATGTAGCTTACTCCATAGTTTTTCTGTGGGTTAATGGCGATGTGGAAACCAAAAGATGCCCAGCATATTGTGAAGAAACCGATCACAAGTGCAATAGTCAATGCCAGTTTTTTTTCTTTTTCTCCGCCTGCAGCTTGGTGGTCTTGAAGCTCTCTTTGCCTCAGGGCGTTTTGTTTTCGAACAGTTATGAAGATTACCGAATAACAGACAATTACAACTGAATACAAGGCAATCATGCCAACGAGAATAAAATATATGTACACAAGTTTATCCTCAACAAATGCGTCTAAGAGAGGAACAATCCAGGCCGAATACCAATGAAAACCCAAAATGGACTTTAGAAATCCTTTAGTGATTGTGGCTTTATATTTCATGGGTTTTAGAATGACAAAACATCGTTCGAAACTCATTGTGGCTAAAGTCAAAATGGAAACCGCACAAGACAAGTTTCCAACAAAGCGAGCAGCGTATTCAGCTCTAACATAACAAGTTCCGTCAAGTTTACCAACGAAGATCGAAATAGCTAGTGGCTGAGCTACCATGGTGACCATCAGATCGGCTAAAGCTAGATTCACGATGCAGAAATTTGACACAACTCGCAGGTTTGGTGTGAGTAGGACAGTTAGGCATACAAGAATGTTCCCAAAACTTCCAACCACGCTTAACAAGCAATTTACAGCGATGAAAAATGCCCCATTCATGTAAGTTAAAGTGCATCGGCCTGTATCGACCTCTAAATCAGCAAACATAATAACCGTTGTAATTTATCGCGAGTTCTCTGAAGCAATGGAAATTTTAGGTTATAACGAAATCCAGGTGATACTGTTCTTTATCAAATAGGCTGAAATATGTCATAAGTCAGATGTTCTAGGTAAAGTGTAAATTAACGCAATTCCTTATATGGATGTCACGAACAAACAAAACACATGGAACGTGTTTAACTCAGGAACGTGGATAGAAACTCCTTTTTGTACGATATTACTGCATACCGTGTGTTTTATTGGCCTTCAAATTTAGAATCAGTCATGAGCACGAAGGTTGTCTGGTAGGTTACTACAGCGCAAGTGGTTCCAGTTGAACCCTTCTGGAACAAAGCCTCGCTATGCAGCCCTTTCCAAAACAGGAGATTATTGTCTCGTGCATGATTAATTAATTATTTTACCTTTCTTGTTTTAATAGATTCACAAGATTAATATAGCCATACATTTTTGATGGCGTCAGTCCTAAAGCATGACATTCCTCTCTTTTTCATTCACGTTGTTTTACCATTGCAACTGTGTGGAGAGTTTCTTTTCAGAAACTTACGAGCGTCAGGATTTTTTTCATTTTTGTGATACCATTAATCAAGAAATTGTT